TGAATAATACATAACACATATAAAATTTTAAAATATTGACAAAATATTAATAATCAATAAAATTAGTTAATTGATTTTAAATAACTATAATTATAAGAAGAAAATTTAAATAGTCACAACATGAATATGTAATCATTAAAATTTTGTCAATATTTAATTCCTGCAAATTTAAAGCATCTGAAAAAATTAGTTTAAATTTATTTATTTTAATTATATTAATATAAATTATACTTAATTAAATTGTTTAATAAATATATTTAGTAAACATTAACTAAATTATATTACATAGTTTGTGTTTGTACAATAATATACTATTTATTCTTTTCTTAATATTTCAAATTGAAAAGCTAATTATTATTTACTATACTATATTCAAAATAAGAGTATACAAAACAGCGCCAGAGTGAATAAAAATACATGTTATGAATACATTTATATCTACTGCCAACTACCGACCACATAGACTCTATTCATCCATCTGTACACTCACAGATATACACTTATTCTGAATAAAAGTACATTTAAAGAATAAATTGAAATATTAATATGTTTATTTTAATGAAAATAGTACAAATACAAAAAATAATAATTTTAAATTTTAAATGATTTACAGTTAATAAAATTAAATGGCTCACTGACCTGTTCACGACGCAACGCTTTTTCTTCCTTTTCCTGCTTCCTTAATTCTACCATGTATTCATTAAATAATCCTTCTCTTTCACGTGATTTTTCAATATTTTTATACCTTTCATCTTTAGAATTTTTGGAACTAAAATCACTATATGATGTCCTATAACAAATAACAATAGAATGTTTTATTATTATTATTATTATTGTTATAATATATTATTATTTTACTTTGTTGTGAGGTTAGCTTCTTCCATCAACTGTCTAAAAGCTTCACGTCTCATTTTCATTTTATTACGTTTTTCTTGTCTCTCTTCATCAGCACGTTCTTTTACATATTTTTCAAATACTTGCTTTCTTTCTTTTGATGTTAATAACAAATAGCGAGGATCAAATACTATCTTGTGTAATTCTTTTTCCCAAGTACTAAATGCAGAAACCTAAAATCATTAAAAAATTTTAATATTTATTTTATAAAATTAATACTAATCAATATTATCTCTAGTACCTCTTTCTCAGATAACATTTCTCTAAATTGTGTTATTCGAGTCTCTAACGGTACTACTGCTCTTTCTTTAGCTGCTCTCAATTCTGCTTCCATAGCTGAATCCTTCATTAAATTTACCTTAGATTCTACATCATTTTTAGTATTATTAGTATTTTCTTGTGAACTTTTATCTATAATAAGTTATCAACACAATTTAATAATATTTTTAATTTATTATATATTTAATAAATTTACCACCATCAGGCTTTGTTTTTTTAGTTGGTGATTGTCCTTCAGCACTTTTTAAAGCTTGAACTACTTCTGGTGGATTTGATACCATTTTGTCAACATCAGATCTTCCTTTAAGATCATCTGGTTTTTCCCAAACTGATGTTCTAGTTGAAGGTTTAAAGAAAAACACACGACCATCTCCTGTCCATACTACACACCTATAAATGTAAAATCAAAAACTTTAAGAATTTTATATTAAATTCATAATGCAATTTAAACAAAAAAAATATCTACTTATCATTTGACAAACATAAAAAAGGTTGTTTTTATTTGGAACAAAGTATACCTCTTTATTCATCACATATCTAACCAAATTTTTGTATAAAACTAATATATTTATAACTTCCCTTCTTTAAAAATCTAGCTAATTAAAAATAACTTAGTAAAAAATAATTGCAATTTATTTTACCAGCTATTTACTTAATTTATTTCATTAGATCTTAAAGAGTATGTTTTTATACTCCATGGTCATTCATTCGTCTAATCAATGATAATTTTAAAGATATATTTTTTCTTCATAAATTGCATCAATATATTTTTTCTTTTATTAAAGTAATCTATACATCTATAGTTTTAACAAAAACTTAAGATAAATCATTAATACAAAAGGATAATTGCATATGATAAAAAAAACGTACCACGGAGTTCCTTCAACAGGTGTACTAGATACAGGTCTAGTTTTGTCTTGAACTTTTAATTTTTCTAATACTTTGGGTTTTTCATCAATTTTAGTTTTTTTATTAGGCTCTTGAACTTCTTCATCTTTTCTTTTAAATGAACCAACATCTGAATTTGAACCATTTATTAATTTAAGTGGGAAACCCATGTCCATCTGAGAATCTGATTTCTGTTCCATTTTTTGTTCAGCTTCTTTTCTTAATTTTGCAGCAGCAACTTCTCTAGCCACTGAAATAAAAATGAATTAAAAATTAAAAATATGATAAAACCTTACATAAAAAAGAAACATTTAATAATATAATTTACTCACTATCAAGATTTCTAAGAGCTTCAGGTTTTTCCCAAACTGATTCAGATGTTTTCATACTATAATAATACATTCTTCCATCAGGTGAACGATGTTCTGACCATTCAGCAGCATTAGCTAAAATTACTGGATCTATCTAATAAATGAAGTTGAATATATTAATAACTTAATCATATTTAATTATAAACAATCATACAATCATCATACTTTACTATTAAGTTCCATTCCAGGCATCATCATAGGCGGAGGTGCAAATCCTGGAGGCATCATACCCCATGGAGCTGCTTGTGGAAATCCTGGAGGTGGCATACCAAATGGTGGTGGTCCACCAAAGGGTGGAAAATTTGGTGGAGGCATCATGGTATTGGGAGGCATCATTCCAGGAGGAGGGCCCATCATTGGAGGCATCATTTGGCCAGGAACTCCACCTAACGGAGGTACTCCAACATTTGGTGGATGCATCAAAGGGGCTTGTTCATTACCTAAATCAAATAAAATATCCTCTAAAATAACATCTGACTAAATTTTTTATACAATTAAGTATGTAAAAAAATATTTTTTACTATGTGATTTGTCTTCAATATTTTTCATTTCAACATCATTAGGAGTTTGTTCACCTTCATTAGGTTTAGCAAAGTTATTGGTATTAGGATTACCAAGATGTTCAACCTGATAAATTATTAAGTTATAAGTAAATTCTTATTTCGTATTATACTACTTTAAATTAAGATACCTGTTCTTGAGAAATGACAGTAATATTAGGTCCGGATGGTTTATCCCAAGTAGTTTCACGTGTTCTAGCATTATAATAATATGATTTTCCATCACCAGCTTTAGTTTCAATCCAAACTTCACCAGATATTATTGGCGGTGGGCCTTGTGATACTCCACTATTTGGAGGCATTACAGGTGGCATCTATAGAATTTCAACAGAAGTACAAGTAATTAATTTAAAAATTTAAAAAGTCTATACTTAATGAAAAAATAATGAAACAAATAATCATTATTATACAATTATCATATATTTAAAGAATCTCATACTTGTAATAATGAAGGCAACTGATTTGTAGGTGGACCTCCAGCCTGTCCATTTCTATCTTGTTCATTAAATGGTGGTACTTGACTTTCTCCAAACTGAGGACCTCCTTGAGATATTGGAGGTGGTCCATTCATCATATTAGGAGATGATTCTTGAGGAACACCATTCCAGTTTTCATCTGTATTTTCTGAAGACCATCTACTTCTTTGAGGTTTAAAACTTCCATTTGTAGGACTATTAAAGCCGTATGAACCACCTCGATAATTAGAAGACCCTTTAGGGTTATTGTTACCAAATCCTCCAAATCTTCCAGCTTCATTATTTCCTTTACCATTATTCCAATTAGGCTCACCTCTATATTCAGAAGATCCATAATTATTATCAAATTGACCATTACCATCTCCAAATTCCCTATTGAAATATAAGTTGTAAGAATATAAGATTATTGAATATATAAAATAAAGGTTACAAATACCTGAAAGAACCTCTCCCATTATCATCAAACGATTGTTCATTTTCAGGATTTGAATGTCCATTTTCTTGGTCATATGAATTATTCATTGGTTCATGATTGTTAGAATTCATATTATCTTGTCGATTTGAGTTCATATTACTATCTTGATCATTAGAATCTACATTATCATTTTCAAATGAAGTCATACTATTTTGAGGGTCATTAAATTCTTGCTGTGTTGAATCCACTATAGGATCCATCAAATTAGAATCAGCCATTTAACTATGGAATAATTTAAAATTCAAATTTGATATTATAACAATAGATATAGAAATATATATAAATAAATGTTTAAAAATTTGGTTTAGAATTATACCTATCTGCGACAAATTTGATAAAACAATTGTAAAAATATTATTTTTATGTTAGGTAAATATTAATTCTAATTAATAACAATGTTGGTTTAATAATAATAATAAAGCAATTTCGACTCACAAAACGTTTCTACAATTATTAATCACTAATACATTGTTAATGTATTAATTAATTACAACACATTACCTCCAGATGAAAACAGACAATTGAATGGTGATGATTTTTTTATTTCTATGCAAATTCAGAAATCAACATTAATATGAAGTACACGTATTAATAAACACTTGTTTAAGATCCCGAGTTAATATAATTGTTATAAGCGCTTTAGCGAACTACGAAACAAAAATAAATATTAAAAATAAAAAGCAATAGGTAAACACCAAGAAATTAACATCGAAACCGTCGATACCTCAAAACTGACAGAAAAACAAAACGGAAGTACGGAAGTACTCAGTACAGTGTACACAAACCCTCGGACACAAGACACAGTATAGACACTTAAATAGTATGAGTTGAGAGTGTTTGAACTGGCTCTTGGGAGTATAAAAAACAAGATGTATTGTTTAGACGATGGAATCATGCAAAGAAGCGGATAAATTGTGAAAACAGTGAGGCAAATACATTAATATTAAAAGTTAATACCGTATACAATACTATTTTATACAATTATCAATGTCACGCATTCTATGTTATCATCAATTTTTATTTCAGGTTATGTTATTCTTATAAACATAAAATAATCTTATGTTTTATTGTTCTACATAATTTGATTTCTATAGTTCAAAATAAAATTTAAAATTATTGCAATATAATTTTCACGTTATGTAGATAAAGTTCCGTGACAGTGAACCTTATAACATTATGTATGATAACTTATATCGCTTAATACAGCGATGCAAACAGTCAAATGTATATCGTAATTATTCTTGAATAATCATTTCTATGATTGTTAATAAATAGTTTTGTTTATCTATGCATTCAAATGAATCAAATGTACTCGCATAATCAAATCTATTGATGTGTATTTAGATTTTAAAATTAATTATTTTTGTCATTTTTTAAGTGCGATATTGTTAATATTAATTTTAATTTAAAGTTTAAGCATAAATGCTCATTTTTTCGCAAGATAGAATAATTTTGTATATTAACAATGTATGATTCTGTTAAAAAATTTGTTTCACGACACAAACGTAAATTAATAATCAGCGGTGCATTATTTTGTAGTACTGCGTATGTAGTTTACACCATCAAAAAGAAATTGGTTGAAAAAAAAGATAAAGAAAATCGAGAATACCTGGAACGAAGTAGACGTCAACAGCACTACGAAGCCACAGAAAACACTTCAAATCGTATGATAACTGAATTTGTTAAACAACTTCATGTTAAATATTTTTCAAAAAATTTACGCATTGAAAATATTATTGATAAATTGAAGATACAAAATGATATAGCACTTTGGGAAGAAATGAGAATATGTGTTTTTACTAGAGCATGCTTACTTGTTTATGCAGAAACTATGTTGGTAATAACATTAAAAATTCAACTAAATTTGCTTGGAGGTCTTGTATACAAAAGTCTATCACAAGATTCACCACCAGTTTGTTCAAAAACCCAAGAAGAATACTTGTTACATTTTAGTTATTTCATCGAGGATGGTATTAAACGTTTAGAAGAATATTTACATAGTAAAGTTATTAAGTATGTACAGCAAGTTCCTATCCAAGAACAATACAATCTACAGGACTTGGAAAAACTATTTTTTCTCATTCAAACTGAAATCGCAAGTGATACAGATGGTCCTTTTCGATGTATAGATACATACATGTTACATCAAATGCCAAAAGTGCGAGAAGCACTATTACAAGATATGATTAATGAAACACGAGAACTATTAAAAAATGACGAGATAATTTCAGTAGCTCGTTATTGCTCAAGTCATAGTTTTAATAAATTAATGGATGCTATAACAATTAATACACCTAATCGATCAGTAAATCTACCTACTACTGTCAAAATGCCATTTGCCAAGTGGTTACCAATTGTTGATAGATCAACTAAAGTAACGGAAAATGGAGACTGCAGCTTAAAACAAAATGTCCACTTGGATGGAAAAGTTAAAGTGCTCAGTGCAAATGTGTATGAGGCATTTTGTTCTGCATAAATTTTATTTGAAGGTTTTGTTTTTCTTATTAATATTATATTATGAACTTGTTTTGTAACTCGTATAAATGGGTACCTATGTATTTATTTTTAAACTTACAAATGTTAAATTAATTCAACCATTAATATTTATTTTTGGGAAATTTGGGAACTATTATATTGTAATAACAATAATTTTAAAAAAAAAGTATTTTGAAATTTTACCATGTCTTATAAAATTGAACTAAGATCTATTTACCTGTTATGCATTATATTATATTGTAATAAAAACATATTGAGTTTCACTCAGTGCTCTTAGAAATTTACTTATTTTTTATAATAACTATAAATATTTACAAGATATATTTCATTATTCAAAAAAATATATTGTAATAATAAATTTATAACAATATTAATTTCAATAAACTGCTAAAACACTAAATTATTGATAGAACAATTTTTTAGATTTTCAGCGATGGAATTTCTATATACAACTATAAGTTTAGGTAAATTAAATAATTAGTATCTGGTAATAATCAAAAATAAATGTTTATAAAATATATAAACATACCTATTACCTAATTTTAAATCTAGTTTTCAGTTTCTTCATATTTTATATTATCATAATAACATTGATTATTTTAATAATATAATAAATAAATTGTTGATAGGCTTGGTGACAATGATACATTTTATTATTACTCCCACAAAGTACAAAATATTTCTTTTATAAATTATTGTAGATTATCTGCTATGACCAGGACTGTGAATTTAATGCATTTGCATATTTTTATTGCTACACTTTATAAAAAAATGGATTCGGCCAACATTTGTTTTGACTTATTTGTAGTTCAAATACCAAATTTTATTTTGCATATTTCATGGGTATATAAATGCATGTTTTAATGCATTTATATAAAATATTAAATATAATTGTTTTAAAATGCTTTTTTTTCGTAATATTTACATTTTTTCGGTCAATCTATAGTATAAACTATAACTTTTATAGTTTTATCGAAATTATTCTATTTTTACTCGGGTAGGTTCACGTAACTTGTACTTCTCATTGATTGCATAGAATTGCCGAACAAATCCGCATTCAATTTCCAAAAGTCGATAAACTGGTCGCAAATGTCAAACGAGTATTTAAAAAAACGCCTTATCGTATTCAGAAATTTCATACTAATGCACCACATATACCATTACCTCCCGAACCTATTTTGACACGTTGGGGCACGTAGATTTCTGTCGCAATATATTATAGCAAAAACTTCGAAACTGTAAGACAAATTGTCGAATGTTTTGATGAAAATGATGCACTTTCTATCAAAAATGTTCAAAACAATTTTAAAGCTAATCAAATGAAAGTAAATTTGGCTTACATACATTCAAATTTCTTATGTCTTCCTATAGCTATAACGCGTCTACAAAAACAAGGTATTCTCTTATCTGAAGCTATTGAAATTGTACAAGATATTTCGACAAAGTTTAGTCAATTAACAGGTACAGATGGAACTGCTATTAATAAAAAATTACAAACAGTACTCAACAAAAACAAAGGGTTTCAAATTATGTGTAATATTTCAAAAATATTAACTGGCGAAAAAAATGTCGTAGATTTAGATGTACCAGAAGATTTAACCAGTAGCGACATGACGTATTTCAAGTTTGCCCTAATAACTTCGTCAGACGTAGAACGCTCCTTTTCTTTATATAAAACTTTGTTGGCACCAAACAGGAGGTCTTTCAAGTTCGAAAACCTGAAGAAATCATTGGTTGTTCAATGCAATAACTACTTTAAAGGTAAAATATATAATTTTAATTATATTTAATCATATTACTTATATAATTTATAATTCTTTTATAGATCTTGTATACGACGAAGACCAAGACTAGTTAAGATCAATAACTCATATACATATATCAAGAAGTAAAAATACTAATATTTAAACTAAAATTAATAAAAAAATTAAACTAATGAAAAAAATAAAAATAAAAGTTTAATTTTTGTAGTTATTTTTTGCATATTTTAAGAATTTTTAAAGCATATTTTGTCAGATTTTAGTGCATATATGCATGCATATTTAATAGTTTTTAAGTGCATTAAATTCACAGCCCTGACTATGACTATAAATTTTAATTCACAACACATACTATATTTTATATGTAATAGACTATATAGTTATTTTATGTTACCTTTCTTTCGAAAATAAAAATAATATCCACAAATGTGTACAAAAAGTAAAAATACACTAATTAGTAATTTATATTATATTATTTTGTAAGTATCATATACACATTAAACACTTAATATCATAGGTAGGTTTATATTTATATTTTATAAATTCTGAATTAGGTACTTGTACATATATTTTACATGCACTCATTGTTGATATTGTTTAAAACTCAACCATGCAGCAAGTTAACTTCATTGAACTGAAACCACTATTGGAAATGTCCACACAATTTATATATCATACTGAACACACCCATTGCCTACGCGCCTATTCAATTCATATTTCATTGGACATAGTTCATAGAGGTAGGTACCTATTCAAAAATTCAAGTATTCAGCGAGAGTTTGGTTTATTATTAATTTTCTATTGAAGTTTCTAATTTTAATTGTAGAACATATATTGTGTAATATTAGGTTATAGTATAAATGATATTTTTTATCGAAATATACTTTTTTAGTACCTACACTTAGATAGTCTGCAGATAACTAATTGAACTTATGTTTTGATTTTTTTTTTTTTCTTAAAAGTGCATACTATTAGTGTTATTACTGAAAAGTGTCGTTGCTATAGTTAAATAACTCATTATTTTAGATTTGTTTCAATGTATTTTAAACCATGACTTATTATGTCAATAAATTTACCTATAGTTATATTCACGTTACTAACGTCAAACATGACGTTAGTTATTTACTTATATCAAGAGTTTAATCCGCTATAATTTCAAATTTTAGTAACCAATTTCTTATTTTTCAGTATTTACTTTTATATTTTGAAATACATGCACAAATACAATCTCCTTGATATTATTCAGTGTGAGCGATAAAACAATATTTTTTTGTCCCTATCAAAATGTAAGCGTGTTAAAAAAATTTGATATTTATTATTTATTATTTTGGGATAATATTATTATCTTTATCAGAAGCCAGAGTTCATTGTTCTCTCTCAAGTTTAACTCATCAATATTTTTTTATTAGATTAGATTGGAAAAGTCACTAGATTTGATTATTGAACCTTGGAGTTTAAGAAATGGAAAATTCAATTTCAATATAATACAGCGTTATCCCGGCCCACAGCACTCGAAATGATTACGGTATGTTTGACCCTGATTTCTAAATCTACACAATTAATTAATATTATTCTCTAGGTCAATGCCATGAAAGTTGTTTTGATTCTGAAATAAGTGTATCTTATATCATTTTGTTATCCCATGCCTTACTGATACAAGCATTCGTTTATTTTTTTGTTAATTATGTTTAATATGTGTCTTTTGTCTTGATTTCTTGAATCACATTTATTGTGTTTAGCAATCATGAGTGGAGAATTATACAATGAAAATTTTTTAACAATATTTACAATTTTCTAAAACTGATATCATGGAACTCAAAGTTTGGGTTGAAGGAATTCAACGGGTTGTTTGTGGTGTTAATGAATCAACAACTTGTCAAGTAAGTTGTCAGTAGTTAGTACGACTTGATGAAATGTTTTTGTATCACATATTTTTGTCTCAGGATGTTGTATATGCATTAGCTCATGCTACTGGAAAAACTGGCCGATTTACTCTAATTGAGCGATGGCGCAACAATGAACGTCTACTTGCCCCTCAAGATCATCCAGTAACTGTAAGTGTATTACTTTTTTTTTAAAAATATAATATTCTACAAATTATTACCTAATGTGTTAAATTCATTGTTAGGTTCTTATGAAATGGGGAGAATATGCCAATGATGTGCAGTTTATATTACAACGTTCAGGCAATGTCTCTTCAAATAGTACATCCAACAATCCAAAGTATAATGAGGCTGATAGTGTTCCTTACTTTGCTCAGGAAAGGAATAAAGATACTCGAAAATCATTAATATTTAATAGTATGGATTTTATTTACGATTAATAAACAATAATGCTATTCATGAAATCTGGAAGATTTCTTTTATATACTTTGCTTCAAGTTCATATTTTTTTTCTAAAATTGATGTGAATATGATATCATTTTCTAACTTATAATATATATTCTGTGAGAGTTCCTGCTCATAATACCAAAGCTAAGTTTATTACACATTGAGTAATTTAAAAACAATGATAAAATTGAATAATACATTTTTATTTCAACCTGTTTTATTATACATTTTATTGTTGTTATGGCAAATATTAATTTTTGCTAAAATTTGTCTTAAAAACATTTAAAATTTAAAATCAGTTGATTTCCAAATAATTTAATTTGAGTTATCCTCACTAATTATAAATAAAATTTGTTCTATATTTTTACCAATATAATAAGTAATCATACATTTTAAAATGTTAATTAACTAAAGCAATTTTGATTCTTGAACTTATGGTAAAAATTATATTTTTAAGGTAATCGTTTACCCGATAATGTAGGTGTAGTACGCGGAATTCCTCAACAGAGACCCAATGTTCTTCCCACTATACCTGGAAGTGGTGCAGCACCGTTAACAGTAGTTTCATCTACTCCACCTGGTATTCCCTCATCAACTTCACCTACAAACACTTCTAGTCATTTAAACAAAGTAATTGTATTACTTTACTTTCATATTTTAATGGCTAAAATAAATTATTATTTAAGGATCAGAATTCAACATCAACAAATGGACCATTGCAAAACTCAACAAGTCCAAATAAAAAGGTTGATAATATTAGTTATCGACCTCCTGTTACTAGGGCATTACCACCATATCGAGAGCCTCCTCCACCTTCTGTTAGTCCAGCAAGAATATCTCCTACAACTGTGGGTAGTGATCGCTTAAAACAGACAATTTTCAAGGTAATTCACAGTGTAATCAATTTTTGTATTTTACTATATGTTTATATTTCTTTGTAGGAGTATCAGAATGAAAATAATAGCAATAGTTCTAATGTCATGTATAATCCTCAGTACAAAGATCTCGTAAGGCTTATAAATTATCAAAGAGATAAATTATCCATTCAACAAGCAGAACTAACAAAGTATGATGCAGAAATAATGTATTGGGAAGGTAAAACTAGAGAGCAACAACATCAGATGGATTTTATGACTCAGGAAGCTGCTAAAATTGAAGCCACTGGTAGACATACAGAAGAACAGGTATAGTTTTAATTATATTAAAACTGAATTATTAGAAAACTTTAATTATTTATTTATTATCCAATGTATTAGTTGAAACTTTTAGGCCAAGTAGAAGAAGAAAATGATATTGTGCGTCAGCAAGAAAAAACATTGAAATCAGAAATGACATTATTACGATCTAAATTAGCTAACTGTGAAACTGAATTACTTGTGTGCAAGAATAAAATACGTCTTTTAATGGAAGAAGTAGAACTAGAACAAAAAATGTTATCAAGAGATCTAGATGAGAAGCGTAGAGCAGAAAGAGGTATTTTGAAGGAAGTTGACCGGCTACAAAGTGAAGTAGAAAGAGCCAAACAAGAAACAGAAATGGCTGCACAAGTTGGAGATAGTCTGCGAAAAGAGGTGATTTTAACATTTAATGTGTATATTGAATGATTACATAATTAAAGTATTATTCATTTAAGGTTGCTATGTTAGAAACAACTATAACTGAAAAAAAAAGGCAAGTAGATAAACTAGTGGCTGACATGAAAGAAGCAAATTTACAATCTTTAGCTATTTCACCGCCAGATGAATTAAAATTTATTCTTGAAGGTCAGTACTTAAACTCAATAGTACTCATTTAGTATTTATATTAGAGGTTGCGATTACACGTGTAGTGAACTACACGGGTACCCATGTTTTACCTATGACAGAGTTAAAACCCGTGTAATAAAAATACCTGTCTATGTATGCATATTATTATACTTATAGTTTATACCTATTTAATATTATATGATTAACAAATACAATTTACTAATTTTTAAGCAACTAATAACTATTCATCATAACTCTAAATAATAAAAGATAAACAATTAATAATTATTATAAAATACATAACATAATATTCTTTTAAATATTTGTATTTAATGAATACATGAATTCTGAATCAGTACTATATACTTGGTTATGCACAGGTATTAAATACACGAATATACACAATCGTTAATATATTTTTCACCCTCACTCTGTGTACCCAAGTATTTTAATACATGTTCACAACCATGGTCCCTAATTTATATCAATAAAAATTATGTTTACAAAGTTTTTTAAAATTATTTTCATGTTTAGGAGCTCAAAGACCTGGAAGTACTCGTAAAATGATTGGTTCACCTAGACAACTAGAAAATGCAGCTCCTACTAGTAAGAACCCTCATGGTGTTTGGGTTTAACTTTTTTGTTTCTTAATCAAAATTGTTTGCTCTAAAATATATTTTAATTATTGTTTTATATTTTGTGTGCATTTAGAACAATGTTTAAATTTTAAATTATACATTTTAATAACCAGTTAGGTTTATAAATAGTAATAATTGCACATCACACAATTTTTGTTTTCTTTTTTCTTTTACCAAACCAAAAATGTAATTCTTAAAATTATAAGTTAATTTCTTTTAAATTTGATCTCCTTATAGTATATTACATTTTAATTTTAAGTCAATGCTACAATTTTTTTTTTTTTTCATTATTCAGCTCAAATAAATTTAGGAAATCATCTCTTTATTTAAGTTATTATTTATTTCATATTATTTTATATACTATGAATTAATATATGTCAAGTATTGTCAATATTTAAGATCATTAGCATCATTGTCTTCATTACATTTATCGATAATTTCAAATTAATAAGTCAATAATAATTTGTTGGATATTAATTTTTTACTTTACTTATTATTAATGTTATTATTGTTTTATTTTCTCGATTTTAAAAACCAAGCAAATATTTTTGTTAATGCTTATATCTTTGGAAAGAAAATATTTATATTCCTTTAAAGTTTCTTTTCTCAACTTAAAATTATTTTATAAATTTGTTAAATTTTTTTCATTTATAAAATACATTGTATTGTCATACATTTAGTGCCACTAAAAATGTATCTTTCATATTTTAAGTAAGTATAATTAATTTATGAATACAGTTTGCGTTGTTATTTTATTAGTGTTTAGTATTATTAAATGTAATATAGAAATGTATGCAAAAACTATTCATTATATTTAATGGCTGTTTTAATGTTTATTTTTAATTTTATTGAACAGTTTAATTTTTATATTATTATGAAATTATAAAAGTATGTAATTTGATTATTTAGTTAAGTTATTAAATATTGTGTTCAGAAAATATTTTGAAAATAGTCTTCGTTATCATTATTATTTTTTTATAATTTATTAGTCAATTTTTTTATTATTATTGAATGAACATATTTTTAATTTATTGCATTTTGTAGCCATTGTTGAGTAATAAAATTGCTTTACAGAATAAATTTATTGAGTTTCATTACTATAAAATGTGAATAAGATTAGTGATATTCCAAGATATATTAATATAAATATTAATTGAAAATGTTAGGATTTTAAATTTTGAGTGAAGTTCATGAATGTATTGAATTTACAACAATGAGTTTGATATATTTTTTGTGAGTACATTTACACGATAGGTAGTTGAAATTTGTGTATATATATAAGTATGATAGTTCACAAATTTGCATATAATAACGTAATATTTTACAATATTTTTATAATTAAGTTTTATTGATTAAAACATCATAAAATTTAGAATAGTTAATTAAAATGATAATTTAAAAGTAATATAAAAACAGCGGGCAATTTCTTTAGTACAGTAAAACATTAAAATTAGAATTACCTTATTTTGATTAATCAATTTAAATATTGTATCTTATTAACACAATTTTTCCAAAAACTATACCACATAGAATACACCAGTTCTCGTCTAATCAATAAAGTTAAAAAATGTCAGGCATAATTATATAGTACTAGGATGGGAGGCCGTTTGGAAACACCACGTGCTGTTGGCCACAATTTATTAATTATTATTATTTATTTATTAGCTATTTTTTACCTCTTTTATCAATAGCATTGATTTTATAAAATATTAATATGTTATAAAATCAATGCCAATAGAAAAAATTATTTATTTACAATTTTAAACTTAAAATGTAGACAAGTCAGTTATTGAGTGAAGTATTATAAATTTGTTAAATTTGAATTCAGTGATATATTTTGTATATGAGAAATGTAATTTTTAGCAGAGACTCATCTATGATTTCTAAGGGTATTTTGCAATATATGTATTTCATATTAAAATAAATAATTTATTATTATAATAGATTGATTTAACATTTGCTGAATTATAATATACTTTCTTAAATTTAAATGTTGTCTAATTAAATATAATAAAATAAAGTATAATTAATATAATATCAAGTATAAATGTTATCTAATAACTATATACAATTACATTTAAGCTATGATAATATATTATACTACATCATTACAAATGATAGATACTAAGTTAGAAGACACCTCTAGGCTCTGGTATTGAATAAAATAAAGTAAAATAAGTCATAGGAGTGTATAAAATTAAGTCTCAACTTGCAAGATATGCTGTAGATATAAGTATAATTTAATTGTCTCTTTAAAATTAAAAATACCTATACCATTACCATTACCTTATATTTATTTATGATTATTACGCACTACTATTTTAAGTATTGCTTCTTATTAAAAATAATATAGTTTCATAATATTTGTTGCACGATTAATTTATAAATATTGTACTTACGCATTTATTATTTTTTATTCTTTGAAAAAGTGTAATTTTGAGATTTTGTTTGAAATTATACAATGTAAAATTGTTTGTCCTGGAACTTCACTCACTATGCATACCCTTGCCCCTTATTATTCACACTTATGCTGTGACTGTACTCCCAATAAGGTCTTCATTTTGAGAGTGTCTCATGTATATATTATACTCTTAAATTTTATGTTTATTAAATGTTATAGCCAATGGGGATGGCATGGTGAAGAAATAATCGTATGGCTACCTTTGAGGTTTTTCATGGTAAAAGGTGGTAAAATGTAACAGCTAAGGGATAATAATTAAGTACTTATTACTATAGGCAGGTACTTAGTAAATTCCTTTATTAGGTTTTGGATGAAATATGCCCCCCCCACATACCACCTTTGAGTTTTTTTTTTAATTTTATTCTAAAAAATTAAACATATATTTACCAAACCAATATTATAAACACTAATAAATATTATAAATAAATAAATAATAATATTTTAACTAAAATCTCTTATATTTAATTAATAATAATACATGCTTAGCCTTCAACTGATATAACCTTATTTTGCCTAATTTATCTATTATGTGTCAACAAAAATAATCATAAATTTGTTACAAGAGTATAAAAATATAATTCATACAAATTATTAGTAATAACTAATGATAATATATTCATAACACCTATCCAAATATTAAAAAGAAAATGTGTAATAATTAAACTCATTAACATTTTTTTTAAATTTTATATTGGTTTTACATGCAAGATTCTCTTACAATTTCTGTTTTTTTTTTTCTAAAATTTTTGTTTTGAATACCATAAACTTTATATCAATATTTATTACCTATTATGATTTTAAGACTTTCTATTGATTTATATAATTTTATGATAAATTTAATATTTAAAGCTGAATCAGCTCTAATTTAGAGTACATTTTCTTCATTAATAAAAAACAAGTGGTTATTAGTTATAACTTATAAACTATTAGTTTATAAATCTACCAGTATACTGAATGGTCACATACTTCATATTTTGAATTCAAGTAATTCTATTGAAGAGGTTCTTAAGTTTTTGTAGATCACAGACCCCTATTCAAAGATTTTTAGAAATCATGGATTTCTTACCAATTTTTTGTTTTTGAACACTTTTCTTTTACAATACGTCTTATATTAATGGCCACAGACCACCAACATAAGTATCACAAATCTTCAAGGGGCTGCGGACCACAGGTTAAGAACCGTTGAGTTAAAATAAAACTTATATTTCATATTCTGAGTATACTATTATTATAATAACTGGGTTGTTTTTCAAATTCTAAAAATACAGCAATAAGCTTTTTAAGAAATTTAGTTTTAAAAATTATAAAAATAATAACAAAATTAGAGAAAGTACAAAATAACAACTTATTGAATCCAGACAGCTTTTGGTATAATAATGATGTTAGTATTGATTTATTTTAAAATGTAGGTATCAACGCAAAAATATAATAGAAATTTGTACATTATTATAAAATAAAGTAAATCATAATAGTAATAAAACTTGCATAGTCCATAAAATATAAATAGACTACCTAAACCAAAGATCAAGATTAACTAAAAGAAATAATTAAAAACAGTAACAAAAAGTTCTGGCAAAAATATTTCAAAGAAAATAATAACAACTTGGAAATAATGTTAATACACAAAGTATTTATATCATATAATCACTAAATACAGTAATTAAAAGAGTAAAATAAATATTGTATCCTATATTTATAATATATAGATAGATACAATAAACTAAATATTTATTTATGTTATTTATAGTAACATTATCATTATTGGAAGTGTAGTATATATTTTAATGAAAGCATTTTCAACATAAAATAATAGTTATTATTTTAAGGAATAGGTTCCTTATGTTTAAATCATAATTTTATTCTAGAAAAATGTTATGAATGTAACACAAACAAAATATATAATTCATATAAACAAAACAAAGATTGACTAGTTTGATTTTGGTAAAGTGGAAAAAAGATAAATTATTATAACTTATTTTACAAAAAAAAAAATCCCACATTAAAGTTACACAAAAAATAAATACATATATATATATATAAATATATATATATAAAGAACATAAATTATACATTTGGAAACAACTCATATTATACATGGATAAACTTATTAATTGTAAAAAATAAATGGTAATTTAAATTTTTATTTTAAATTTAACTATTAATGGAATCTTAAAAATGGAATGTTTTTGTTAATACTGGTCAGATAACATATGAAAGGAATCAAACATTTGGTAACGTTCGTCCTGCATCCATGAGAAATTTGTGCTTTAGCATGCCGATACGTATACGGTTACCAGATACAGATTTGGATCTCTCTGTCATGTCACTGCACCTAAAAATATATAATACTGTGAATTTTTAATCAAGAGATAAATTTTTAAGGTACTTAATAGATTTATTTTTTTTCAATAAAAATATTATTAAAACAATCAAAAATTCCTTGTTTGTTTTTTACATAATAACAACAACAATTAATCACAATTTTTATATTTTATTCTTTTACTTCAAAAAGTAATTTCAATGGTTTGAAATATTTAATTTTAATTTTTAATAAGTATATTTTCAACATTTTTTGACAGAAATGAGTTTTCTTCTATTATGTAATGATTATTAATATGTACATTATAAAATTTATTTGAAATTAATAACAAGTATGAAACTTTATTTCAATAAAGAGCATTTAACACCTAAATAGTTGTAATGATTTTTATTTTAAATTATTAAGATTAGTTATTAATTATTCGTAAACTTAAAAATATTCTAACTTATTTTTTGTGTTAAAATAATAGACTCTTAGGTATTATTGAAAAACTAAATTTTTTTCTCTACAATTCATAGCAATAAATTAATTTTTATTTAATTACTAGGAAAGATAAAGTAAATACAAATTGAGTCTACAATGTGAAATTTTACACTTGTGTTCTAATTACTTGATTTTGATTTTTATTGTTTTGTTTAACTATAATACATTCATTTTAACTTATTGTTTTTAGAGATACATATGATTGTAACATTTATTATTTTATAATAAAATGAAAAACTTTAAAAAAAATAAACTATTTCATGTAAAGAATGATAATTTGTTTTATTTTATTATTTAACACTACAGTTGTTATTTGAATTATGTTAATTTAAATATAAATATTTTTAGGGCAATACCCCAAACCATTATCAATAACATTAATCGTATGAAATGATAACATTACTAGAAGTTTTAGTTAATTAATAAACAAAAATACATGATAATAATTAAAATGAATATATCACTTAAATAGTGCATACTAGTATAATTTACCATTAAATAAATTCAAAATGTATCTTGTCTTTAAAAAATATGAAATAGATTACCATGCAATATGGGAAATAAATAATAGGTAGTTTGAATAATTACCATCGTGCACAAGGGATATATTAAAATTTAAAATATACATGAACAATATGTAAATTAACTATATAAAAATAAAAACCTACAAATTAAATTAATTATAAAAGTTAATATAAAATTAAAGAAACATAAATTCAAAACATTAAATGAAGAAAAGTAGTAAATGATAGTATATTATCATGTATAATATAATATTTAAATCATTCATAATTTATTCCATTCATATTCTATTTAACTTTTTAATTCATTAATATTAAAAAAAAAAGAACCATAAAAACCTATACTTAAACTACCTTCATGCACATGTAAGAGTGATTGCCAGATGGTCAAAGCATTATTATAGAAAAGCAGAAATAATCCAATGCGCATATTGCGAATAAACACAACACCATGTCTAGTTTATCTACCTTTCCCAACGTGAAGCTAATGTTGACAGATATCGCGTCATTGTTTGCATAAACAAAACATATTATCCATGTGTAGATAGTTATATTTAAATATAATGTATAGGTATATACATTGATTATAAAATAATTAATTAGTTACCTTATTACAGGATGACCATTTGCCTGTCCCTCTCTATCGAATGTGCATAATGTTGGAGCTGTGATCGATCGACACTAAAAAAAAAAATTAAAACAAATACATAAGTAAGAAATACAAATAGGTTGATTTAACCTCATTTTTCTTTTAATATTGAATTTATACAAAATTTGAGTTTTGGAATTTTTAAATATACTTTAACATAATATAAAATAATTATTAACACTAGTTAAGGAGTGTCCTAAGGCAAAACAAACTTCTGTTTTTTAAATTAAATTAAAAAGATAATTTTATTAAAACTTTTGATTAAGTTATTCGATTAAAATTTAAACAAGTATTTAATATAATGCTTTTTTACATCGGATAATAGTCTCTAAAAATGGTTTTATATTTCTACAAATTAAAAATTTTAATAGATTAATATTAATTATTAATATGTTTTAATCGATTTATCTTTAATCTTCCAAAATGATCATCCTCATAACACAAACTTAAATAACTCAAAAACTACTCATTCAAATTATGATTTTGATACTTTGAAATTTTCAGGAAAATTATCTACTAGTTTTCATTTGAAAAACAGAAGTTTGTATCTCTACATGACACTCCTCAAGTATTACAAGTCTCAATAATTTAAATTAAGTTTAAGTAACTCAACTTAAAAATTTCAAGATCAGATTTTTAATAACTATATTATTGAAAATAAGAGCGAGTATGTTAGTGAATCAAGCATAATTATAATGTATAATAATTCCTATATTCACATACTCTGTCTGTTTGAGTGGCAGCATTTCTCATTTCTATTGTTGTTGTTGATGGCCGTGGTCGTTGAGCTATCTGTTCGTTGAGCATTTGAATAGTACGGTCCTTCTGTTCCATTTGTTGTGCCATATAAGCTATCTGAAACGGATGATCCGCAACTCAGCTCCTGATCAAGGAAAATGCATACTTGTCTCCGAAACGTAGTGGGATATTTATAAATACATATTTCCCTCAAATTTAAATTGCTTAGCATTAAAATAATCATGCAAATCATGCTTCTAAGTATTTTCTATTCAATGAGGTACTTTCAAATGAATAACAAGACACATTTTGAATTTATTAAATCAAGTTTAAAATGGTAACTAATTAGTTTTAAAATAAATGGAGACATGTATCTAATATGTATTTGAAATAATTTAACTAACCTGTTGTTTCAAATCCAAGATTTGATTCTCGTAACAGCAATGAATTTCCTGTTCTTCTGGGTATGTTATATCTTGTTTGTCCTAGAATTACACATAAATCACCTTTTATAAGAACATGAGATAAAAATAATATTGATGAATGTCAAATGATGATCCTTAAATAATTCAGTTAGAGGACATATTGTGATTAATCGATTTTTAACCTTGAAAAATTGTTAAAAATAATAATCTTAAAATAGGCCTTGGATTTTGGAATGGTCAGTGTCTCAGTGATGTCTTTATTGTTTCTTTTAAATAGACGTAATCTATTTTTAAAATTGTTTTTATTTAAACAAGTAGGTATTTACAGAGATCTATTATATGGAAAATGTTTATTATTTTATCTAGTCATTATCAAATATTAAAAACTAATAATTTTTAAACATTAACATGATAATATCTTTAATATTTTTATGTTTATAAATAATAAAAATATTAAAATTACCTCTATTAGGGCACGGTTTAGTTCGAATAGCATGTTCTTGATACTCGCTATGTCGTCCGTTACTTCTCGAAATCGATCGAAACTCATTAACACATCCCCATTGCTGCCCTAATAACCACTTCAAAATTACTCAAAATTGTCAATACCGCCCAAGAATTGAAATAAATTTCCTACTTACTTTGGAATCTGTATCATCTTTGACTGGAACTACATCGTCTTTGAGTGAGCTACTACTGTTTCTAAAAAGTTAAATACATAAAAATATGATAAATGTATGTTTACAGGTAACTAGTAATAGACATAATAAATTTAAATATTATATTATACTATTTTCTTTACATATTTCACTTAAATTGTGCTAGCTATAGTCTAATTTTACCTTTTAAACACTCGTTTTGACTTGTTAAATGCTTTTATCATTTCGAAATGTTAACACATTTAATATATTTTGTACATAGAGTACAGTTTTATAATCTTATTTGATGGGTTTTGAAAAATGGCTAAAAAAAACCCACGTAAGGAGAAAGGTTTGTAGTATGTTATTAAAAAATGAGGAAAAAATAAGTGACGGTAAAATAGACTACACGGTGTATGGCTAACCGGTTTAATGACTCAATGCAAGCAGTTGTGGAACTCAACACTGATGTACTATGTAGGTACGTTACACGACCAAGGACCAAGGTCATTAACATTGCCTCTCTTTATTCATATACAACAATGAAATTTTTTCTCCCACCAAATATTTATTTTTTACTCATTTGTCCGCGTATAATGTGTATACGTCGACACAGTACAGTAAACCATACACGGCCATAGTGTAATTAAATAATATTACATGCATGTAAACCATGTAAATACTAAATACATAATAATTAATCAATAACCCACCTCGGAGATGTCAAAGATTTCCATTCATTAAATGCGTTTTGTTTGGTTTTCTCCAGTGTTTTCAATAGGTCTTCATTATCAGGATTGACCAGTTTATCATCCACTTGATCATAGTCAACATCAAGCATCAGGTCATCAGAGTTGAGGCTCTCACTTAAGGACCCATCAACACTTAGTGATCTTCTCAAAGATTTGGATATAATTGGGAAAAAATGTATAAGCATTTTAAAACTATCATTGAACTGATTATGTTATATTTTTAATTTAAATTTCAAATTTTTTAAGTTAAATAAATGTATAAATTATTACATTTTTTGTTACAACTGGAATGGTTTCCATGTTGAAACATAACATCATCAATATCTTCTGCATTACAAGACTCTGATGGAGGCCCACTAAACATAAGTGCAGGTTGATCAGCTATTTCATCGTCAAAAAAATCTCTAGTGTCTGATGAAAAAGAACCAGATTTGGAGATACTGCATCGCAAAATTGGAGACATAGTGTCACATTTATCATTATTTGTAGATTCTATAAAGGCAAATAGAATTTTACTATTTTTATGTGCATTAACACAATACATATGTAAAATAGATTTAATATAACTATGCCTAGAACACATTTACACACAAAAAAAATAAAAATTTTGTAATCTATACATAAATACCTAACTATTTTTAACAATACAATTTTAAAATTCTATAAAAAAAACAAGGGACGATTAATTTTTTGACATTGAAATTTGAGATGTAATAAAATATTAAGGTTAATTTAATTTTTTTCTACTTAATATGACCCTTCCTCTCTTCTGCTTTGTTATCTGTTAAAATGCTTGACAGCAAATAAAATGCAGTATCAAGTGGAAATAGAATAAAAATGTTATTCCTACACTTTTTAGAGACATCAGATTTACCATACCAACTAATTATTTTAATTTCTATTTTAACAATGCTGGAAATCATAAATATTACTTTAATATAATATTAGTTGTACTATCGACATTTTTGATATAACATTAATGATAAGAAAAATATAAAATTTTAATTGAAAATTAAAAAATATTCAATTCTTTGTTGACACTCAAATTGTTAATAACTTACATATATAATTTGTCTCAAAATTTATTTTCACTAGAATTTAATATACCTGTCTTACTATGTGGAAATTCAGCAGATTCTGATTCAGTGGGACTTAAACATTCATCATCTGGTGATGTTTCATCTTCAATTCTTATTGTAGAAGACATAGCTGCTAATGTAGCAAATGTTGTATCTTCAATATTTAATAAGACATCACGTAGTGATACAGACATATCAACATTGGCTATAAAACAAAAATCATTAAAGTCTATATTAGGACTTTGTTTATTTAATTATATACTATTTTAAACAAATACCAAATTTATTATCAATGACATTTATTTTATCTTTCATTTCTGTGAACTCTTCTACTGCTAATGCTTCACCAGGCCCATATTCTTCATCACTACATGTATCTTTTCTATCAAATTGTTCAGTCTTTTCTTTTACAAACTCTTCTCTGTTAAAATGTAATAAAAATTAACTGTATTTAGTAGCATAATAAGCATTTATAAACTAAAATGTATAACATATGTTTCAACCCAGTTCCTCATCCAAAATATTTATCAAAGAAAATGATTTTAATTGATCAATGCATTAAAATATAATATTACATTAGTAATCACACAATCAATAATAATTAAAAAATATATTTAAATTAATTAAAAATAACAAAAAAATGGTATCAGATGTAATTTTTTTCTTATTATTTGTTTAGGTACATAACTACAAACAGTAGTTATAAATTAACTGTGTTTTATCTATAGAATAAAACTATCAAAGTCTCCATTTTTTAGAACAAATAACACAGTATTACCAAACACATACAAATTATAACTAAGTTATCGCTGGCTATTGAATCTTATTGTTAATAATAATTAATAATAATACTACTATAATGATTAGGAAAATAAATACTTGTCGTGTTTCTCTTCATAACTGCTTAAATCTGAATCATCATCAGACGATGTCAAATGTTTTGAAGATGAACTTGATACTTGTCTATTTAAAATTAGTTTTCAATGAAACATAAAAATGTAATTATTATATTATAAATATATTAACTACTAACCTTAAATACTTGTTAGCCCGTTCTCTAATTAAAGAACCTTTAGCATTTGAATTTATTGTAAGCCTTGACGGTCTATTAAAAGCAATTACTTCAGTAAATTCAACAGAGTCTGTTAACTTTCGAATGGTCACTCCTTGCTGCATTTGTTTAATTGCTTCATTCTTTAATCTCATGTTAGTAGCCGTTTTAGCACTTTTATTGGGACTTTTGGACACTTGATACCTGATTGGTATTTGAGGTCTAGGTAAATGACTAGAGGTAACTCTGGATACAGCAATTTTTGTACCACTTGATAAAAGCTTAGGAATTTCCCTTTTTTGTGGTTCTGATTGACTTCTTCTTTCCACTTCTACTTTTTTTGTTGTTACTAATGTTGTGGGTTGAACAAGTTTTGTTGCTGGTTTACAGAATCCAAACCTATAATAACAAAAGAAAATGGTTACTGTGAAAAAGTAATTCAATAATAATAATAACAATTTTTGTAATGTAACAAACCTGTTGGGAGAAGGTGTATTACTTTTAGCTATACTTCTTGAACACTTTTCTGTAGGTGTTGACATTGGTTTGGGTAACATTTTAGATTCAAAATTGTTTGGCTTTTCAACAGATTGTATAGGAGCAGATATTGGTCTAATTTTATTGGTTTGGGCTGTTTTTTTGAACCCAAAAGATGATGCTAATCCTTTAGTTGCTGGTATCTGTTTTTTGGGGTAATGATTAGCCTAAAATAAAATGTATTAAGTATAAATTCAACTGTATAACATTGAGAATAAAGAATTAAACAAGTGTGAGAAATATTGTGTAATATACTGGAACACCATATGGTCATAAATGTATTTAGTATAGGCATGAGTTATTGTAAACATGAGGTCATTACCGTTCCTATTCCATATGAAAAAATTAAATTAGCAAGTCACTCTGTCAATGACCTGAATTATGTTATAATAATTTTAATATGGGTATATTAAATATATTTATCATTTATTAACTACTAATTATTAAGCTTGAAAAGATATATCCATTACACAATATTTGTATATAAAAGGCAATTATAACTAGATTATCTTGATTACATCAAACCATTCTTTTTACTTAAGCTATATTTTTAAAATCAATATAAAATAGTAATAATTAAAAGAATCAAGGACAAAGATATAAGCACACAATTTATTATTTTTTAACTATTTTTATAGTTTGAAAAAAATTATAAGGAAATCATAATCCGTATTGTTTAACAAATACATGTACCTATATTTATTAATGCCTTTACCTAAAATACTAAAATATTGGCATGTATAATTAATAGCTATCATTGATTTTAGTATTTTACTAAATAACTAACTATTTTAGAAAATATTTTTTTCTTTATTGGACATTCTGTACCTATAACCTGAATAAGCAGCAAAAACCTATAGGCTATAATATAATTTTAAAAGTTAATGTAACAAATAAAATCAAGTTAATCAAAAAGTTGTAAATTTTTTTATCATTTTGAAAAATGTTAATATTACATTTAAAAAACGTATTAAATTTAAATATATAAAAAAGGTTGTCAATTAATTTATGTATTTGACCATACATATTTTTTAAGTATTACCTATGCCAAATAGGAAAATTTTTATTTATTTAATATTTATATTATGTATATTATGTGCTTTTATATGCACTTGTAAAATAATATAAACACTTACCATTAAGTTAATATAAATTTCATCATTTTTTATAAATAGATCATATTAGTTATTATACATATTTTAACTTAGTATGCATTTAAATTTATAACTTATTCCTAACTACTCCTATATTATGTACGAAGAATATTAGTTATGAATGTATGCTCGATAAACTTCGTTCTTTTAAAAACCAGAAGAATAAAGTATATTTTAACCAATAATTAAATACAGTTAAAAAAAGAGACAGATAATTAATTTCACGTTTAAATCAATATTATACATTTATACCACTAAAATATTTTTCTCAAAATGAATTTTCATTGTTCAATACCGGAAATGGAAATCACTGTTCCGACCGAACATTACAATATACATTTATAAGCCTAAGCACCTTTAACACACTGGAAAACAAATACTACCAAGAATAAGTAATAGGTAACAGAAAAAACCTGATTATAAATAATATTATAATAACAAATTGACGAAAACATTTTAATACGTTTTTTTTATTTACTCGTATTCCAGTAAATTTATTTCAAATTATTAATCAAATAACTCCTCTTACAGACATTCTAAGATGATGTTAATTATTAATCAAATTAACGTCCAATGACTATAGATTTAAAAATATTATATTATATTATATTACAAATCACAATATTAAACTTTGTAATACAATAGTATTTTAAATGATAAAATATTATTGTTTCAATATTCGTAAATTATTGTTTGTACTCCTCAATTTGTAAATTAAAAAATAGTTTTCTGCTATGATCTATACTTGGAAATTGAAAAACGAACATTAGATGAATTTTGAAGAAAATATTATTTTTGATTTTTCGTATTATTATAAAGTAATAACTTGTAATTAATGTTTCACTAAACAAGAATGTACATTAACATTTTTAATGTAACAACTATCAATTATTAAATACCTAACTTAAATAGTTTTTAATCAGATACTACGATAAATTTATTTTAATTAACAATTTTTTTCTAATTATTATTTTTGAAAAATATCACTCAATACAATGTAAAATTCAACATATATATTAAGTACATTACATTATAATGTTTGATTTCGAATTATTTTAGAATCTTATATAGTGATGATTAAAAAAATCAAATTATTACATCATTATAATTGATTAGACTTTATTAAATATACTATACTTAAAATGATGCCTCATTTGTACATATATCGGTCTTAGGAACGTATATAATATCATACTAAATTTGTAGTTGGCAATTTCAATTTATACGTGGTAAATTTAATAACAGAGTGAATCGACACAATAAATTGTTAGATTGATATAATCAAACTTAAAGGTATGAAGTAAGAACTCGGATCTGCACTTTCTTGTGGGTTATTTTTCGATATTTTAATTCTTAAGCAAGTTATCGAGTATTTTTAATTGTAATATTTTACATACTTGCTTGCTTAATAATTAAAAAACTGTAAAAAATCCATGAGAAAGCATAGATAATGTTTTTAATATCCTTTGAGTTTGACAATAAGTCAATTTTCTCAAATATAGCAGAAAATCGGGACTTAATACAAATTTGAATTTTGATGTATCATACGCTCATAATTGAATGACCGAGACACTATGCCGGTATGACATTCTATAAAGCACATTTTAGCGCACCATTAGTTTTATTTCATACCTATTACCTACGTTCAAATTAGCATCCAATAGAACCAATATTATTTTTTGATTTAATATAAAATGAATTAATCAATCACCAAAAAAAAAGTTAAAAAAATATCTATGTTTGTACTAGACATTTTTACGATATTTCACTTTGTATGCAAGTTATAAGTATGTAAAACATTAAAATTCAAAAAAGCCAATAACATGCAAAATACAAATAAAGATAATTTTCTTAATTTAAAGTTAAATAATAGATCAATTAATTTTAATAATAAAACTTACTACACATGATTAGCTATACTGAATGCAAATTCATCACAGATCAGAAGAAAAAAAACAAAAAAAGTTTAAGCACCACAATTTTACGTCAATTTTTTAGAATTTTACCATAAATATATTTAAGTTTCCCTAAATTTATAATTTAAAAATTTTTTTGGAATACACAGTCTATGTATCTTATATTACTATGTATATCACTAAATTACTATACAATATTAATTTATTGTTAGAACTAAGTATCCTCCCTAGAATTTTTGATCTAATTACACTAATGTACATCTTATACATCTTATATTATGATAAACAGAAATTTATGAAAAAAAACACGATATGATACTATTGATGTATTCTACTTACCAATAAATTATTAGTTATTAAACATTTCTAGAAAATAGATTTAATAATATTACCATTATTTTGTAGGTATTTTCTCGAAGTTTCTTGTCTACTGCAATTCTGATAAGTACATAATATTATGCAACATAGTTTAATAATATCAGTCAAACTGCAGTCAGCAATGCTTTATTGAATTTTAACACAATAATATACGAAAAACTCAATGTCAAAGCTACCAACAAATATTGATTTATTATTTGACGAGTTATATTTTAAACTATTAAATAAACTATCACGTATGACTCATTTTTAATATTTTAACATGTGATTTTATAATGAGCACGTTTATAAAATACTGCAGCACGCTCTATTAAATACTATCAACCGAAATATTATATTAAAAAGTCCTTAAATTTATTTTACTTAGAATATTTTGATTAGGTGCAATCATTTGAATTTTAAACATGAAGTAATTTGTCAATCAATAATACATGCATAATGCACATTAGAAAGAAAATATAGAAACAACACGAAAATATTCAACCACTGCAATGGGATACGAATAGGCACATATTATGAAAGCCCGGGGGGTTGGTAAGATGCTATATGCATGCACCTACTGGACATGCTCAGTAGATTGGATCAATACCGAGTACATAAACCAAGTTGAGGCGGGTAGAAATGATCTCAAAATAAAGATGATTTGTCATCGTTATTTATTTTTATTTTTCTATTTCCCCAAAAACAAAATGAAGATATTTTATTACTAATAAAAATGATTATACAAATAACTTCTCAATTTTTATAAATAATATTAATAACTATGGAATGTTAGTATAAATAGCCGATTAGCATATTAGATAATGCCATAACGGATTAATTGCAATATTTATTTGATTTGGTAATGTACCTGTAATTTAACTTATTTGGCTTTATTGCTTTGATAAACATTTGAAAATATGAAAGTCCCCAAGGAAATTTTTTTATAGAAAAGAATAAACTCTTCTATTATATTATTACGCTGTTTTCTTCACTTTCTATTGTTTAACAAGTTGACACATGTCTCCATAAAAAAAACCTTGAAATGTAATCTGTGAAATGTTAGTTAAAAAAATAATACTGAATATACAAGTATTTCAATGATTCATTCACAAAGGATAATGAAATCCATACCAACTAATATTATATTAGTATGCTTAAATGGGTAGGTATATTGTTTTATATTCATATAATCATGCTTTATAACAATGGTTATAAATTATAATAATTCGAACGATTACAAAATGTATAATGTCGTAACTCGTAATTATGATAAAATTATATGAACAGGAAATTATTTTATAAAACCATTGAATATGAAATTGGAAAAAACAAATAAATTTAAAATGTACCTAATGAAATCTATTTTATACTTTGTATGACAGAAAAATAAAAATTGTTTACTTATAATTCTACAAAAATCGTAATGTAGATTAAATGAGTAACTCAAGTTAGCAATTATGGCAATTTGAGGTATATGATTGCGCTATACTTACATTATATTACATTTTTATGTACCTATTAATATATTTTATTACACAGAACATATTATCAGTTTTCGTATAAAAATCATAAAGTACATTTTAAAACTTAACTACAATATAAGTTTTTAGATTATTATTCGTCTCTTTTGTGAACAACTCTAGAGACGTTAAAACGAAAAATAGTATTATTACTCTTACATTGCTGGACGGCTGGTGGAAGCTCATGATGGGTAGTATTTTTTTTTTGTGTACAGTTTTAGACGTACTTTTGCTTGAATTACATCCCATAAATATCCAAAGATTTGCTTAAACTACAAACAAAAATTATTTTAAAAAAATTATTACATATACAAAAATTATAAAAAGAACCTATGCATGACGTAAAGATTGTAATATTAATTTTAAGTACTGAAATAAAATGAATAAGCTCAAATATTGAATAGATGTATATAGTTGCAGAATACTACATAATATAACAAAATTTACGTGTAAAATACTCTAGTATCAAGTACATTTTTTTCTTTATATACTACGAAATATTATAATTATCATTTATTACCTATATTATGTATGGCACGACCGAGTAAATTTGTAGTTTTTATTTGTGATGGGTTTAATCGAATTATTTGTACAATGATAACAATAATACGCACACAACCGTTTCAAGGTCTAACCGCGGTTTAATTTCGCTGTATTTGGTACATTTCAGATCATCCGTCACATAATATAATAATCGATCACACACGTCTATTTTCAGTACTTATCCCGAATATTGAGAGTTGGGATATAAGTATATAACACACAAAACTTGAAGCCCGCGACACCAAACCACTGGGCTCGACGGTTACTACCGTACTAAACAGTAAACGTAAACTCTATACGTCTAAATGTTATTATTAAATTACTACCATATAGTACTATATAGCCATAACGCCCATAACCAAATAATTAATGAATAGTAAAATATAGTAAATACAGAACGGCGCAGACAGAAGAAGACGACGAGTGGTATAGCGGTGGGGTGACGATTACGCAAAGGTGGGAGTGTACTGCCGTCACCGCACACACCACGATCGGAATCGCGTTGCCCCGCCGTTTTTCCGACAAGTAGAGTTAGGAGCGCGGTGTATCTCCTTATCACTTATCAATGTTTAAAATATATCTCAACATTTTCAACAACGAAAAATAATTATTTTTTTATAATATACTCGTAAATCGTAATAAATATTTTATATTATAATTTATAAAAATAACTCCAAAATAAAATTAAAATCACACACTGTAACGACGTAAAATCTAAAAGCAATATCAACACACTTGATTGTATATTATACGTTTAAAACTACCATCTACTGCTACAGGTTACATATTATTACATTATTATTATTTACGATTACGTAAATCAAATTAATGTTTTTATGCTCCTAAATTTGAAAAAAACTATATTTAAGATTCTGACACACTTATGAAAGTATTATGAAAATTGTTTATTTCATAGACAGGATTTCAAAATGGACATGTTACGGAAAGCGTTGAGTGGTCAAGATCGAGATAATGATAGTTCTACTGGAATTTTGCCTGTAAGTAAATTTTACATTCATTACAAACAATATTATATTGTGTTGTTGATTGCAGTCTAAATAATATTACCATTGTTAATATATTTAATACCTTATATCTTCACTATTCACTTAATATTTTTGATAGTGATTATAGTATTTTCCAAATTTAGTTAGAAGAGAAGGAAGGGATATTGAACTAAAATATTATTATGTAAACATCTTTATGTTTAAGAGGTACTGAAACTAGTTTTAAAAAATTAACTTACTAAGTGCTAACTTTCATGAGGACAATATTTATAAAATCAAGTTACTTTGTCTATAATAAAATCTTATGATTATGATATGGGAATTTAGTATAAGCAATACAGCCACTTAGACATATAATAATTTATTATTAGGGTTACCAACCAAATTTTGAATTCTTCAAATTTGAAATGATATTAAATGACCTTTTTTTGTGTTAAATGGTGTCTAACTAATCCAAAATTGTACACAGGATGTTTATTAAATTGTTACTTATAAATATTATAAAAATTACCCTTTATAGTATTACTCTTGAATGTTGATTTTATAATTCTAAATATTTGGAAAAATGTTAATATTGAATCTGTAAATAAATATTAATTATTATTCTTATTATCTATTAGTATCAATTTATTAAAAATAATATAATTTGATAAAGAGTATAACTTTATTAATCTAGATTTATATACCCAAATAATGCAGACCCTTAAATTTCATTTTCATCCATCTATATATACTTTCAATTTAATAAATACAATTATGTTGTAATTAAATACTTATTTAAATGTTAATCAAAACTAAAAATTAGTAACATTTTTATTAATTTATTTTTATTTAACAATTATTATTCCTAATTTATGATACATTTTTAAATAATTAACTTGAATTATAATTTTATTTGCTTGCAGAATGTTAATCAAATGTCATCATTAGAATGGTCTACTCGTTTAAAAGGATTTATTGCTTGCTTTATAATTGGAATTTTTTTTTCACTTTTGGGTGCCACAGCATTAATTTTACCTCTACATAGAAGAATAGCAGTATTTGGTATTTTTTATACACTCGGAAATATTACATCACTTCTTAGGTAAAATACAATAAAGTATTAATATATTAATTTATATTATAATATTATATGCATGTTTTCTATTAATTTTCAGTACTTGTTTTTTAATGGGACCAGTAAAACAAATAAAAAAGATGTTTTCATCTTCTAGAATTATTGCAACAATTATTGCTCTTGCAATGATTGTCTTAACATTAGTTGCTGCAATTGGTGTAAGTTATAATCAACATTTTTCATTGAAATAATAGTTATAATAATTATGTGTTTTAATAATTTCAGATGAAAAACACCCCTTTAACTTTTCTTTGCATTATTTTTCAATTTCTTGCATTGACATGGTACTCTTTGTCATACATACCTTACGCTAGAGATGCCATTAAAAGCTCAATGTCTACAATCATAGCATAATTCTTTATTCATTTGTTTAGAAGTTAATAAATCGATTATATGAAAATTAATGGTTAACTAAAATTATCATCACAGATGATAGAATATGAAAATAGACACTGATATCTATCAACTTGTTATGCAGATTGTATTCCAGTATGTCGTTTTGGTAAAATTTATACTTAATTATTTAGTGTTAAAAGTGAATCCAGTTGTCCGCTAAGTCATAATTTATACACTATTGTTATTTATACTATATGAGTATTTATTTAATACAAGCATTTGTTGAAAATATCATATTTACATACACTTAACTAATTAAATATATTAATAATTTGACTAAGCAATACATAATGAGATAAAAAATGTTATATGATACTGTTAATTATAATTATTGTCTTCCTAAAGAATCTGATTTTGTTATTGTTTAAGACAAATATTTCTATTTTTTTTATAGCTGATTGTAATTTGAATCTATTAATGTACAAAAGTTCACTAACTTAACTATGTCAATTATTATATTGTATTATGTCAATTAACTATGATACTATGTCAAATTAATTTGGAAATGTTATAAAGTTTAATTGTTAGCAATAATGATCTTATGTGTTAAATTATATTTTCTAGTTATTTTGTTAATAAATATAAAATTAAAATTCCATTTTTACTATTATGTTAAATATAATGTTAAAGATTAATCAATAAATAAAAACTATATACTTATTAAGTAAGAATAAATAAAAAAGTAATTAAATTTTAAATTTATTTTTTGTGTTTAATCATATTTATAAAACTATAATTCAATATACTAGGTATGTATTGACAAAAACAAAAATATGACAAATGATTCTCAGTAGAGATAGCCTATGAGCCTATATTACTTTGTGTATATTAATGGTATAATAATATTACTTTTTCAGTAATTTATTTTACTAGATATTTTAAAATTAGGAATGCATCAATTAAAATTAATTTTTGCTAATAAAATTAGATTTAAAATTGTCATTGAGTCTTTAAAATATAATTATATGAAAAAACTAACTTGATACAAACTATATTATAGATATCATTGTATCAAAGAATATTTTTAAATTACTAAATGTGTCATTCTTTGTTTAATTACTTAATTTTATTCAATTTTTAATTTTAAATGCTTAAAAAAAAATGTGTCTAACAAGTATCTTTAATATTTTTGAATATTATAATGAAAAACCTTGTATTAAATTAAAGCTTCGTTATAAAAATTAAAAACTTCATAAATTATTAACAATAAATAAAATGGAAATCTCAGTGAATTTGATGATTCTTTTAAAATTATATGGCTTTGTATCTTTAATATTTCTAAATAGCCATAAACACTTATTATAACCTTTAAACAAAAAATAAAAACTGAAAATAATTACAAATTTCAAATGTTTACCAATATAAAGCTCAAAAAGAGTAAATATTCACATACTTCAAAAACACAGTCACACATACATAAATGTTAGTGTTATTGAATATAGAATAGACACACAGAGGCATTGGTATAGGAATTTTTTATTATTATTATTATTATTATTGATATAGCTTAATATTGCTATAAAATAAAAATTATATTTTCAGAATAACTTACAGTAAATTCCACCAACAGGCAATAACGAAACAAAAATAGTTACACCAACTATATACATAAATCCAATAGAATAAAGACGACTCGGTGAATTGTTTAGGACTACATGTTGATTACGTATAAACAAAATAATAACCCTAGTATAAACAAGATTGAAAATCCTGTACCCAATGCCTATAGCTTAACCCTACAGATGAAATGCTCCCTACTACTATTAGTACTATTACAGATTAAATTATTTATTTAATCAGTGCTACTATGCATGGAAATAATAATACTACATTACCATTATAATAATTTATAATTAATAATTATAGTCGGAAGAATGAAAATTGGCCACTGTCAATAATACCTATATAGTATATAGTATGCATGCCTAGTCGAGCTCTGGCCTCTGAGCAGCCGCTTGTAAAGCAAAAATTACTAACTTCAAAACAAATTTTTAAGAATAACATTCTTTGGTTCATTAAAAATAAACAATTATAGAATAACAGAAATACCCTACCTGTCAACATGGTTAATAAACCAATTCAAAAAATTCCATGAGACTCCAAATACTCAACGAAACTTGAAAGGAGTATTTCGTTTTTAAATCAGCTATATTATCATAAGACAAATCATCAATTCAAGACTATAAACACCACGCCTACCATAAGACAGCTTTATATAACCTATTTTTTATGTTACACAGTACACTATTTATCAGAATTATTTACTATTATATATTTATGAATCATAAAATTTTAAAATTCGTTTAATAAAAAAAAGTAAAATATGTTAAACAAACAAAATTGAATAAATAAAAAAATTTAAAAAAAAAAATCGATTACTGTTACTAATTTCTTATTTTATTAGAGTTCATACATCATATTGTATTATGCGTACAATGATATTTTTAAATGCAATTTTTTTGGTAAAAACTAATTCAACCTATTTTACAAATAAGCAATAAATAAATTGCTGTACCTACTTAATATAATAGCAATATCCAAAACATTTAACATGGCATATTTACTTGATGGTATTAGTCTAATGTCTCCGCTCAGAATCGTTTTTCGCAATAATAAAATATCATTTAATTCAATATTAATAGAATATATTTTAATCTGAAACAATATCTATAGACTATAGTAATAAATTATTAAGAGGACATCGCACCCGCATGTGTTTTCTCTATCTTACACACGTACGACATGGTAAATTTTTGTTCACCAATTTCAATAGTGTGTACTGTGTTTTTAATTTTGATATTAGAGTGAATTGACATATTATCAAACTTTTAGTTAAGAACATTATCTGTGTTAACTCGTTGGTTTTTTACGATATTTTAATTTTTAAGTGAGTTATAAGTATGAAAAATATAAATACTTGAAAATGTTCATAACTCACTTTAAAATTAAAATATCGTAAAAAATTAACGAGTTAACACAGATAATGTTCTTAACTAAAAGTTTGATAATATGTCAAATGTTAATTCATTTTAATAAGTCTAATATCAAAATTAAAAACACTATTGAAATTGCTGAATGAAAATTCGTGATGTCATACGTGTGTTAGAGGGAAACAATACAATATGTAGGTGCGACGTCCTCTTGACTATCCAACCATATCTAGCTGTATTATTGTTCTGTGGCTGTATCAATTGTATCATATGAGCCAATAGGCTTTTTGTTAATTATTAAACTCGTAAAACTATAATATTATTAAGAAATTAAGAAATAAAAATTTGTAACTAACAATTTATAAATAGATTGGATTGTCCAATTGTCTACCAACACTAACTGACCGGCGATCAGCGTAGTAAAATATGTATTTTGTACCAAGTGGTCTAATGTCTATTATGGTTATGATAAATCATTGTATTTTTCGTTCTCAATAACTATAACAATTGGGAATTTTCGGTCATTAATAAAATAATGAACACATTATATAATAATATTTTATTATTGTCTGATAATGGTATTACTCGCACTGGGTACTGACTATTGACTTCTTTTTCCGTGATATTATTATTCCATAATCCTTATTTCGAGATTTCGACTAACAAGCAACAAAACTTTTAAATTTCTACAGTTAATTTAATTCGATCTCTTGTCTATTCTCTATGTAATTTATTTATCGCTTTAGGTAATTTTGAATACTACTGATTTTGTTACTGTAGTTTTATGTACTTTTTAAATTTCTAATAACTCCGTTTTTAAAGTTATTCCTATAAATCCTATAAATAACCATTAGAATACCACGAAACGAATTTTAGAATCACATTGAGTAAGTAATTAGTCCAATTTACCTCTACATTTCGTGTGTTTAAACTTTAATTCAAAATGTTTTCTCTACTGTTAATAATTAATACTGGTACATTCAGTGTCAGATTTAGAACAGATGCCGCCCTAGGCCCTTTTAAATATGCCGCCCCAACCTCAAGAAAAATTAAATGTAGTATTTATTTCTTAAATTCATAGATTTACTTTTATGTTTTTAAATATCTGTATTAACTATTATATCATATTAATTTACGCAGTTACATAAATGCATGAAATATTTAGGTAAATGGTTTTTTTTTTCATTTCTTACAAAATTTGCCGCCCTAGGCCTGGGCCTAGGCGGAAGCTTGGCCCTAATTACATTATTAGTATTAATTGGTATTTGGTAAGCATAAGCATATACTTAATTTTAACTTAATTAGTTTCTGTATAACAATTAAAGTAATACAATGTATCATGTTGATGAATACTTATGTTAAAAAATAATTTTAACTTTTAAATACTATTAACTTACTTCCATTAAGAAGTCTTTATAGATGCTATCAGATACTACCAACAGTTAGTGACTATTTTTTTCATTTTTAGGAATATTTAACTATTATAAGTACGTACCTGCGTGGTATTTATAATATTGATTGTAAAAACAAAACTAGAATTATTATAATTTTAAATTCATTTACTGTAAATCAAATGTTTTCTTATAGTTTTAAGAGTAAATTTATATTTTTAATACAATTAGTAGAAATAATAAATTATACTTATAATGATGAATAATATTAAATAATATTAAATAGGTATTTATTAGTATTTAACATATTTTTGTATTGTATAATGTATTGTAGGTATTTTAAATTCTGAGCAGAGTAATTAATTTATTAATATCACAATGTCTGGTTAGATTTCTGGAGACGCCTAACAGTAGAATAAATGCTTTGATTTCTAAATTTGAAGTTGGTTTCTGGCACTTTTTGATAGCCAAATTCAAATTGAATTAATGTAGTTAGCGTTTTGAATTTTCAAAAGTTGAAATTCCTAGAACTTATTTGCAAAATAAAACATAAATTTTTAATGTTTAAATTATATTTAAGTATCACTATTATTATCTATAATATGAAAATTATTTTCCAAATTATTAGATTAGATAGAAATTAAAGTAAAAAAAAAAGTTTGTAAAATATTAAAATCACTAGGTAGATAAATTAGTTTGAATGATTAGTTTTGACTTAAAAAAGAAATGGAATGAGAATTTTTAACATTTTTGCTAATTACTATTAATATAACACAGAATTTCAAGTATATGTATATTTTATTTATTTATTAGAATTCGGAACTTATAAACCTAGAATGCTGTAGTGTTTTCCTGTATTATAAATAAAAGCCTGTTGTATAATTAAAATTTAGTTGAATGTAAATAATTGCTAACATTTTTCTAAAAAGAAAACATTATAACATTTTTAACTTACATTTTATAAACTATTTAGAATTTACCAATTTAAACTTAGACGATTTAAATTTGATAGACGCTGTAGCTGTATTATTTGTTATTACTTCATATATTACAATTAATAATTTTCAAGAATTTTTAATATTAATTAATTAATTTTTTTATTGTATTTTTTATTTTAAATAATATTATATATTCATGTATTACTTGCCTTTTTTTAAATTTAAATTTAATGTATTTTTTTTTTCTATAGGTTCAAAATCTGGAAATCTTCAAAATTAAAAATGCCTGTAAAAAAATCCATTCATAATAGTCGTAGTTTTGATGTATACCAAGATAGAAATAAGTATTATGAGGTAAAAGTCTTATATATTATTATTACATTATAATATTGTTATTTAAGTTTATAAGTTAAATCAAATTTGACTATCATAGTTGAAAAAGATGTCTTAAAATTTATCTATATTTGTTTATATTTTAATAGTCTTCATTAAAATATTTATTTTTTATATTTAATTTGATTTAAATTAAACTATTGTTAATACAATTTATATTTATATTTCATAAATTGAAGTACTATAATTTTATTGTTTATAATTTATCTACCTTACTAGGATTTACGTCGTAAACGCAATGATGTAACTATTGAGTTGCGAAAAACTTTACGTGATGAACAATTGAAAAAGCATAGAAATATAGTTTTAGATGCTAATAATGATGAATTTGAATTAAAACCTGAACCTGAAGTTGAATTGACAATTGATGATATCAAAGAAGGTGAATTAAATTCCTTATTTTCAATTTCTTAATATTAACTATTTTTTTTTTTTCTAATAATTTAAATTTATTATAAAAATATTATGTCAAGGTTTAAAAAATCATACATCATCAGTTAAAAAATTAAATTGCTTAAAATATGCTCGTAAGATGTTAAGTTCAAGGAAATGTGCTCCAATTGATGACTTTATTAAAGCTGGTATTTTACCAATGTTGATGAATTTCTTAACACCCAAATATAACAATGAGTATGATTGTTAATAGACATCCATAAACTTTTAATGTTTTTAAAAATACAAATTTCTTACAGCACTGATTTCCAATATGAATGTTCATGGATATTGACAAACGTAGCATCAGGATCATCTGCAAATACCATTTCTATAGTTAATGAGGGTGCAGTTCCTTTACTTATTAATTTGCTTAAATCGCCAGATATGCGTGTGATGGAACAAGCTGTTTGGGCTTTAGGAAACATTGCGGGTGATGGACCCCAACTTAGAGATATTGTATTATCTAATGGTATTGTACCAATTTTAAACAGTTTATTAGAAACAACTGAACAAGTCACTGCACAACAAAACATAGTATGGACATTATCAAATCTTTGTCGCAGTAAAAATCCTCCTCCAAATTTCAATTATTTACTTCCATCTATTCCATTGTTGGTTGGAATGTTGAGTCATACCGATTCTCAAGTTATTTGTAAGTAAATACTGAAATAGTAATATTGATATAATATCTATTTTTATGATCTAGCTAATGCTTGCTGGGCTTTATCATACTTGACTGATGGAAGCAATGAAAAGATTCAAGTAATTATTGAGGCAGGTGCATTGAAAGCAATTTTAAGATATTTAGAATTTGATGACACTACTATTCTTATACCTGCACTACGAGTTGTTGGAAATATTGTTTCCGGTAATGATGTACAAGTAAGTTATTGTTTTATTTAATAAACATTTTTATTTTAAATTATTTAATCTATGAAATTTATGTAGACAAAACATGCATTGGATCATGGTATACTTAAATACCTTCATAATCTATTAAACCATAGACGTATTCCTGTTGTGAAGGATGCTGCTTGGTTGTTGTCAAATGTGATGGCTGGAAGTGTTGAACAAATTCAAGCAGCCATTGATCATAACCTATTGCCAGTTTTGATTAAAACCTTACAACGTGTAAATTTATCATTAAGAATGTTAATTGAATTGGTTTAAAAAAATATTAATGTTATGTAGGGAGATGTAAAAGTACAAAAAGAAGCTGCTTGGGCCATAAACAATCTATTTAGTGGTGGTTCAGATACTCAAAAATCTCATCTGATTGATATTGGAATATTGGAACCTTATTGTGCATTATTAATCTCTCCAGATGACAGAATGGTAGAGATTATACTGGAAGGTCTTAATCAACTATTGGAAGTAAAATAAAATTGTTATTTTACATTTTGTCATATGTTCTAACAAAAGTTTTTTATACATTAAAGAAATCTGACTTCACCCGAGGCAAAATTTGTATGTTAATTGAAGAAGCAAATGGATTAGATCATTTAGAAGCATTGCAAAATCATTCTTCTCAAAAGATTTATGAGATGTCATTCAATATAGTAGAAAAATATTTTCAAGGAGAGGTTTGTTTAACATTACTAACTGATTATTTTTTCATCTGTTAATCAATAAAATTCATGTTTTTTTATTTATTTTTTAGGATGAAATTCAGGAATTTGACTTGGGAATAATTCCACAAGATATTAGTTCAGGAAATTTTTTCAGTATTGATCATTGACAAGAGAAAATATCTCAAAAATTTAGTATAACTGATATAAAATTAACCAGTTCTTATTTTTTATTCAAATTATTTTTTGTAGAAAAGTCATCATATTTATTTTTATATTATCGAATTATTCATGTTTATATTTTCAACTAGTTATTTTTTTTATGCAAATTTATTTATTACTTATAATGTTCTTTTATGATTTAAAAAAAAATTGTATATAATTTAAAAAATATTCTTTTTAGAAACAGTTGTATTTGACATGTTGTAAAATGTCATACATTTGCAGTTGTATTAGGTATATTTTAAAAAACGTAACAACTGTAAAATATTTTATTTCAACTGCTACCATTTATTTTACTTAAACTATATCTTTGTGTTTATCAAATTATTAAATTTATAAAATTGGTTCTTTAATTACAAAATAGTGATCAATAATTGTTATCATCATAAATTTCTATATGTAAAAAAAATAAATATTTTTCATGTTTTAACTTTAAAATAATTATTTGGTGACATATTTTTGGGGGTTTACACCCCTCCCCTCCCAGAAATATGCAATAAAGCATGTATAATACAGGAATGATTTCTGAAAAAATCATGGGTTGGTGTGACTAAAATTATTTTATCTGATGACTTTTGCTGACTAAGTGTTTGCCTCTCGAAAAATTCCTGGATCCGTCCACATCACTATTATGACACCCTCTTCCCCTTTTAAAAAATCAGTGTAAATATGCCTCTGTAATTATTTAACACTTAATTTTCAATTTTATAGGAATAATTTCTAAATTATATTGCTTTAATATTTAGCTAGTTATTAAATTTTTTTTAGCTAGTTCATATTATGTGGGGTAGTTTAGATCATAAGATGAGCTTTAAAATTTGATTTCTTCTACTGTGATATAAGAGTTTTAGTTATGAAACTATAAGTAAAAACAATTAATGTGTCAAACCTATATAAACACTAAAATTAAATACGAATAGGTTAAAATCACAGTAAATTGAATACTTATTATTTATTATAATAGGAACAAAAAATAATAAGCTTAATAAATTTCATGAGAAAAAAATATTAGTTAAAGTATTATATAAATTAAATATTTTTTATTGGTATATTTTAATAAATGCTTTGGTCACTGCAGATTGCTAATGAAGCGGGGCTACATATTATTATAGTACATTGGTGATTTATACAATATCAATTGTATTTGTATTATTTTTTTATAATAAAATTGTTGCATACAAATAATTCCCAAAAGGGGATTTAAACAAAGTAAAAATCATAGAAGAATCTTTGAACATATATTTTTAAGTTTTTCTTTTTATTACATTGTACTAGTTTTTGCTAATAAATCGTATTGATTTTATAGTTATTTTAATATTAGTTTCATCATGTTCATGTACCTTTCTATGGTAAATACTAATATCTGGCTAGTCACTATTTATTTTAAATTTCTACAGTTAACATTTTTAAAATTAATTATTTAAAAATATTAAGAACAACTTTTGTGGGATCTTGTGACTTTTATTTAATTGTTCAAGCTTTTTAAATTGTTGTTGAAATTAAATTATTCAAGTAGAACCATCAAACATGGCAATAAAAATGTACATATCTAAAAAAAAGAGGATTATACATAGTACTATTTATAATATACATATATATATGGTTAACACAAATTATATTATCATTGATAAATGATAATAGATTACGGTAAATGAATTTTTTTTACTTTTAATTTTCTATATCAAACAAATAGATACATTCGTTAAAATTAAACTTTAAAGGTTTCTCTAATCATAATATATTTCTATTTTTTACTTTGCCACTATGAACATTATATCAAATTAATGGAAAGTTGTTGTAAATTGACTTATTTAAAATGTCGACCGTACGTAAATCATCTTTGACAAGATTTCTCCATTGGGGACCAATTTTATCAATCAGTAAGTTTTTAAAAATTTGTCTGAGTATGGATTAAATTTTTAATTTTGGATGTATTTCAGTAATTTACAAATTCGTAACATTAACAACGTTATATTTTACGGAAATGTGGTGGCCATGTTTTGGTTCATTGGGTGGATTTCTCAATAATGCACTTTTACTAACGTTATTCGTTATTAGCTTTTCATGTTATTTAAAATGTGTTATTATTGGTCCAGGATTTCTTCCACTCAAATGGAAACCGGTACTATACAATTAAAATATTTAATTTTACACAAATAACTGAAATGACTGAATTTGATTCTTGTTTAATAGGAGTTTGAAAAAGACCAACAGTATTTGCAGTTTTGCACAATATGTGATGGATATAAGGCACCCCGCGTTCATCATTGTCATAAGTGTATTAATCCAAAACTTTTGTAACTATCATATGTATCTGTTTAATGTGTTTTAAAATCGTTAATTTAGGTAACCGCTGTGTGTTAAAAATGGATCATCATTGTCCATGGTTAAACACTTGTGTAGGCCATGCAAATCATCCATCTTTTGTGATATTTATTTTTGTATCCATAGTAGCATCTATTCAATCATCCATATTATTACTCAAGACCCTTCTGCTTGTACTCGCGTAAGTAAGTTTAGTTTTTGAAATTAATAATTGACTAAATTAAAATTCATTTTATGTATTTTATTTTGTATTGCATACTTAAACAGCCAGTATGGACACCGAGTATTGATTTATTTTCCATTAAAGTTAACTCTTTTATGGCTTACAGCATTTGGATTAGCTATATGTTTAATCCTCACTCTCAGTTTACTGTTTTTTATACAAGTTAGTGCATAAGTTATTATTTAAATAAATATTTATTTACTTAAATTAACTTGTTTAAACTGACAATGTGTAAAATTTTGTATATTCATGTAAAATTTTAGTTAACTGTTATAATTACATAAATAATATATTTATTTAATAGATGAAGTATGTGTTAAAAAATTGTACAAATATTGAAGACTGGATTGTAGGAAAAGCAATATCAAGACGTGAACAAGATCGAAATTTGCCACCTTTTATATATCCATACAATTTAGGGAAATTAAATAATATTAAAGCTGTAAGTATATATTTTATGAAAATATAATTATACTCTTTGCAATTAATTAATTTTGGATAACTATTATTTTTATAATGAAATCTTAACTTTCTCGTTTTAGTTTAAATATACAATGAAACCTTTGTATAATGAACAGTCATAAGGCCATCAAATATGTCTGTTATAGACAAGTATCTATTTTTGATAAGTGTTAGTATTTTTCTAGTCAAACTCACATTTGTATCCATTTAATGAAAATATTGTTTTTTATAAAAAAAAAAAAAAGCTGATAATGAATATTAATAAATAATACACATAGTGCCATAATTAATTAATTATACATACACAATTATTATTGTCAGCAATATTGGAGGTTATTGTAATTGGGTATAATTTGATAAGTAATTATGTGCTACATTGTCATAACTGGTGACATTGTTGCATAGTATGTGCGCAAACATGTAATTTTGAACTGTAATTTGTATCCATTATTAACAGGTATTGAGAAGAAATATAACTGTCTGCGTCTGTTATAGATAGGTCACAATATATTGGAATACCTATATTTTTCTAAGCTTTAATCATTTTGTCTATAAGAGAGGTATCCATTTTATAAATGTGTTAGTTAAATTAGGTTTTATTGTATGCAAAAGAGTGCTGTTCATTTCTTTAATTTTTGTTTTCTTTAGTTTTTTTCTAAAGATGATGGTATTCATTGGGCAGTACGAGATGAGTGTGGTGAATATGATTTAACTGTAAGTTTTTTTTTTTTTTTTTTTAATTAAGTAAAAGAGATAATTTGCTATGAGTCCCTAAAATTCATTTTCTAAATTTTGAGCAAAGAAAAATATTAATTCTATTTTAATTTAAAATTTTTAAATACTATGTATTTGTTTATTGTATATTTCTTAGAATACTTGACTGAATACTAAAAATATTAACTTAATATACATTTTTATTAGATCATAAAAACATTTTCATTTAGTTATTTTTTAATAAAATTAATTTTAATTTATAAAATATTATATTTATTATGTATTTGATAGTTATTTAGCCTATTACTTTTTGTGTGCTAATCATATAAATATAAAATAAATAGCAAAATATTTTGAGTTTATCTTATATTGTGTTGTAAAATGTAATTTTTATGTGCCATAGCTCCCACATATTATTAGGTTTTCATTTATTTTGTATTTTTGCAAATATTTTTTCTATAATGAATAAAAAAAATTACTACCTCTTTGCTATGTTATGTTATAATAAATTTAAAGGTAACATTCATTGCATTTTCTTGAATTGAATAGCATATTAACTTAATAATATTTTATTAAATTATGTCATTTTTAAAGATTGAACAATTAGAACAAAAATTGATTAAAGAGTCATGGAAACAACCTATGGTAGTAATTAAAGAATATAATGGCAGATGGTTTCCATTAATGTTTGGTGTATGTGTTTGTTGTCAAATACCATGGACTGACGAATCACGGATGCCATTAAATGTTGGTGAGGTTGTTCAAGTCACCAGATTTCGAAAGTAAGTTATTTTGTTCATATTTTTAACTTAATTTAATAGTTGACGTTTTTTATGTTAGATATTGGATGTATGGTCATAAAAATGTTTCCAATGGTACTCGACTACGAGGATGGTTTCCAAAACCTTGTGTGTCTTCAATACTTAGCACGACAAAGAAAGAAAAATAAGCTTCTGACAATTTTATTTTACTATTTATGTTGGTATGTATTCTATTCCAAATTGTTAAAATTACTTGAAGTATTTTAAGTCTGTAAAAAAATGATTTGTAATATTTTTATTAAAATTAAAACATTTAATAATAACATTGGTTTTACTTAATTTTAATATTTTTAAATACATATACTCCTTAACAAATGTGTTGAAGTTCTTTTAACCTAAATGTTTAGATTCATATGGTATTATTAAAATTGTTATTATATTTATTATGATCTAATTTCAAATAACTTCCAACAAAGTAACAGTTATTTTAAATTGGGAAAATTCTTTAAAAAATTGTGTGGAACTATATTTTAGTTTTAACTTTTATAATTTTAATAATCCTTAACAGTGTTCAGTGTTTGTATTGGCTAATACTATTATATAGTATATTATACTACTATTATATCTCCTTAAATAAAAAAAAAAAAAATCTTTTAAAAAATATATTCTCAATAATTTAATATTTTTCTTAATCATAGTAAAAAACATATTAATTTGTATTTTTAATAATACAGTAATGATTGTTTTTGAAAATATTAAATTAATTTATTATAATTTGTAGACATATCTTGTTTTATAAATATTTAATCATACAACAAATACAAGCAAGAGGTATAGAATAATAACACTTATTACCTTGCTAAATTAATTCAATATAACAGACATAGTGTGGCTGGAGGAATAACAAATAATGTTCAATTCAAAAACTATAAGATGATCCAGATAAACAAATATTTTTATTTTATATAAATAATTAAATAATAAAGGCATGACATATGGTTTGTTATTTTTAAGCATATAAATGTACTAATAATCACATTGTATGCTTATAATAGGTATTCCAATATAAACCAGACATTTATTGTTTGTGTATTTATCGTATAAAAATATTAAATTATAATTATATTAATACTATTATATGAAAGCTATTTATTGATCAGATGACATTTTAAATAGGCAACTAAATGTTAAAACTTTTTTTTTGTGAGCACCATCTAACTACCTGTAATTTTAAATTATTAGTTGTTAAATGAAAAAACAAACAAAAACTAGACAAATTATAAAGAAAATTGATTGTAATTTTTTTTTTTTTTAATAAATGGTTTTTGAATCAATCAACAAATATAAATAATAAATAGACTGTTTAAGAATGAGTAAATTTTGATTAAAAATTGTTTAGATAAATTCTATAATTTTGTAAGGTAATTGAAAAATTTTGAAATACATTAATTTTTATTTTTCATATTTTCTGTTAACCTCTATTTTTGAAATAATACGCATATAATCTTTTCCTGATGGTAATTCAATAACTGTTGTGATAGGAAATTTTTTTTTCAATTTCATCTTTAGGTGTTTTTGGCGATATCAAGCAATCCATGACAGGCTATAAAAATAATAAAATAATAGGTTTACAGTTGTGATTTACAAATAATAGTTAAACAGTCAACACCAACACTGTAAAACTAAATTAAGCACTCAATTTTTTAAAGTAAAATAATGTTCATATGTTATTACAATCAAATATGACTTGTACATGACAATAATTATTTGAGTTATAGGTAAATGTCATAAATTTAAGAATTAAGGTTTTTTATCTTAATGTGGATAATTATTGTACTTGCTTAATACCTAAAATGAGTTTATTATAAATTAAGCATCAGAAATACTTTTAGCTTATAAATTATGTCATGTCATTTTTACATACTGGTTATGTTTGAAATAGGTTATTTTATGTAATACCTTTCTAAAAAAAAATTACCAATATACATGTTTTAAGCCTTTCAACAGTTTACATTTTTTACTATGATAATAATATAAAAAATAAATAAGTTTAATTAAATATCATAATGTTGTGCAAATAAGTAAGTAGGTACTTACTATAGGAGTGTTAAGAAATAGGCCATAGACAAGTATTCTATTTCTATTAATGGAATTACAAATTAAATCAATTAGTTTCATAGATTACAAATTAAAATAAAATATATTTACTAAAAAAAATATAAAATATAACCTAAAAAATTATAAATATTTATAATGTGGGTATATTGGGCATGAATATTTAATTTTAATTTGTCCCAATTTGCTAACTTCGTACATTTTCAAGCCCTAAGTATGAATATTAAACATTTATGAATTTTTTAAATCATAATAATTTACACTTTCACGATTTTTACAAAATTCTAATTTCAAAACGCTCATCAATTTCTTTTATGAATTTACATTTAACTATTTTTGTTTAATTCTAAAAATAACAACTTGAAAATAAATAATTGTTAAGTGTAGTTTGTTATTTATTTTCAAAAAATTTTGTGGACATCTTTTTCAAATAATATCTATAGTCTATACAGTGCAGTGTGTTATTTAAATTTGTCACTAGTCAAATGATAGTTTTTAAGAAATTAAAGAAATACATGGAACATTTTTTATTTTTGTGACATAAAGTAACTGATATTTTCTGACTGAAAGAATGAAAAGTTTAATGTAACTGAATTACATTCAAAATTTACTTTCCCAACATTGGTATAGTAGCATCACGTGCCAATTGATGTAATAATACAACACATCTTATTTTTTTAAACTGATTTTGATTATCAAAAACAACGAAAGATAAAAAGTAAAAGGTGTGGGTAGTACTTTAAGATTAAAGATATAAATAACAAAATTAAATATTTTTATCACTTACTTATGAAATAATAAAATATATGTAGGTATATAATGTATAATAAATATGTACAAACTTTCCACCCGCATGGAGTATATAAGTCATTGCTGAATTTGAAAGACAGCTGTAAGGCATCAATAGTTCTAAAGATTTCACTAAATAAGAATAAATAATTATTATCAATTATGTTTCAAACAATCATAAAAATACAAGTGCTTCAAAAAGATAGATACTCAAAGTTACGTCCAATGTTTTGAGGATAAAAATGTATGAGTTGTATGGTCATGTCAGGTGCCAAAACAAATGCTGCTCTACAAGAAAGAGGAATACCGTCTTCATCCGTGCATTTTGCATCTAATACGTTGAGGTACAAAGACATCATACGATTACAATCTGACACAATTGGAAATGGAAATTCTTCTTCATATTTTAATCCACTTATTTTCTTTACATCCTTAATATAGGTAGAAAAATTGTTAAAAGTACCTACAATAACTGATAATATTCAAATGCATTTAATTACTGTTTAAACTCTTAATTAATTGTATAAATTTATAGGTAACACACCGAGTCCACTTCTAACACATGCCAGTCCTATTTGGAGCAAATGTGCTCAATCTCTCTTAATACAATTTCAAACATTCCAAAACAAAGCACTAAGAACATAACAAACTTCATGGTTTGTAAACAGGAGCGGTGCTACACGGGGGCTAGGTGGACAAGTGTCCCTTCAATATTCGATTTCCCCCCCTCCCCCGTATAGTTTAATATTGCCTAAAGTTATATAAGCTTATGACAAGTTTACATAAAACATATAAGTACTTAAAGTACTTACATCTACTTTGGATTACGTTATGTCAAAAATATTTATCTAAGTAAATAAAGAAACTTTAAATCATTATTTGCATATAAAATAGTATTATAATTACCTACTTTAAAAAGTTTTTAGATTTAAATTATATAATATTATTATATTAAGTAATAAGTTTGAATGTTATATTCTATTAAATATGTTTTTTTTTTATACATTTATAAATAAAAATACTCAATAAAGTTAATACTTACTGCACTAAATGCACACTTTCTAAAATCTCATACATTAAAAAATAAAAAGTTATTTATTGTTACATACTTACATACAAATAAAAAACAAAACGGAGGAAATTTGAAGTTTTACTGTACCTAGTACATTTATGTTAATAATATAGCACCTAGGTTTATATTTTTATTATTTATTTAGGAATGTAAATTATTAACCCAAAATATTTTTAGCAATACTTTCCTGAAAATATGGTATAAACGAATTAATAGGTGATCGAATAGCTATACATAAATGTCGGACCAGAAAAAAATTTGGTCCGATATCACCTCCTCAATAAAAAAAAAATATCTGACGCCGCTACTGTTTGTAAAAACCTAAATAAACACAAAGACCTCCAAATTCCAAATCTTCAAGACCACGTTAAAAATTCGACAGAAAATATCTTCAAGTCCATTCACTCTATTCACAAATCAACATGCTAAATTCACTACTCTACCATTTCAACTCCGTCTTCAGCGTAGACGCCCCTATGACTTAATTTCTTGAGAATTATTCTAGACTTTAGTTTTTAGATTAAGCCTCTAACCTTAATCAGTAATCATTATTTCATAATTATAAATATTATTTATTAATCGCGTTTAGAAAGCTCAGATTTATATTTTATTATTATTATCTCTAGAGTCTAGATATAGTTAGCTAGGCCCTAGGTATATCTTACTGTAAATATATACATATATATTATAATTTATATGAAAAAAATATATTGTATAATATATACCATTGTCCATTGTATAGCAATAGCTTAATAGTTTATAAAAAGATTGAAAAGTTAATTTATTATTGTTAATTTGGAGTGTATAAAATAGGTAAGGTATATGTAATTATTATTCATTATAACATATTATAAACTACTATAGATATATATTGTCATTTTTTTTTTCAAATTAATGATTTTTAATATTATTACCTCTATCCATTTAGTATGAGAATTAATAGAATCACAAGACATAGCTAATATTTTTATACCTCGAGATTCAAATTCATGAAAGTTTTTCACCAACTGACTCAGCTCATCGGTACATACAGCAGAAAAATCAGCTACATAACATACTAACAAACCCCAGCTACAAAATAAAATATAGAATTACTAATAATTACATAACAGTTATACTATTTTTGAGTATGAGTAGAAATGTATAACATATTATAAGTCTTATTTTAACTAGGTATGTAAAATATTAATGTTTAAAAATGCTTATTGTACACTTAAAAATATAAGTGCCGTAAAAACCAACAATAGATAACTCAGATAGTATTTTTGACTTAAAAGTTTTTATAATGGGTCAATTTACACTATAAAATTTAAACTAATAACATAAAATTAGAATTGCTGGACATAAAATTGTCTATACTATGTTCTTCTCACCTGTCTCTGAAGTACTCGTGTACGCTAAATTCGCCAACGGTCGTCTTTACGCTAACATCCGCTATTGTCTGTCCTATTCTTAACATTTTATTTTGAATTATATGTAATATTTATCGGATGCACTGTATCCTATATTGAAGTAGACAATTTTTTTAATCTACGTATACTTTAATAAAACAGAAAAATATGTCAACAAAATAAACAATAAGCGACGCGATTGTGATGTATATAATGTTAAAAAACCATGTTATAGAGCTAGAATGTTAAATGGCATCTACGAGTTCGCAAAACAATTATTTAACCCTAATACGTATGTATCTATTGTACGTAAGTACCAACTATAGTCTACAATTATATTTCCATATACCAATGGTATATTACAACATTGCAAATTCATCCACAGATTTTCGATTTTTTACTCACCACTACCATAGATATAATTATAATATAATATTATAAACATTATAATTAAACAATCAACAATCAACAATCAATTACTGTCAATATTTGTTGTAAAAACAAAAAAATAGAAAGATTGATTTAACCCATAAAATATTATAATAAATTTTTTTCTGTTGTAAAATATTTTTACTATACAATCTATAAAATAGTTTACAGTAAGCATAAGTGATGTAATTTTTTCTATTATATGGTCATTGAAGATGTCTGAAGTGAAGAGGTCCACATTAGCGTGGTATTTCGAAATAAAAAAAAATTGCGTGTACCTATTATGAATAAAATAAGTTTATTTATGTATTTTCGTTTAAATAATTTCTTTCTAATAAAATATTATTTTAAACTTGTCTACCCTAATCCTAAACCCAAGCTTTGTCGTTGCTCATTAATGAATGAAAGCCACAAGTAATAGGTGGAATATTGGCTTTCAGATCTGAAAAATATGCGGCAGCTTTAACATAATCCTGCATCTATTTTCTTCTAAACATATAAATAAACGATAAATGATAAATATTTTCTAATACATAGATTCTATTTCTATAGTGAATAAAACACCCATCTCTATAGCTAATAATTAATATCATCTTATTAAATATTTGAGTAAAATTTAATACAAGTTCTACATTTTATTAATAGTTACAATACCTATACCTATTAGATACAAGTTTAATATTATATTAATATTAAATAAAATAATTTTAACTTATCTCAGTTATAAAATTACAAATTTATAATTACTTATAATAAAATTTCAATTTTTTCATAATAAATACACCTTTAAATACTCAATATAATTTTCAAAGTATTTATATGAATTAAAAAATTATTTACAATTAATTCTGTCAGTTTATATGTGCATAGGTACCTAATATAAATCAACATTATATTTTTTTTACGCATGTTCTTCATTCTCGTTTTCCGAGGCACATTATAGTAACATTTTGAAAAAAAAAAATAGTTACCACGAAAGAAGTATAGCCAGTAAAAATCAAAGATGTTTAAACAATAATAGGTAAGTGGTATATTACAAAATGTATGAATGAAATAAATAGTATTTGTGATCAAAATTGTACAACTAATACCAGTGGCAGATCTAGGATTTTTTTATGGTGGGTGCTAATGTGCTATTTTGTTAATAATAATAGTCCTAAATTACTTATTATACATATACAATTTGTGCGTGGTCGCCGACCGGTATTTGTACTCCACGGTGCGGGGCGCACGTTCTGGTAGCCCGTACTAAAAATTTGCCACTCTGCGAATTATTGGTAATTTTTAATAAAAATACGCGGAACGGTGGGTGCTTCAGCTCCCAAGCACCCCCCCCCTAAATCCGCCACTAACTAATACTGTCTAATACTGTATTACTGTATAGTACCATAAATGAAAAGGTGGACTATAGTTAATGAAAATAATAAACTGAAGTCAAATTAAGTTAAAAGAACACAAGATCGATAAGTTAGAAATTAACCGTTTTTGAGAAGTAAATTAAACAAATATATTCAAATTTGAGTTGACAATTAATCATATTACTTTTGCAATATCAATAGACTGGAGTAGATAATTGGGATTATCTATAGGTAGGTACAACACGGCAATAAAAAAAAAGCTTAAAATATACAAAAATGCAAAATTAAAATTGCACATTCTAAATTGTTATATTATAACAAAACAAATTTGGTTTTTGGTTAGAAATGTATAGCATTTAAAGAAAAAAATGCAAAATTTATCAAAATTCTAGCTGTAGTAATAACATATAAACTTTAAGAGTATATTAGTAATAATATGGTCTAAAGTATAATTGTGTTTTTAAAAATATTTCTTCCCATACCTATATATTATGATATATAATATAATAATTATAAGCATATTAGGTATATTACATAGGCTATAGGTATTTTAGGTTTTTGTATGTGAATAGAATCAGTGGCACTGTAGTTACTAGTTATTATTGACTTATGAAGATTGATTTTATTCTGGTCCTTGCATCTTATAACAAATAGTACCTATACACGCTATTATTATATATGATCACAATACCTGAATAAAGAGATTGGAATTACGTTAGTAGAATATCTGAATATTATAAGTATAAAGTAGGGCTAGGATTTTTATGGTAAAGTATGTATTTTTCTTCAAATTTTGATTATTGCTTTTGTTAGTTACCTATGTCCACAAATCATCTCATAATGATATAAAGAATGGTGTTTTTATACTGCATATTCTTGAATATGTAATGATGTGCTCTAAGCAATCATAGTTAAATATTTATATAATAAAATTATGACCTTTAACTATAAGTATTTTATCAATATGACAAATATCAAATATTTAATAACCTTTAGCTATAAGTCATCTATTAAGATAATAATGTAAAACAATAAAATGACCTATAGTCAGACAAAACACACACACAAGACACACGATATAAGAGGGCCGGTCACCAACGGTCAAGGCGGAGTGCTCTTCCGGTCTTTTTGTATAAATGATCATAAGCGAGTGTAAAAGACTACGCAGATCAGATATACAAAAATACGTGTTAGTGTTAAAATACATTTTATATTTATGTTAAAGTTAAATTTATTAAATAGTGTTAAAGAAAAACTATAATAAAGATAATAAGTATATTTAAGTGAAAAAAGTCTTACATTTATTCAACGTGCACTGGTCACCTTATTCCACATTCAGAAAGAAGCCATTGCCAAGAGAAGAAAGGTAATGTAATGATTTATGATTGATCTAAAGGTGTATAATCAATAACCTCTGATAAATATTACCCCTTCGTTTACAATCTCCTTTTTAAATCATTACAAATAGGTATGCGAAAAATACATGGTTTATAGTAGGGTATATTTTGTTAGACGTTTTTAATGTGTGACAGATGACAGTATGCATTGCATTGACACTGTTCAAAAATATCTATAAGAACATATTAAGGTGTAATATACGATCGTCATCATATTATAATTGTTTTGTGTAAGTGTAAGTGTAATACATTTGAACAGTGTGAATAGTTAATAATATTATTTTATTAACTTTAAAATTAAAACGTAATTTTTTTTTTTTAGTGTATGTTTCATATTTTTTGGCGTTTATAATATTAATTTGCATATTACTTTTGTAAATTTTTAATTAACCAAATGCATATTTTATAATTTTTTATTGCATATAAATCTTAGCCTTAATCATAATATGATTAATATTATATTAAATGATTTTATAAAATCAATTTGATTTCAACGTTTTTTATTAATTTTCAGAAAGTATAGATAGGGCTCACACCTTATTTTGTTCTTAAAACCACCCCATTTCAACGAAAAACTCGATTTAGGTTACTACACATCAATTACCTAACATGAATAGGTACATAATTATAATTTTAATAAGTTTAAAATGCAATAAAAAATCTATAATCAACGTACTATTAAAAATATTAGAGTTATAAATATATTTTCAAAATTGGGAAGGGGTCCGAACTTCTAAGTTTGGTCTGGTGGCGAAACGATCGGCAGCGAAATGTCCGGATTCGACTCTGGCATATTGTGTACTATATCTATTTGTTTATTTCATAAACACCTATTGATCTTTCAATTTCTTAAAAAATATTAATTTTATGCACAGCGTTTCGTTGAAAAAATTAATGTCTATAGTTTATAGCTTTAAGTCTCACCGTTCCGTGTAAAACAACTCGTTAGTAAGTTTTCAAAATTTAGAAATTTTTCATTTTCATTTGCGTTTTGTTGATCACCCAAAGGTGTTACGATTACGAACATTCATGTCTGCGGGCGTTCTAAAGTGGAATCAGTTTTTTAAATGTTGATTTTGATTTCTTAATAATTTTTTAAATATTAAAATAAATAATTGTTGTAAAATACATTAACTCAATTTTAATTTTTAGAAAATTTGGTGTTTGGAAATTGGTGCAGTTGGTTGATAAAGGTTTTTATTTTTGGGGCTGGTACAGTGTTTTCTTCCATGATTTCAGGAATAGTGCCCTATATCTTATCACACTGTTAAAGATACTCGACTGCAGCCGTTGTCATATGCGTTGATAATATTTCCCGCGCATTCTATACTTCTTTGTTGTTATGTTTGATTTTAGGTCATTGTTATTGTTATTCACTTAAAAATTTTATATTACTTTTTATCTTTTTAGGTTCGTACTGCTCGTAGGTCTGTTCATTTTTTTTTTTACTGATAGATGTGAATTGTGTAGACGTGTTATAATCTGAGCCCTGAGGTATTATTGTAGTAGTGTAATAAGCAAAATATTAGACCATTTAATAAATATTAATTATTATTTAGAAGGTAAATATCAACTATTATATTATATTAGATAAATTGATGTTGATTTTTTTTTCATTATTATTCCTAGTAAAAAAATTCCTTTGTATTTTAACAAAATAAAATTCTTAATTATTTTGTTAAATTCAATTAAATATTAACTATTATTAAAACAAATATTTTTTTGATTTTTAGATGGTTAACTCACCATCAGAAAAAAATACAACTCCATATACTCGACTGAGGTTGAAAAATGAACCATCTTCTTTTAGAAGGTCATTAAGATACAAAAGTGCTGATGAAATATCAAATGAATGTGTCTCACATAATCATTCTTCTAAAAAAAAAACTCCACAATCAGTAAATATAAAAATTATATAATATATATTTGATGAGGTATTAAAGTACCTAATACAGTAAATAGTGCGAGTTTAGTAAATACTAGTCTATTAAAGGGATGGAGTGGCTGATTAGAGTAAGACAGTAGTACTGATACTGAATGTAATTACTTCAAAATCATAATTCTGTAAAGGAATTAAATGTAATAGATATCTTTTGCTTTTAGAAAGGAAGGCACAAATGTCCCTTTTGCTCTATTATTTGTACTTGCACATTAGACTAAGACAGCGGTTGCCAAACTTTTAAATCTCATGGACTACTAAATTGTTTAAATCTTAATTCTACAGATCACTTATACTTAATACTAAAAAGTTTATATATTAATAGTATTATTAATATTATAAATTACAAGTGCTTATCAAAAGATTTTAATCCAATTTTTTTTTTTTTTATAACTATATTAAAAAATAAAAAATATATTTATAATATAATAGTATAAATTTTTTTTATTTAAAATAATTTTTTTTTTTTTTTGAGTTGTTTTAATTATTACAAAACATCAATTTATGATGATTTCATTGCTATATTGTTTGCCATTTACCAAACTGAACTTACCCATAGCAATAAAATACAATACTTTTGTATACAATGGTTATACTACATATACCTGCTGGAAGGTTAATAAAATAAAATTGCAAATAATCTTCACATTTTTTGTGAGCCAAAATTTTCTTGTGAATCATCGATTGATAAACTACTGATCAAGGGAACACATTTGACCATTTGGCCATTTGATCTTTTTAAATTTGTTATATAAGGTCTAATATTAAAATTAAGACTTTATTTTTGTATCATGATGTTAGTTTAAAATAATAATTATTTAATTGATAGACCTAGCATAAAATTTTAATAATATAATAATAAATTGCTGGAACAAATTTTATTCATGTTTAAAATTACATTATCTAAAGATTGAATATAAATGTTATGTTGAATTTTAGACTAAAAAATAAAAAAATAACTGATTAAACTCCAAGCCTTTTTGATAAATTTTTCAATTTGTAAATCATACCTCAATCTAATAGCTTAGTTAAATTTATTCCATTAATATTTTATTTTTTTTTATAGGGTGACTTAAAATTGAAAATAAAGCGTATAGATAAATCTAATCACGTATCAATACCTTCTCCTGGCATATTAAAAGTATGTTGTTTTTGTAATTGTTTAAAATATAGTATTGAACTTGATTTCTTATTTTTTAGATGAAAAATGAAAATATTCAAGATAATGAGCTAAACAAGTTTTCATGTCTTCCAACTACGCCCAAAGTATGTCATATTTTAAAAAGTTATACCTATAACCCACAATTATTACTAAGTATTTGGCAAATATCAAGATATATATATTTGGTTGTAATAGAGAAGATAACCCCTAACTCTTATTACTGTAAAATATTATATTCTCTCTGCCATAACATAACAAATTTACATTCAGTAAAACATTTTATTTTATTAACTTTAATATTAGTATAAATTGACCTTTTATAAAATTTACTGTAATATTAAAATCATAAATATTTTAACTTTAAAATTTAATGATAGGCCAATCTTCACTAATAATAAAATTGGTTATATCATTAATTATAGAATAGACTATGATTATATTGAACACAAATGTTTTATGTTTTAAGTTTGTTAGATAAATATAACATAATATGTGAGTATGCATCCCTTTCTCCATTTTCTTAAAACTAATTTAAATGGTGTATATTTAATAAAAGTTAAAATATAATCTATTCAATTTTACAATTATTTTGGATATTATAGAAGAATTCAAGAAAATCACTGTGCCAGAGGGAAGATGAAATAAATAATTTTTTAAATTCAGTTAATAAAGCTCTGTTTGAAAGTGACATTACTGATACTGAAGATGAATTACTAAACATGCCAAAAGTAATAGTTCTTTAAATAATACTAGACTTGGAACATAAATTAAGTATGACATGACACTTTGTTATGATATTTAGATACCCAGAGTTTTTAATAACTATACTATTTGCCACAATAGAATGCATATGCCTCTTGCATCTAAATGATATACAACGCTTTCAATTCTCTTGTTGTGTAACTAATGTTTTGTTGAGAAGATGAATTTTTTTATGCATTCTTTCAAATATGCAATTTATGTTCTAATTTTGGTATTCAATAAGTCAAAAATGATAAATTATTAATACTAGAATTGAATTTTATGAAAACCATTTTTTGTTTTTATTAACTTATTGTAATTGTATAGACACGGTCACGAATAGTTTCTTCATCATCTAGAAAATCAAATGGCATTACTAATACACCATTTGTATACTAAATAATATGAAAAACAAAAAAAACAAAAATTGTATCTAATTTAAAATAATGTACTAACTAGTAACTATATTAATGGTAAGATAAATACACATATGATTCAAAAAGACAAATTGATATAAACTGATTGTATTTGATTTATTCCTTATCGACTGATTTTGTTTTTTTCACAAAACATAACTATGTTTGGAATGATAATTTAAAAACATGCTAACTCCTATAAATTCCTATCCCTATTAATAAATCAATTATGGTGAATAATTTGGATTCCAAGCCTAAAATTAAACAAAAGAAGTTTTTGTATTAATTTACTGTAATTTTATAGAGACGTTCACGGAGAATTTCTTCATTATCTCCTAGTAAATCAAATGACATGATTAATACATCAATCTCTGTATGTAAAAAAAATAATATATATATATATATATATGTGTGTATAAAACATATAATTATAATATTAAACATTTGTAGAAACGGCTGAGAAAACCTGTGGATCGATTTGGTGATGTGGTAGATTTAAATGAAGTTGTAACACCAGATTCTCCTCCAGAAAGAGTAATTAATAAGAAATGATATAAATAATTTCATATTAAAACTTAACTATTATTACTGCTTTTAATTTTGGCTTAAAATATTTTATTTTATTGTTAAATACAACTAAACTAAGTATACTTCAGTATGTTTAAAGATAATTATTTTTTTGACTTGTGATTGTAATATTATAGAAATGCATGAGACAACCTGTTGATGAAAAAATTAATACTCCTAAACACGTAAATATTAATATAACTTTTCAACTTATATATTATGAAAAACAATATTTTGTTAATACATATATTTTTCTGGTCATAGAATAAAAAAGGTAGAAAAATATCAATAACTGATGAAGATGAAAGTGCAGATATTGAAACTTGGAGAACTCCAAAGAATGTAAGAATATTTAAATGAAATATATATATTATGTTAATATTCTATTAAGTGTGTTTTATATAGCTTATAAATTGAATATAAAAATCATGGATTGGTATTACTTAAATTCATTAAACCAAATTAGAATAATCATCCAATATCAGTATTTAATGATTTAAATTTATAATCTCATAAATTATTAATATATTGACTATCATTACTTGCTCAATTATACATTTTTCAATAATGTTATGAACATCTGAATTAGTCAACAAATGTAATCATCCACCTTTAATTGTCATTTTTTAAGAAACATGACATAAGTAATTTATCCTATTTTTGTAATATATATTTAATAAACAATAATTAAGAATTAAATAAAATCAATTATAATTAATATTAATTAAGTTATTTTTCTAAAAATTTCAGAAACATTTAAGACAATCTGTCACTCCTTGTTCTGGCTCAAAAATACGCCGAAGTATGTTACAAGGTATACCAGAAAATAAAGAAATTGAGATTTCGACACCAAAAACACCAAAAACACCTAGAAAAACTCCAAAAGTAAACAATATTTTGATACTTGTTTGCTATTTACCTTAGAAAAATATTGTGATATATTATTTTCAGACCAATAACCTATTGATGCTGATACTAAAAAAATATATTTAAATTTAAATCTATACCTCTATGTATGAATCTATACTTCATCATGTATGATAACTATAAAGTATAAATTTTATGGTCAAATTCTATAGCTGATAACTTAGCATTAGAAAATATTTTTTATTTCTCCACACTTATATTTTCTAAGTGGACAGAGTTTAATAAAACTTTTTACTTCAATTGTAATGTTATCTAAATTCAATAGATTTAATGTTGAAAATCAAAATATAAGTGGTATACTAAATTACTGAATGTTGTATGGATACTAAATTAGTACCAAATATTTTTATAATAATTTATTGATATTTCTTTTGAAAAAAACTTTCTTGATAAAAAGTTTTAATATTATGTTTTATTAGATACACGTCAAAAACTTAACAGCTTCGGTGAGTAAAAGATTGGATAGTGGAACAAGAATTCCGTGTAGTCCTTTAGAAAAAGCAAGAGCAAATTTACATTTACATGCTGCTCCTAAACATTTACCATGTCGTGAACTTGAATATAAATCTATACATTCTTTTTTAGTTAGAAAAATTAATGATGAGTTAACAGGGTAAATTGATGAAATAAATATTACATTGTTTACTATATATTTTTTAGTTATTAATCATTTGTTTACATTACATTTATACAGAAGTATGTATATTAGCGGTGTTCCTGGTACTGGAAAAACAGCAACAGTCAAAAGAGTAATAGATTCACTAAATGCTGATTTATTGATGAAACACAGTTTTAAAGTAATTTTAAATTTAATAAACAGATTTTAATGATAATTTTTGCTATGTGATTTGTAATCAATTATAAATTAATGTTTTATTTAGTTTGTTGAAATAAATGGTTTAAGGCTTGCTAATCCACACCAAGCATTTTCAGTCATATGGAAAGAGTTAACCGGAGAAACAGTGTCATCTTCTCGAGCTCAAACACTTCTTAATGACTATTTTTCTAACAAAAAAGTTAAAGAGTTGTCTACAATTTTATTAGTTGATGAAGTAATTTATTATATTTAAGTACTCAATAAATTATTTTTAGTTATTGAACTTTAATTTGTTAGGTGGACCATATTTGTAATCGTAAACAAGACGTTGTGTATAATATACTCGATTGGCCTAGTCAAACTGGTTCAAAAGTAGTTGTAATAACAATTGCTAATACAATGGATTTGCCTGAACGAGTATTACGAGGATGTGTGACTAGTAGAATGGTAAAAAATACATTATTTAGTAAATTGTTACATAATTGATTATTATTAAAGATTTTATTTTATTTTGTTCTTAGGGATTGACCAGATTAGTATTTAAACCATACACATTCCAGCAGTTACAAGAAATAATTATGAATAGGTTGTTAGGAAATTCTACTTTTGATCCAGATGCTGTGCAATTGGTAGCAAGGTAATAAAGTTTTTAATAATTTGAATATTTAATTAAAAATATGTTGATATCTATATTAGAAAAGTAGCAGCAGTATCAGGTGATGCAAGACGAGCTCTGGACATATGTCGTCGAGCTATTGATTTAATTAAGTCTGAAGATGAGTCACAATTAATAACCATTAACCATGTAACTCAGGTGTTAAGTTCAATACTTTCTGGTGTTCGTGTAACTGCTATCAGGTATAATAGTTTTACATTTTTTGTAATATTATTGTTATTAAATTTAATACTTCTATAATTCATATTAAGGAATGGTAATAGCTATTACTTAACTTTATTAAATTTAACCAATATGATACTATAATACTATAGTTCTGAAACTTACATACATAGTACATACTTGTTATCACTCATTTTGTTAGTATTAATTTCATGACTTAAATAAAATATTTTACAGTCATTTTTCAAAATGAACACTACTTGGGCAATTTTATAGTGATGTTAGAATGATATTAAATCCATAAATATTCACTTTATTAATGATGGTTAGAGTTATTTTATTTAACAGAAAAAATTTAATTATCTTTATACATTTTTGTATTTGAGTTTTGGTGTATTCAATAGTTTTTTAGAAAAAGTAGAGTATCATCTATTAACAACCTTGTTATTTTAATCCAAGCTAATATAGATATTTTAGATATACATTTCTTATTTTATGTTTTCACCAACCAGTAGTAGATAATTGAAGAAGTTCACTTAATTTAAGAATTTAACCTTAAAAAACAATGGTTCAATAATAGGATTGAATAGTTTATTTGAATTGAACAATAGAAATGATCTAAAATTGTAATTCTGTAATTGATGAATAGAGTATTAAAAAATTAAACTTTAAGACAATGTGTATTAACTTTCAATAGATTTAATATATTAAATACTTATAATATTAGTGTTATTATAAAAATATTATGTTATTTTTTTTCAGATACTGTTGTCTCTTTGAACAATTTTTTCTTAGAGCACTTAGAGATGAAACATCTAGTACAGGTATTGAACATAGTACTATTGACTCTGTTTATACACAAATGAAAAATATTTGCTTGCTTGAAGGTATTTTTTTATTGTAATACTTTAAATAAAGTAAATGTCTAAAATATAATTACTTTTTTTTTTATCAAAATATATATCAGGTGAAGAGTTACCAAATGAGCAGCAAGTAATTATGATGGCGTATCGATTAAGAGATAGCGGTCTTATTTTTTTGGAAAAAAAGAGATGGGACATATTCCGTAAAGTCTCACTCAATGTCAGCCCGGAGGATATTAGTTATGCTTTAGATAAATATAACAATTAAGTTAATTTTGTAATAATATAATTGTATTTCACTATTTATTTTTCCTTATTGTGACTTATATACTTGGTATATCCGTTTTGAATTTTTATTTTATTCATATGAATATATTGTTCACTTTTTTTTTTTTTGAAATTATCAAAATGAGTCTTTTTTAATGTTTTAATAATCCGTTAGTATTTTATTTAACACTAAATTTTTAATTTGAATTTTATTATAAAGAACTATATTTAAGTCTCATTTTATTATTTACCAATTTTTGTAATTTTCAAGATTTAAAAAAAATAGCCAACTCTTTTTTAAATAATAGCAATTATAATGAAAAAATTGTTTTCACCCCCACAAATCTATTCAAGTTAACTTTCATTATATTATTTTATTATTTATTTATTATGCTTATTTGTACAGATTTTATATCAGTCATTTCTCAAAAAAAAATACATTGTTTTTTTAAAAATTGATATTATTTTTTAATTTTTTAAAGAACTGGACTGATATCTTAGTTCAGAATGAAACAGTAATAAAAAAAAAATCAAGTTTTAGTTTCTGAATTCTTCACTTGCTTATTTTAAATAAATTTAAATTCTTATAAAATAATTAAATACCTATAGTTACTATTAAACTCATCTATCATTAAATGTTAATGTTAAGCTATTTTTGGACAAATGTTAAAAAATAAAATAGAAAATATATATTAATATGTATCTATCAACTCATATAATACTACTTAAAACATTTTATTAATTTAAAAACAATTATAGGTAATTGTTTTTGTATTTCACCAATTATTACCATACGTCTTATAATTAAGCCTGCGTTTAAAGAATAATCAATTAAAAATTAGTTAATATTTAAGCATAAAACTTAAATTAAGGTTATGTAATAAAGCTTATCAAGAAAAATCCAAGAAATTATTCAAAAAACCATTATTTGTATTCTAAAAAAAACTATTAAAATACAAAATTAGTGGCATTGCTGTGTCTACCTTAATATAGATTAGGTTAAAAAATATATTAAACTCCTATTCCCTACTCTCCAAAAACTAAATATTTCAACCTTACTTGGGATCATAGATAAACATTGAGTTATCACATTATAACTAAAAGATTTTAGCATGCTCAAACTCTTATTATACAATAATAAATATACTTTCATTGAAACTAAACTATTCATGAAAAAAACACTATTGAAACCAATTTGGACTTACGGGCTTCAACTTTGGCACAATGCAAAAAAAAACTAATATCAAAAAAAATTTAATTGTTTCAAAACTTAGATCTCAAATTATATAATACATACTGATTTAAAACTTAAATCTATAAATGATAAAGCAAAGATATTTTGTAAATGATTCCATAACAAATTAAATTAATCATCCAAATCCACTAAATACAAATTTGGCCACTTCCACAATATTTAGCAATCCTTTAGAACGCCTTAAACATAAATGGTGTTGCGATTTACTAAATTCAGTTTAATTATTAACAACAGAAATTACTATCAATAGGTAACTTCTTATTATAAAATTTTCATGACTAGGTAGTAGTAACTTTTATTGCGTCTATTGATACAGATTATGTATAACTTGTAAAATTAAAAAAATGAATTAGTTAAATTAAAAATTATTATATTTTTACTTATATACATTCACAATTTTTTTTCATTTTTTATTCAATGGGTGGAATAAATGCCAAATTACGTTTAGCTTCTCTTTTAATTTTAGCTTCCTTCTGTTTGTCTTCTTTGAGTTTCTTTTTCCTTTTTTGTTTCTCGTCTTCTTTCAGGAAGTACTCCCCTGATTCTAATAATTTATCTATCTTACTCTCAGTTGGAGCAGGTGGGAATGGAGTGTATGGTTTCTTCACTTTCTTTGTAGATTTCTTCTTTGGCACATTCTTGGGTTTGAAATTTGGCAGAAACCTATCCCAGTTTTCATTTTTTAATTTGGGATTTCTTTCCAGTTCACGTTTAATCATTAATGCTTTTATATTGTAAATGGGATGAATATTTTTCATTGTATCTGTCACAATACGGCGTACCTGAAATACCATAGAATAAAATAATTTTACCACCAACAACCTGTCAGTTAATTGAATCAATTTTTACACACCTGTTGTAGCCCTTTAAAGGGTCCTAGAGCAGCTACAGTTTGCCCTTGCACAAGCACGTAACAGTTGGTCAACAATTCAACAGATTTCAGGGTGCATCCTCCTGGACCAATAAGTCTTTGTCTTCGTTTTACAAATTTATCACGATTTCTCACCATTGAGCCGATCTTGATTATGTCAGCAGCCATATCGTCTTCCATAACGCGTACAGCATGTTCATATGGAACACTCCTTGACAACAGTTTGATCAAATCTCGCGCCTTTAATATTGATGCTGGGTCCCAGGTTTTTCGCGTGGTGCGCACACTCATACTGCCTTCTAGCAAGTCCAGATCAGCCTTGATATGAAATTTAGACAATGAGTTTTGGACTAACGGCCAACATTCTTTCAGATACGTTTCTCGGTACTTAGGAAATAATGTAGCGAATGAACTTTCCTCCAGCAGTCCGTGTGGATTGTCTTCTGGCCTGAATTCTGGAATTTCTGTTTTCCAAGCGTTTTCCATTGTAAACGATTCACTAATGTCTTAAAAACTTTTAAAACCTCTAAACTTTTCAAATAACATACTCAATATATGCTAATTATTCTGCAGTATGCACTCGGGTTATCACGTGTTATCTGTATACATATTGCTTGCAATACCGTCGTATCGTTGGGTGATATCACCACATTTCGACGGGAAAATCTTTTTAACATAACCTTTAAAAAACCATTTTGGGAGACACTGCGTTCCATTTCGATTTGTTCGTTCCTATCGTCCATCGTGTATTACACGATATTCGTATAATTATCATTACTCAGTTCACTTTGGCTGCCGACTATTAAGAAATTCACTTTTGCACCACACGTGTTAGTTTTTTGTTCTTTTCAATAATTTTATCGACTTATTATACCAAAAATGGGTTTCGCCAATGTATGGTACTCGCATCCAAGACGCTACGGCCAAGGATCCCGTTACTGGTAAGTCAAACACGTTTCATAATTATTTCGTGTACTCCACAAACGGCATAATTGACATGTCATTTGTTAGTGTGTATATTGTATATGGCGGTGCATATTAGAGGTTGCGACACTGAGGTACGATGGGTGATTAACAATTTGAATCATGTGCAGTGTGTATGAGATCATCGTAAGTTCTGTCTAGACTCAAGAATCGAATCAATGTGTATTTTATTTTTAAAATAGGTTTTTTACCTGTTATATTCTTAATGTTATAATGATAACTACTTGTTCTATATACATTATTAAATAGGATTTTCCTGTATTATTCGTTAATTTACACTATATTTCAGCCGGGCGTGCACAAACAGACACGGTCTCATCAGGAAATATGGCATTAACTTGTGCCGTCAGTGTTTCCGTGAATACGCCAATGACATTGGTTTCAAGAAGGTAAGTTTTTATCGATAGATTAGAATCTGTCATATAGTTCACTCTAACTTGTTTTCTTTGTTTCAGATGGACTAAACATTATTTTTTCTATGATCTTGACTGTATGCTGATCACTTAACATTCACTATTCAACAATACGGTCATGTAATTTTTGTCTATACTATTTAAGTCAATAAATGAACTTGAGTTAAAACACAATAAATGGAGTTATTTTTTCAATACAAATTGGTCTATTTGTCTGGGATATATTTATATATTATATTAGTTTTATTTCTTTCTTTAGTAATAATTATAATTGTTATTGCAAATGTTGATTTGGTAATAACTAGTAAGTATTATAATAAAATGTGTAACGTAAAATTGGTGTTCAAATAATACTTTGTGACCTATCCTTACAACACCGTTATACCAAAGAATAGTTTAGTTATGACACTGATTGAATTCTTGTTTACCTGTTAACTAGATTCTGATCCTTCTGTAAACATAATGATCCTGCACACTAACCTTAGGTTATGTGTTGGTTAACTTGAGTTACAGAAATATCATAAACACATTGTTGCGTTTACCTGAGTAGTCTAAACATTCAGTAATCCTAATTATACCAATACTAGTTAGTTTTAGTCCTAATAAAATACACTTTTTTTTGAAAAACAATCTACTTATCTATTATTAAATATAATTATGTATTAATATAATACTTAGGTATTATAAGGTACTTTTATTTCAGTATGTAATAATTAGTAATATGAACATTTTAGTAACTTATTTATGGTTATTATAATTTTGTTATCCAAGGTTAGATTGGGAGTAAATTTTTTTTTTTTTAACTAAATGTGTCAATATTCTTAACCATTTTATTTTCAGTTGACTGGTTTTACCTGCTAGGTTGAGACTCAAGAGAAAATACATATTATATGAGAGGATTTGAAATAATTTGAATGATGCAGTTTTTCATGGAATCAATTGTATAGTTTGAACGATTGATCAGGGATGATCAATGTGTTAAGGTGATAAAAAAGTTTTATTTATTAGCACACGAGTATTGTTTGGAAAGATTTAAGGTATAATTTTAAATTCTAAACGGAACAATTTATTGGTTTCATAATGATATGTGGTTTTATCTTGGTCATCTCATGTGGCAGTAAATATGTTTCGATTTTCAACCTTGGGGATAGTTTCTGGTTACTAATTAGAACTAGTTATCTATGGACTAGGAATATAGAATAGTAGGTACTTAATTTGGGGAGTCAAAAGTAAAAATTGTCCAGTTCTTTTCTTTAAAACAAAAAAGTAGGAATTTTTTCTCTAAAGGGTGTAGGTTAACTTAAACCAATACCTACCTATTTGACACAATAATTTAAATCTTTACTTTGTTACAATTCGAAAATTAATAAATCTAACCTAACTGTAAATTCTATGGTGTAGAAACTTGAATTTTCACAAAATTATTATTTTCTATTTAGGTAAAATTTTCAAATTTTTTTCGACTCTTTTTGAGTTATTTATAAAAGTGAGACATTTTAGATTTTTTTTTTTTTATAAATATTAATAATAAAATTATCCATAGAGTCAACATTTTTCCCAAATAAATTATTCTTGAACTAGTAAAAATATATTTTAAATACACAGACAGAATTTTTTAAATAGGTAATATGTAATTTCATTGATTATAAATATTAAATACTACGACTAATATTTATAAATTTATAATCAATGGTAAATTTATAAGCGCAACTAGGGGGGGACTGGTGTGGCCTAGCCCTTCTAAATATACTAGTAGTCTCCTCAAAAAAAATAATGCTTTATTTGCGTTACCTACTTTACCTACTTTAGGTATAATATTAAGGTGGAAATGTAGCCTCCCTAAGATATTGTGTTAGTTACGCCCAGTAGTTGAAGGGGGACTAAAGTTACCAAAAGTTGAGGAGCGTTCCGAGTTTTTCCTAAGTCTATGTCTAACGAATTTCTTTTAAGAAGCCTATTAGGTATAAACCTAATGTTAATAGTATGTAAAATCAAATTTTCTCCTAAGAAAAATGATTTTAAACAAAATGCCTGCTAAGTAAAAAAAAAATTACAATCATTGCTTGAAATTAAAAAAAAAATAAATATATTTACATTTTAGTTTTAAACATTTCATTAAAAAAAAATAAATCATGATAAATAGGTGTCACTATTCATATTCTTTCAGTATAATAATTTATTTAAATTTTAATTATTATATCGCATATCATAAGCTATATAAATATTATAAAATCATACAAGAATACATTTATTTAAATTATAAAGGTCCTCATGGCTCAATAAAATATTATAACTTATCAACTTTTAAATTCGATTAATCAATGTGTGTGTTTGCATAAGCCATTTATTAAATTATTAAAAATTAACATACAACTTAAATTTACTATACATTTTTTTTAAGCGTCCCGTCGGACTTAGGAGACTTAAATTAAAGGAGACGCATAATCTTACCGTAAATAAGAAGGAGTACTCCGTCCCCCTCCACTTTAACCACTGGTTACGCCACTGATGGTACCTAAGTAATAAGTATTTGAACTATGAAGTTCAAATTTTCAAAAAATTACAAAATTACAAGTAACAAGTATTTTGTAGGAACAAATTTTAAAGTTAAGGTTTGAAAATTGAATACAATAATCTTCATAAGTAGGTAGTTTATACTGGAACTAATTAATCTAAAATTTATACAAACATTACAAACTCTATTACTTTTTATAGACATTTGAAGAAGTTCAAATTTGTACGAAACTGTATTTTAACGATGAACTATAATTTAATTATTTTGTTATAAATCAAAAACATTGTCAATGAGGATTTAAAACTTTACGTTTATTATGAGTTTTTCTATACACACTGATATTTTCAAAATATGTTGATACATTTTAAGATGATATCTATTTGTACTATGGTCTATGAAACTATTCACTAATATTGCATTTATTGTATAGATAATAAGCATTTAATTATTTTGATTACCTATTACAATAATACTTATTTATATAGGTACTATATATTATATTAATTCAAAAATCAATGTTTAATATTTAAGTACGTAATTTCGTATAAATTTGGACTTACAATGTCTGTAAAAATAATTGACTTAATTTATCATATTAGATTTTTTAGTTCTAGTCGTATAAACTACTTATGAAAAATATTTTATTAAATATTCAAAACTCAGATATATAAAGAAAATTTTTATGAATTTCTAACTATTTAATTGTTTAAAATTGTTTTCAATTTTGAATTGTGCCTATATACTTTTAATATTTTTTTTTATTTTACAGATATAAGAAAAACTTTTGTGGAATCTTGAATTAAATTTTAATAATTTTCAACTAGAAACAAATATTTTTTATTGATATTTGTAAAAAAATAAAAATCGAAAATTTCTCATGTTTATAAAAAGCTCAAAAGAGTCAAAATAGGTATTTGAAAGCAATGCCAAAAATTTAAAATGATAATAGGTACCTATAAATATTTTGTGAAAATTTCAAGTACTTATCTACAGTTATTTGTTTTTGAATTACAACAAAAAATAAAAATTGCTCGGGAAGAAATATTTATTAAACGGGCGAATAAATCTTTACCATTTTATAATACAAAATAATAAATGATTTTCCGATAAAATTTGCCAAAACGAAAAATGAGATAACTACCTAATTAAAAAACGTATAGTATTTTGTTTCATTGTTATATTACGTGTATTATAGCTGCTAGCTAATAGTATTTTGTTAGGTAATTTTTAATTAATGTCAAGGCGATTTTCTTATAAGTAGGTACCTAATAATATATATCATGAAGATAATTTTTAATTTATCAGTTAATTTTCAAATTCTGCAATAGACGGACCAAAGAGTTATTTATTATTAGTTTTTTCGTCTTTTCCAAACGTAGATATATAAACCGTAATAGAAAACATACCAGCGAACACGTCAATTGATCAAAGCTTGGTCGATTGTGTATCCTTAACTGAAATGTGCCCCGGAACATCAAGAGTTACAACCATCGGATAGCCTAGAGGAACAAAAGTTGACGCCGGCGCTTTCCACGCAGTTGATAACGACGGAAGTCATCGACAGTGTGATGATCGATTCCTGTGCGTCAGCCGAAACTCCGATGGTATCTAAATATCATAGCCGACCGAGGTGATTCAAAAACGATGGCACACTCGAGCAAGTGCACTAGACTTTAGACTATAGAGTAGGACAGCAGCTTAAGGATCGGAAGGATACGAGACAGAGCTCAGGGACACGTCACCCAAGTACGTTCTTCGGCTATCTACGGCACGACGGGATTCGAGAGTTACCGATTGCTTTGGTCGCACGTAGCGATGATGGCGACGACGACGCGGTAGTTAGCGGTACCGGGCGACTATTGGCACGGGCAACGAATAAGGTGGTATCTACGTAGCTACACCATTTACCATTGACGACGATTTATTACTGTGACTGCGGACACTTATTAAAAATAAATTATCTTAATCCTGGCTTGATTATTTTTTTCGCACCGAGGCAATCCATAGCCAACCAGATCGCGTCTTTGGTGGTCGCCAATTCCACAGCGTCAAAATCTTCGCCTTGTTCCGTGTTGTTTTGGTCACTGCTCGCTGATCAGAGAGTCTCCATATTGCATCCACACACCTCTTTTATTATGTCGTCCTGCATCCGATGTACATTTTAATTCTTGTTTATTCCAAAGCCATATTTGTTTCATTTATTAATACGTTATTATTATGTTTTTTTTTTTTAATTGTTCGCCTGTAGATTATTAAATTTTGTTATTGATATATATTTTTTCTTTTTCATTTCCAATAAGTTCAAGCATATATTGTTTGAGCCCTTGGATCAAGCTTTTATCTTTCTAAAGGTCGGTTATTTCATTTATACCTTGTTTAGTTTTTTTTCTTCATGTAGTCGAGTTTATAAATTAATTGTTACAAAATTAATGATTTTTAAAATCGTTGAGATATTTTTAAAAACTGCAAAGTGCAAGAGAGATTAAAAATAATTTGCAGTTACGCTATCAAAGAAAACACTAGTGGTTCGAACTTCGAGGTTATTGGGAAAACCGATGTGAAAAATATGCAACCAGATATATCATGGAGTAATAGCAATAAAAGAAGATGCATAGAGGAATGAAATTGGCAAAATGGTTTCAATTAGAGAGCCTAGATAATATTATTTAGGCTCTCTAGTTTCAATGATTAAAAACCTAAAAAATAAAGTTTACCTTTAATATATTTCAACATTTGCATATTGCATTGAAATAAATTATTATTTAATTAGACAAAATCTCTAACAAACGGAAAACCCGTGAAATGATAATATTAACTTCATTCTATTTGATTCATAAGTAGCCAGTATAGTTATAGATATTATGTACTTATATCATATCATTGATTATAATAAATATATAGTGAACGGCCGCCGTTTAAATTTGTGTTTCGTTATAATTTGGACTTTGGCCTACGATATTTTATATTAATTCTAATGAATTGTAGTTTATACACCACGAATAAATTAGTTTTAGTTGGATCAGTATACACAATTTGGATATTTAAGGCACTATTGCCATCACGTTATTTAAATCGAAAACTTCACGTCCATCTTCAATTAATATCTAACACACACTGTACAACACTTACATTGATAAACTTATTATAAAGATTGTTTTATAGACTATGTAGATACCTACCTATATAAAACATATTTAAGTATAAAAAAATGTATTAAGACTTGTAAAAAAAATAAATTATATTCAGAACATGATTCCACTTTCTTTGGGACAACGTATGCAACATTGCAACACATTCTATTGGAGAATTTGTCTTACATAATATATAATAAAACTTTTCAAATAGAAGATTTATAAGTGTTTCAAGTTCAAGCAGTTTAAAGTTTAAATCGTTGTTAGTTGTTCTTGTTATTTTCAAGTATATATTGCATATACAACGATAATTGGAATATACCAATAACTTGGTTAAAAGTAACCTTAAAATAATTTGATAAACCATTTTAGGTTATGAAGCAAGCTGATACGGTCAAAAATTTTAATTTTCGTAGTTCAAGTTTTTATTATTATTTAAAGAAGTCTGATCGTTCAAAAATGCCTTAATGTTCTGTACTAAATTATCTTACGTACTGTTCATTGATATCTTCTAATATTATTGTATTTTATTTTATAATTAAAATAATTATTTAATTCAACAAAAAAAAAATTTAAAAATACTAATCCAAACTACCATTATTCTTTAGAGTTCTAAGTATATTTTCGTGATTACCTACAGTGGTAAAATGGAAATGAACAGAAATGAAGTTATATCATTGGTTATACGTATGACTTTGTTGTCAACGTGTGCCTATTTTGGTACGAAGTGGTTGATCGGACAGATTGATCCAACGAATCAGCAAAAAAAAAGATCTAAGGAGACTGTGAGTAAACCTTGTTTTAATGTTTAATATAGACATGTGATTATTTTTGTGTATTTTAGGCACTTAGCAAACTCAGAAGTCTGGGTCTTCATAAGATGAAAAATGTAAGTTTAAGTCATTGAATAATGTATATAGTTATTCTTTTAAATTATGTTTGATTACAGTTAACTGACCATGAATTGATGATTGCCAGTCACTTGGTTAATCCGTATGATATCACTGTTTCCTGGAATAACATAGCTGGACTTGGTCAAGTAATAGATGAAATCAAAGAAACCGTGATATTTCCAGTTCAAAGAAAAGAATTGCTTAGAAATTCTGTTTTAACTAAACCGCCAAAAGGTATATTTTTTATTGAATATTTATTATTTCAATTTTTAATTTTTATCATACTTATATTTAGGAGTTTTACTTCATGGACCTCCTGGTTGTGGAAAGACAATGATTGCTAAAGCAACCGCCAGAGAAGCGGGAATGAATTTTTTATACTTGGATGTGTCATTACTCACTGATAAATGGTATGGAGAAAGTCAAAAGTTAGCTGGAGCTGTGTTTAGCTTGGCTCAAAAACTTCAGCCTTGCATAATATTTATTGATGAAATTGGTAATTACTTATTCAATTATATTTTAAATAATTTATTATTAGTTTTTGAGAAGCATCTTCAACATTTTTTAAACATTATTACTAAGTGTTTCATTACAATTATAATTAATAAGTAGGGCTCGGAAGTTGTAGGAATTGCATATTGTTTTGTTTTCTCTCAATTTATAGCAGACTAAGTTAGAAATCTGAACTGTACAATGAAAAGTTAAATAATTGAAAACTAAAAATGCTTATTTTGTATATTTTGTAAATTTTAGCTAAAAAAAGTGCATATTTCATTGATTTTATATACAATACACATATTATGTATATTTCATATTTAAAAAAAAAAATTGATTTTTTGCTTTCTTAACTTGTATATTTCAATTAATATTGAATATAAAATTAAAAATTTCAACAAAGGTATTTATCGTAATTTCAAAAATATTTTTTTTGTTAAGTGCTCAGTCAGTTTTAACAGTCAGTTAAATGGATGACGGTGTGTCTATAGCATAAATTTATTGGTGTAACTAATGTTTGGTTAAAACATTTAAATTGTACCCTTAACATTTTTAGCTTTTATTTACTTTGAGTAGTATGTCTTTTTAAGGGCATTCAGATGGCTAATACTATTATGAGATAAATATTCTGTTAGCAGTTGATTTTATTTTATTAATTTTTAAATCTATTTTAAAGGTTGTGTTATTTTTATAGTATATTTCTATTACATATATTTTTCAGATTCTTTTTTGAGATCTAGAACACAGCATGATCATGAAGCAACAGCTATGATGAAAGCTCAGTTTATGATGTTATGGGATGGTTTATCAACTGATCCAGAAAATACTGTGATTGTAATGGGTGCCACGAATAGACCTAAAGACTTAGATCCTGCTATACTGAGAAGGATGCCAGCCACTTTTGAAATATCATTACCGGTAAATATTGTTGCGTGCCAATATCAGATCCAGACTCAGGGTGTTATTTAAATGAAATTTACAACTCTTAAGAACAATAATGTGTTTATTACGTATAAATGAAGTACATGTAACTTATACAAAAAGTGGCTGAGTGTTGTGAAGGTGCTCAGGTCTTCGTGGCTCTGGTACATCTGCTGTTGCTGGTCTCTGGGCTCCCTTATATATGAAAAAGCTTCTTGTTATTGTAGTCCATAGTCTTGATTTCCATATATATCCTTGGAGTTGTTTTGATACTTGTTTTTGGAAAAACAATATCCAGTATGCAATCTGCTCCTAATTGCCAACACGTGCCAATGCAATGTGTTGTTGCATATGAGTAACCTTAATAATGTACTTTACTCGACCTCGGCACGCGTAATGCACTATTGCGATGTTATGATGTTGTTGAGAAGTAGATAATTACATCCGAAAATGCATTATGATCCTTATCTTATTATGAGATTCATAATAATATGTATCTACTATCTTGTGTTATAATCTGTAAGAATATATTTACTCCCCAACACGTGTCATGGTCATGCTAATACTTATATTAGCAATATTATATATTATATTATATATACTTATATTTAACAATACATCTTGTAGCCCATAACAGTATGTATACTTTTTAAAATTTTCAAAGTTAAACAAAAATTATATTTCCTTCACAAATATAATTTAAATATATTAGTATAAGAAAGGAATACAATAATTATTAAAATAAAATTTGGTAATACACATTTCATTTACAGTTAGGTATTTGATTATTTGATTTATTAATCAATTTTTGATTGAACTAGTTAAAAGTTGTATATTTTAATAATTTATTTATATAGAATCTAAGAATATATTGCTATGAATCAATGTATTCATATAATGGAATTCAAATTATTTTTAATTTATAATATATTAAAAATTAGCTTAAAAAAACATTTATTATTAATAATAAATAACTATTACCTTATATTATTTGTATTTGGTTATTATCCTTTGATGAAAGTATAGTTAAAAAAAGTAGTAGTCTGTAAAATGTTTAAAAAAATGTGTACTAATTAGAGAATGGATTATATCCCCCCTGGAAAGAGGAAGTATTAGGTATTTTACCTTATAAATTATTTTATGATAAAAATAAAAAAAAATAATAATTCTATAATAATAATCTATAATTTTTAGGATGAACAACAAAGAAAAGAAATATTGACTTTAGTTTTGAATACTGAACAATGTGCTGATAATGTAGATTTACATCAGTTAGCCATAACAACAAGCGGGTTTTCTGGCTCTGACCTTCAAGAATTGTGTCGAATTGCATCGTTATTCCGAATAAAAGACTTGATCAAGGAAGAAGAACTTCAAAAATGGTAGTTAAAAATGTTTTAGTCAATTTCTGTTTGATTAGTAAGTTTTTAATACATTCTTAAAATGCTTTTTTTTTAGTACTTTAAACTCCAATTCAATCAATGCAGCCAATATTAATATGTTGAGGCCTATCAGCATGGATGATTTGCTTGCATCTGTTACAAAGATGAAAACATCTAAAGTAGTTAGTACCACCCAACCTCGGTTTTAATGAGTATTATGATGTGAAATTTGGTAGTCTGGTTGAATGATCAATTTTAATGTTTTGTCATACGTAAAGTAATAGTATTCGCACAAATACTATTATACTAACGGGCATTTTTATTCTTAGTCCAAGTTCAATGTAAGCATAAAGAGTATTTTTTTCTCTTCTGGAGAATGTACTTAGCTATTGGACAGTTTTGTTATTTATATTAATTACTTATAGATTATTTATATTGCTCATAAATAATTATTAATTAAATTTGTTAATTAATGACATGTTAAAAAATGATGACTTTGTATTTGCTTAGCAACATTTGGAGAAAATTACTATGGATATTTATGTAAATAATTTTATTATTTTCATTTGTATTTTAGTAAATTACTATTAAAATTTCTTCAATTATTTCATTGTTAATTTAATTGTACAGCTTTGATAGTCAAAACTTCTAGATAAATATTTAATATATACATATTGCTATTTACCTAATTAATCTAGATTTGTAAATATTTTGTTTTTGAGCTTATTCAGAGGTCTTATAATAAGACTCAACTGTTATTATTAAGTTACTATTGTTGATTAGAAATTATAACAATTTACTTATTAGGTTTTTCAAAATGTATAACTATTAACATAAACTAGAGAATAAATATCTGATAATTATAATTTATGCTTTATTATTTTTTTGGATTGGCAAAAGGCACACCAAGACTCTAATTATACAAATGCCTAATTGTTTTTATAATAGTCTTTGTTGAAAATAATAGTACATGAATCCATTGTAAATAAATTATAAAGAACAATATTTGTGATTATTTTTAAAATTTTCATTCTCTCTTTACAATGTAAATTAAACGAAAAAATTAAATTAGCATTATAAATTTAAAAGATCAAAAATAGCGTTCTTCACGTAAATCTTTAAATTAGTCTTCATTATATTGTTATGTTTTGCTATTCGTGAAAGGTCATATTTTGCAAGTGTAGAATAGAAAAATGGCTGTGTAATTTAATGGTGCAAAATTTACGGACTATTGGTTATTTATTAGAAATAAAAGCAAATAAAATACAAGAAAATTGGTGAAAAAATAGTGCTGGATCACGTTATGCATTTTGGTGGTTGCCGACTAACAGAAGCCGATCGGTAATTGAACCGCAACACTCAAAATAAAATAGATTCAAATATGAAACGCGTTATCAGGGTCGACTAGACCGATTTGCGGAACCGATTAAAAAACGTCTGGAGGCAATCGAAACGTGTTGCGACCCAACTGTCCGGATGCGTTTCGGGATGTAAAGCACAACACATGCAATTCAGTTTGTCCGATCATACTTGCGCGGATTATCGGTTACCGGAATTGGAAATTTTATGAATAATTAATAATCATTTTTAAATTTAAATAATTAAAAACTTGAAATATGTTTGTAATATACATTTATATATTATTATATTTTATTTATATTATAGATGAATATTATTACTTATCAGCATAATTAGTTGATACACGTTTAAAATAAAAACAAATAATTCTAATTAACACGACCTTTTTGTTAATTTTTTACTTATAATATTAAATACATTTCGTTAAAATAAAAAATCAGTTAAAAATTAAAATTTCAAATAAAAAATTATTTCCGGGCTTTTTAATCTCATTAGTATGGATTCGAATACCGATAAAACGCACAGTATGATCGATCGTCTCGATTGCGGTTGATCAAGATAGTATTTTTCGGTTGCCGACAAAATGCTTAGTGTGATCCGACCCATATTAAAATAATTCATTACAAAAGATCATTAACTATGAAGTGACATATACGTCAAATATTGATTAGCTTAAATTCATAATATATTTTTTATTTTATATAATATATTAATATAGCTGCTCGTGAACCTTGTTTTCAGTGAGTAGTGAGTTCCCTTGGTCGGAGATATGTCTCGCCACTTGGTTTTTTTAGAGAAACTCGAGTAAATAGTTTAGTAATCGCAAGTTTAGTTTTGTGATGAGGTTGGTGATAACAATGTTTGCGACGTTGGTACTACTAATTTGGTGTCTCGATGTTTCGGTGGTATTATTTTGAATGCTTAAAAATTTCTGAAAGCCGAGTTTGAGTGTCTAAGCTGCAGTCGGTCATCAATTGTTGTAAATTGAAAATTTCAAACGCGTATCAGTTGCATATTGGCTATATGTATGTACCTACTTGTATCGTCGATGATAATAAAATATTTTAAAAATTAAAGACAATTTTCAACAAAAACGGAAAGCAGTATATAACCAAGTTTTTATCTTATCAATAATTACTATCAATACAAATATTTCGCTTAAAATAAAATTTTATGATCACAATTTTGACTGTAAATCTTATAAACAAGAGTGTTATTAATTTTTATGGTTAATTGTTATGTAACTTCAAAATATTTGTAAAAAACTGAAGACGCGCTAAACCTGAGTAATTGTTTTATTGGTCTCTTTGTAGTGTTATTGTTAGCAGATTGAGCTTTCTTAAAATGTCGTAACGTATAATTTGAGAGCATAATACGGAAAACAATTTAATACATCGCTCGTCGTTGGTCTCGAACGCGTACCCTATTATAGTGTCGACGGTAGTCTTCACCTCTTTAACTTCCCGTACAGCTTCCGGACGCGCCCAGCAGAGTACAGTTTCCAACACGATGGACGGACCGTTGGCTGTTGGCCTTCAAGATCGTAGATCACCTAGTGGCGCATTTGCGGTCTGCAACCGTCCGGGACAAGTCGTTCGTGCGGCTATCGCGTGCTAAAGTCCAGCCGCGTGCGTGACTCGCCCCGCACGTAATGATCGCGTAATGGCCACATAGTGGCCGGAACCATGGCACGCGCTCGTGACCAACAACGAGCGCGCGATGGTCGTCGAGTTACGCGTTATCCTGTCAGTAGGATGAAATCTAACTTAACCTAACCTAGAGACCGCAGCAATTGCCATGGGTGGGCCTCTCGGTCAGATACCGGACTAATAATTATTTATTAGAACCCAACCAAAGACCGAACTAAACGCCGAAGGTTGATCTACCGACATTTTTCGACCGTCCATTAGTGACGCGTATACATCGCCGTCTAATTATACGAGTATATCGACTAGTGATGTAATATCCATTGACGGGTCGGTCAGTGTGAGATCTTTAATGTGCGAATATAACGTTGTTCGGGGCAGGTCATTCGTTATGGTGGGCAACACCTACGCGTGTACTGAAAGTGTAGGTTCGGACACAAACCGTGGTTGCACGCTACACTCAATGCGGCTTTGGACATTTGCCACGGGAACCCTGGATAAATCGCTTATCGGGGCTGTCCAACGGGAGCGCTTGAGGCCTAAATGGTCGGCACACGCGCTCGTAACAGCGCTTATCTGCAACACGCAGTCTATTAATGAGCACATTTGCCACGATAAGGACCAATCGCGCACTTGTACTAGCTAGTCTAATGATGAAATAGCTATTGTCGACGAGTGACGTTGCGACCAAACACGTGGTTATTACCAATTCGTAATTGTCCACCGTCACCGGAATGCCTCGGACAGTATCGGCCGCGGCACTTTTTAAACAACATATAAAATAGTAGGTACATCTTGTCGATGTTTGATAAATTATGCCCCGTGTCAACAAGTGCGGAAAATCTGTCACGAAAATCGCCCTCATACGCGGGTAGTGGTATATCACGTAAATGAGAGAGTTCGACTTGACCGGGTCCTCGCGACTTGCGTGGTGAGCGCTAGATATCTTATCTCGAATATACGGCGACAGATCGACGGCGTCGGCATATCGGTCGGGATAAACCGTTGACCGATATTTTTAGTCGCATTAATTAACTGGTGTACCTCTGTTTTCAAGTCAGGTGGATAGTCTCCGAGCTATCTATTATGGAATCGTTATCCGTGCTGAACTGAAACCATACTGCATTCGCCGCGTTTAGCGCAAACTCGGGAGCTCCGGCTCCAATTGTACACGTAACTCCAAAGTGTGTGTAGCTCGAATCTGAGATAAAATAAGTGTGCGCTTCATTTTAACACGCGCGAGTAGGCATTGAAGTACGCTCGATTTTTTTCTCGTCAGCCATTACGAGCGACATGTTATATAAGAAAAGCACAACAAATAATAGTCTATACAGCCTATAAGCACTGTATGAATACTATGTAGATAGTTGATATCAACTACAAAATCAACACTACGCTATCTAACCCAACACTGAGGTCGGAAAATCATGCTCTGATACCAAAAATGTTGCGACGTGACCGCTTCTACGAATGTGGCGGTTGTCGGTCACGACTCATAGGACGTTAGGACGTACCTAAGATAACTGGCATTGAGTCCAGTTTAAAAAATTTAAACTAAAAACAAATTTTTTTCAACAAATTTTTTCTATTGAGCAATACAACATGACAACCTTCTTTTTTCTTCGACTCTAGAACGAGCATATTTTCTTTTCGACATATTATGTTTGATAAGGTGGTAAACTTATTTTCCAGAAAAATTTGTTTCCTAACCTTTTGTGGCGCATCTAATATGACTGACAGTATATCCTGAGAATATACGTCTTAAAAAATCTTCATATATGTTCATATAGCGCAGTAGTGTAATTATATGAATCACAATATTAAACTCATCTTCCGAATTGAAAACCAAATTTAAAAACTTGCGATCGGCGAAGTCGAGTATAAAATTACTGTAGTCAATGAGCTCTGTAGGCGGTGTTGGTGATACATATTATTAAGTAAAATTCTTATTTTTGTAAATTGTTTTAATGTTAGCGATTGAACTGATCATATTTAAAAGTAAATGAGAAATAATGTTTTAAGATATTTAAAAAAAAAAGTAAATGTTGAAAATTTATTAAGACTGAAAATCACGGAGCGAGGGTGAGACGTACGTGTAGAAGAGTATAAATAGCCACATTCCCTCGACTAGTATACTTTTCAAGTACGCCAATAATTGAGCATTTGTACAAATAGTCAAGTACACTGTTTCCATGACTGGTGTATTTGCCAAATACATCAATAATTGAGCACTTAATCCAAGTAACCAAGTACACTATTTCTACAGTTGGTTGTTTATGGTGGAGGCCAGTGGCGTAATTCAGAATGTCTTGTGGGGGGAGGGAAATTAAAAAATACTTCAAGGCAGACCTGTGAGGGATTTGCCACCACACGATCCTTTATAATACATTGATAACTCATCACTAGGGCTCGAATTTTAATATACTAAAATTTATTGAAAATTCTCTAAAAATGATAAAATTGTTGTAAAATTGATTTTACCGGAAATATGCACTTAAAAAAAAAAAGAAAAAAATGACTGAAAAATACTAAAATATGTTCTAAAAATGAAAAAATATTGAAATATGCAAAAAAAATGCAAAAAATTTCACCTTGAAGTCTCCGTTACATAAATTAAATTATTAATTTGGAAAGCATTGTCTAAGATTAATTAAAAAAAGATGCATTTTGCATTGAAATTCGGGCTCTACTCATCACATAATACATATTAACATAATATTTTATTTTATTTTACATGATAATTTACAATAGATGATCGCTACAAAACAATAGAAAATATATTATTATTTAAAAAATCACTTATATTGAAAACTTACTAATGAAGTTTAAAATTGTTATCGTTTTATTTTTAGTTCATAATAAAATATAAATGTATATTTAAACTTAAAATTAAGATAAGAAACGACAAAATATAAATAAATAAATATAGCATATCGAGGGATCTATCCCCCGTAATTACGCCCCTGGTGGAGGCTACATTTTAATAATAATTTAATATTTTCACTTTGATTTTGTTTGTTTTGTTAAAAAAAAATTATAACAATGTACATTAAAAAAATTATTACATTTTATATACATATAATACATAATTATTATATTTAATATTAGTACTCATTAACTTTGGGTCATTGAATTTGGACCAAAGTTAGCATGCCACTGTTTTTTCTAGTCTACATAAACCAGTCGTGGGATCAGTAATACAAGTGTATTGGCCGTACCTTTGACTTGCGTCACATTCATCGACATCCTCGAGAACGGCACCAGTGACAAATAATTGTACAAGTATGCCGATCCGACGGCATAGTAAGTAACCACCAGAACTAAATATTGGCTAAGTACACCAGTCATGGGATCGTGGCTTTAAGACTGGAAACTGGTAATGGGCATAATCGAGATATTCAGATAATGAAGAAAATAATCGAAAAATCGAATAATTTCAATTATGAGTAAAGTAATCGAATTTTGAAATATTTTGAATTATTATCTGGTAATTGATTCAGTATATTTTAAATCTGAAAAATGGTATACAAATAGATATAGGCTATCCCCAAAAAATTTAGATTTTAAATTATTTTTAAGTAGTAATTTGAATTTGTTTTTTTATTTTTATATTTTTATATTTTGTCTAGTTTTGTTCATTAAATATTAATTATTCATATACTTACTATTACGAGCTGTTATAAAGTTAATTTATTAGTTTATTATAATTTAATATTTTTAATTTGGAGGATATTTAATAATTTTATTTGAAACTTAAAATGCATTGTCAACATTTGCTAGATTTGGCAGCTATACACATTTGTAATCTATAATGTTTCATTTCAAATGTATAAAAAAGTATAATAGAGTTTTTTCATAACCAAGAATTTACAGTATCTTAAGACTTAGACCAACAGATTAATTTAAAATTTAGATAATAATTATTAATTAAAAAAATTAAACCTTGTTTTTTATTTAAAGCCCCTATTAATAACATATTATTAATATATCATAGTTATTATTATTCTTGAATTATAGTTTAATTTTTAATTAAAATTATATCAAAAAATAAAAAAAAGCAAAATTTAACTAATAATTATTTTTAATCATATTTCGAGTAATTTTTCGATTTTCTCGATAAGTAATAATAGTCGATTATTCTATCACACGATTTTAATTTCGTGTGATTTTTTAAGAGATTCTTTCGATGACTAATCATTCGATTATGCCCATCACTATTGGAAATAGACTGCCGAGCAGTATAGAGAAATAACACATTTTTAGGTGTGGGAATGTTGTCTATTGTTAAAGGGTTGTCCGGTTTTGCATGTCGATACAGGTCCATACATTCACGATAGTTAGGTTTTATGGAGACATGACTGTCCAGACATGTATAATATATATATTGCTGGAGAATGTGATTTCTTGAATGTGCAAATACATAGCCGGTATAGCACACGGTCAAGACATTAAATTGTTAAACATTTTAAAACGTTATTATTAATGTATAGAATTTTTCAGTGCTATTTTAAAAGATTGTGCTGGCATAGGTTTTGGAATAATTTAAGAAAATACAATTTCCCTAAGTATAACAGTTTTTGTACATGCGTACAAGTATTTGAATAACGGGGTGTGGTCGACGGAGAATAATATTTAAAATAATAAAAATATACGATAACACTGATAACTGATAACAACGTGATAACTGATAAAACAGTAGATTTAAAAAATTTAATATTATACCTAATTTACTTTCGTGATAAACAATATATTTTGTGATGCGCAGGGAGTGGGAATAGGACTGGGTTTTTGAATCGGCTATTTCACCCTACTCCTGTCGTTGATAGCCCGATCCTGACACGATCGGTGGCCGGCCGCGGCCTTTGCAAGCACTGTCCGGTTCGGATTCACGATCTCGCGAAGCCGATTATTCTCCGCGTCCAGCGGTGGCCGCCATCACGTTATGCGTCATCCGGTCGTTGACAGCCCGGTCTTGCCGCAATCGATCGCCGGCCACTTTGCTAGCGGCCGTGGCCTTTTCAAGCGCTGCGCGCCTCAGGCTTATGATCCCGCGAAGGCGCTCGCACTCCGCGTCCAACGCGGCCGCCACGACCTCGCCGCCGTCGTAGCCGGCCCGCCGCAATTCATCGGCGAAACGCTCGAGCTCGGTCGCCGCTCTGTTCGACGCGGCCTCCGCGAGCTCGTTGTTGGCCACGAGCGCGAGCCGCGTCTCGGCCACAGCGTTCCGCGACGTCAGGTCCACCGCGTCGGCGAGACGCGCACGCCGCTCGAATTTGGTCCGCAACAGCTGGACGAACGACTTGTCCCGTTCGGCCGCCGACTGCGACCACGACGCCAGCTGTCCCGTGATCTCGGACGCCCGCAGTCGGTAGTACTCTGCGCACGAGCAGCTCATCGTGTTAGCCTATCGTGTTTGCGCTGCGGCGTGTCTTATTGGCAGCTGTACCGGAAGTTCGATAGAGCTATCGGCGCGGCGTTGCAGATGCGGTCGAGCGCGATGAATACGATGTATTATATAATATATTGATTTTTGTTAAGATATTAAAATTATCATAATACGTATAATATTCTTTGGTGGTATCTATATTGATTGTATAAAAATATCACTCGAATGGCAGTCGTTTACACCAAATAACAACGATGTGTGTTGTCTTAGTGACGGGCCGGCGGTAATACTTATCGAGGTCCATCAACAACGGGAATCGATGTCATAAAAAAAAATATTGGATAAACTAATTTACATTTAATCTTCTTCTGAACTTATACAGTGTCTCCAGTATACCTAACCTATACTACGTATACTACTATAGATACATATGTTTTATTAATATATTAAGATTTAATCATTTTCGTATAACTATATAGTTTATTTTATATTGCAGAGACGGACACGTTTACACGCATATGTATATTAGACACATGGTAAAACACACATTAAAATAAGTAATATAATTGAATGTCGATCGAATAGATATCGACGAGAAAAAGATAATCCATAACAATACAGATAAAAGTTATAATAATAATAATAATTACATAAATGTCCAATGATATAACACACGCGTCAACACAATATGTTGATTAAGTATTTAACTTTACTATATTGATCTTATTTGTCGCATAGTTATTTTAATATTATAGAATGGAATTTTACTTAGATTCTATATATCACGTCTTTTAAAGACTTAATTATTACTTATTTTAATTTTTTTTTAACTTAGCTTTTTTTACATAGAGTTATAATGAAGTCATAATGAATTTCCATACATCAATTGGAGTTTTCAAAATATTCATACTCATTTATTGCTGTGCTGGCTATACATTAACTATAGAGAATCAGTTCTCCGCTCATAACCGTTTTTAGAACGTGCAATATCAATTAAGATTGGGTCTAACATGTACATTAGAATAGAAATCTCTCTATATGCTAAAATACATTCGAAATATGCTATACACCAAAGTTTTTCCCTTGGGATTTTAAAAATATTATTTTTGTGACGTGTTTTTCACGCGTAATATCTATTGAACGGCGTAACATGTAGGCAATATAGGTACGTCAACGTGTCGTACAATAACATCAAATAGACTATTACAATCCGCCATTCGATATTTTTTTGTCAATAATAAAAACATAAATTTTACAAGAGTTTATTAATTTCTACTATATTTATATTATTATATCTATATATATATAATGGTCTTTAGAAAATCGTACAAATGGTGAAAATCACAAGACCATAAAGTATGTTATATGAATAACAGTTAATATTATTATACTGGCAGCGTTAAAATATGTTGATGCCTGAAATAGTGAAACGATAAGTAATTATGATACGTATAATAATACATTATTATTAGGATGAACATATTTCGGTTTTATTGCAGTAAACAATATTAGCAAGACTGGATGATTTCCACCACCAGATTAATAAATAATATGATCATCATTAGAACAACACACACAAATATGATTAAATTAATATAATTATATTATTATTTATTAATTATTAGTATAATAAAATATAAAAAATATAAAAAATATTGTAATCAAATGGTTTTTTGGATGCTTTAATGTACAAACAGTTTAAAACATTTCGTATATTATACTTATTATCGTATACGAATGTTACACAAGATCTAAAGGCCACGTTATATTATATATAGACTAGCAAAACGTATACATATAGTATTTTAGTAATCAGATTAATCGTGTAAACTACGTTATTCTATATAAATTACAAAATAAACACATATATGAAAGTTTACAGTTCAATATTACTATAGTTCGACTATAGTGAATAAAAACATACACAGAATATTTAAAAATAATGTTAATAACAATAATAGGTTAACAAAAGCTAGACAAAAATAAACTGTCAAATGGTATATAAGTACACAGTTAATATTATATAAAATATAATGTTACACAGTAGTATATAAAATTATAAACCAATTAAACATTTTACAAGCAAAATCTTTTAGTATTGTTAGTAAATATTATGACGTCGAACACAAATCGTATAAATATTACCTTATGTTAATAGGATATTGACATAATTTCACGAATATTTTAATCATAAAAACAAAAAGTACCACGAAAAACCCGAAACTAAATAAAAATTGATTTAAAAAGATAAAAATATTAATTTTTTTGCGAATTTTCTATTTTTTTGATACCATAGATCATCGTTATCCATAAAAAGCTTTTCGTAAACAACTCTAAACGATTATTCGCTTTTTACATATATGATGAGGTAAAGTGTGGTTATGACACATTTCAAAAGTTGTTATTGTATACACAGTACACACATAATGAAGGCTGACAATATAATAATATAATATATCATAATTTTATGTGTAGTCAAAGGGATGTATTCATAGAATAATTGTATGGGCTATAATCGAGAGTCAAGAACTAATAATATAGACGTGTATCAGGTAGATATATCTTATCTAATATACCTACTAAAAATAACACAACTTTTAAAAACAGTTATATAAATAATAATTGAGACACCTTTGTTAAAATTTTAAAACAAAGTAGTATATAATGATATGAAAAAAAAAACAGATTTCGACTTATCTACGCACCTAAGTTATATTATATTATAATATAACTTAGGTATATACTAATGGAAATTTTGAGCAAGTAGTATATGAGTTATAGTATGGTTATAGGTATTTAAAATTTATATTAGCGAAGTAGTTAATCGAAATTTTGCTGGATATATCTGTACTACTTCACTCGTCTAAATTTTAAATAGGTATCTATAAACCTTTAACTATTTGCCCAAAATTTGATTTATTTATATAAAAATATTCTGAATAATTATATACTTAGAAATATGAAATTAAAAATATATAATATCGTAAAAAAGTAAAAAATTTAAAAAATATATTTTTTTGGAATATTTTTGTTTTTTTATTTCTTATAGTTATTAAAAGATAAATTTTTTATAAATAATTTAAGTTATAATGAAAAATCATTGTTAGAAAAACAATATTAATTAGTAATAACTATTTCTTAATGTTATAATTTTTTAAGATTTTTTAATTTAGTTAATGACGAAATTTATGTTTAATTTATTTTGCAAAGTAAACTATTTAGTTTAATGCCTATTTCAATATATAAATATCAAATTTTGGACGAGTAATTTATGATTACGAGTAATAAGTATTTAAAGTTTAGATTAGCGGAGTAGTAGGAACTAGGGAGCCTTCTCATATAAAAAGTTGGTTTTCAACTCCCCAAATCTATAATTTAAATACTTATAAATTACAAGTATATTGCGTTTAGAGCATGTTGTCGTTCAAAAAGTTAAAAAACCTAAAACATTATAAAAAATATCATTTTTTCTTTTCAAATATGTTATTTGTTAATATAGACTTAAAATTATGCAAAAATAAATATTTTCAAAAACGTTAGTTTTAGTTATTAAATAAAATTAAAATTATAATTTTCAAATTAACGTGAGTGTTTTACGTTAAAATATTCATCAGACATAGTAAATTTGAAAACTATAAATGGATATTGGACATATTACTGTAAACTCCAAGGTTTTGAAATTTTGTGCGATTCCCTTGAAGTTACATGCATAAAAACGACATCGAACTGCAGGTTAGCCGCCACCTAGCGTTGTAACTACTATTAGCCAATAATTATATAAATAGCGTTGTTACTAGTTCGCGTACTTAGTCCAATGAAATTATATCTAAGAATACAAATATAATGATATTGTAATATTGTAACGCAAGTCGAGATACAATTTTAATCATCGGTGACGATGATCACGGGAGTACGTGGACGACGAGATATGGGGACAGCAATAGGCACAGCATTGTTACCACACCGGTTACGCGAGACGGAAAACGGTTACCGGAATGGGAGGACGATGACTGAACGGGCAACGGCGGTCGCATCGATTGCAGCCAATTGATGTCGTATCTTTTACCATGGCGGTCGGAATAGCCGTCGTTGTCGTCGTCGTCGTCGTCGTTGTCCTCAGCCTCCACACCCACTCCTAATAACAAATGCTTGTCGACGGACGACTTTTGTACGTCATCCAACGGCCAATCCGCACCGAAAAGTACGACATCCGTATCGGCAGCCGTCCCTATAACCGCCTTATCCGTTGCGCCGTGTCGGTCATCGTCCGACACCCAATATGTGTTGTAGTGATCGTTGTCACTTACAGTGCTGCTGCTGTCAGCTATCGTCTTTTTATTCGTTGGTTCCAACTGGACATTCACCAATTGCGGCCGAGGCCCTTGTTTTTGATTCTCGCGTACCTCCGGCACCTTCACTCGGACGATTTTTTCGTCGTATCCGGTCGCTTTCACCTGTCCGGGTTCAATAGGCAGGTGTACATTATTACAATATAATTATTTACACTGAAGAACTGAACACAGTATATAAATATTTTTTTTTTAGTAAGAAATTATAAGAAAAAAAATAAAAAATTTAAATAAATTGTTTACTACAGTTGTTTTAGAATTTTTTATTACAAGAAATATTTACTAAAGTTATATACAGTAAACGCCGCTTATAAGACTCACTTTGGAACCAGCACAAAGTGAGTCTTATAACCGAATGAATCTTATAGGCGAAGTGGAAAAAATTAATTACGTATTTATAAATTTTATTTTACTACATACTTTGCTTTGATTTTAATACATTAACACATATTACATATTACATACTTTATTATTGAATAAATTTAATAATCCCGATAAAAAAAAACTAAAATTATAATTGTTATAATTATCATTGCGATAAATGTGAACTTTTATCTGCGATAAAAATTATTATACGTTATAAGGTACCAACAGAAACTAGAAATAACTAACACGAATATTATTTCATTTTTCAAAACCAATTTATTTCTAAATTATAACCAAAAAAGTTTATTTTCTACTATTTATTTAACGAAATTTGAGTCTTATAACCGAAGTGTTGAGTCTTAAAACCGATTTTTTTTTAATGTATTTGGATACGTTCGGACCGTTCCAGACGATTTTGAGTCTAATAAGCGACTGAACCTTATATCCGTGAGTCTTATAAGCGGCGTCTACTGTACTTTTTTCTTAGGCAAAGTGATTGGTTATTTAAATCATAAAAATTATAGTTATTTTAGTAATATAAATAATAAAGTAGTAAATAGTAGGTGGCTAATTTATGAACCAATCGAGTTTAGATTTAAGTAAATGGTGGTTTTTAAAATAACTACCTACTTAAAAGTGGTTCAAATCATCAATTCATTAGTTTATCATTAACTAAAATAATTTGTTTAAAAAAGTAGATATGATTTGTTTTCCTTAGAACTAAGAAATGCAAAACTTTACAGATCGATGCAAACTTTTTTTATGTTTTTAGTTCCTTTTTCTTCCTTATACAAGTATCACTTAAACTATACCATATTTAAATTAATATATAGTCCGTTTCGATAGATTTAGATTTAATTATATTGCAAGTTATTATAGTATAATATTATACATTTTTTACTTTTATAGAACACTTACGCTTAACTTGTATACACCAGGAAGTAGTATTTTCCAGTATTCTCCATTCACGGTTGTGTTGATATAGTTTTCACGATCTTTAAGGCTAATGATGGCGTTGGGTATGGGTTTGCCAGTTATTCGGTTCGTGACGACACCCTTAATGCCTCTGTGCGCTTGTTGCATCCATGTCAAAAGAGGCTAAAATCAAATCAAAATGACGATAATTTGTCGTTTATATATATTATTATTTTTTATTTATATATGATGAGATTGATCTCTATGAGTACATTAAAACATATTTGAAACACGCAAAACTAAATTTATTATCGCTATAATACCTAATTATTGTTGTAAATTTAACGAATTTTATTATAAATAATCATATAGGTATTATTATAGTATTATATCATTTAAAAATATTACATAGTATAATTTTATCAATAGTTAGAATTTTATAATAATTTTATATTACCTTTAAATGATCTTCCCAGTGAGATTTTAAAAATGACGCAGGTGGATACTTGCAACAAGACATTTCCAAAGTGATTTCCAAACAGCCGTGCCACACGTAATTATAATCTTGCATACTTCCTGTAAAAAATGCATTTATTTTATTTTCGTATAATAAAAACTTCACTATTTTTTTTATACAATATAGTAAGATAATGAATAATATCGAAAATGTATTATTACATAGTATTAATATGTACAATATATTAATATATTATATACATAATAATATAATATACGGCGTGATCCATAAAAATATCGAGTACCAATTCTTAATGTCTTAGCTCTTACAGCTTGAATTTATAAGCTATGATGTTATGAAAATATACCTATTACTTGATACCAAGCAGCTCCATTTGTTATGCCATCTTTGAATTTTAAATAGTCATCTTCACAGCTTAGACCATTATGCATGGTCGGGTGCAAGCCAGCATATTGTTTTGCTAAAAATCGAAATACGTCATCGTCTGGTGTTAAACTTTCCATATTATTGTTATTGTGGTTATAACTAGAATCTGCAATTGAAAAACAGTGAAAATAATTAATTAGGAACTTAAATATTGTAGTATCAAATTATTTACACATGCGGAACAATTTAATAAGAAATATTTATTATATTATTTCATTGATTATTACAAAATAATATTATGTCATGTTGATTTCCTACAAAATTTTGATTTAGTTATTACGGCTGATATAACAAATTTAATTACCTACTATTAATACGAATTCATGCTTTATAGAATTTAGATAACACCATAGATTTCTCTTGGTATTGTTAATAATATAATTAGTAAGTCAAACAGACAAATAGCGATATAATGTTAATATTTTAAGCCATATTTTATTATAGACAATAAATATTTAAAAGTCGTTAGATCACTTAACGTAATATTGTACACATAACGTTTAAGTATAGGCAGTATAACTTATTATTATTAGTTATAACTTTTTTTTAAGCACCCTAATAACAATTTTTATGATGTGAGATTTTACAAACAGGACTACATGCATAAAATGTGCATTCATACTTAATATTTCATTTTGATATTTTTACCATTTAGAAATTTTTTGTAGAGCTCAAACATATTGGCGGTTTTCAAAGTTTCGTTTAATTTCTGCAGTTTTCCTGGTACTGTTATGATAAAATATAAACGATAATATCTATATAAAATGTTATTACGCAATTTAAATTTTGAAATATATTTATATACATTAATACGATATAATGCCATAATGTATTGATATTTAAAATTCAATATCAAATTTTATAAAATTATAATAAAATTAAATCATTAGAAAATATTATTGAGTGTAAAAATATGTATATTATCGAAAACATTAAGCAGAGGCTAGGTCAAAACAAGCAATATTTTACGTCATAAAAAATAAATTTAATAAATAATAGTTAAAAGTTATTTTTAAAAAGTAAATGGTATAATATAAATTTGTTCTTATAAATTAAAATGTTGGACAAGCTATGGTATTATAGACTATAGAAAAATACAAATATGTACTTAAATTATTATATATAGGCATATATTGTTATTTTTGGATTATCTGATACAGATATCTGTAAATAAATTCAAAAGCGACCGATTATAAAATCTGAATTTGTAATATTTTACTTATAAAATGTTTATTCCTTTATAAATTTTATACATATGATAATATATTATCAATGATTTGGCGAAACTACTGATTGCATCTTATAATTCTTAAAATCAATTTAATCTTATTTTAAATTATCATATTTTTGTACCCAGTGAATAAACCATTGGTATATAACTGACGAACCAATTAAAAATAAAATTAAAAAATTTTTAAAAATAATTTATCACGGAAGTACGTGCAATGATATGTTCTTAATTAATAAGCTACTCTCGATGGATCAAAATTAAATAGCATAAATGATACAAGTACAAAATAACATATATATATGTTTAGGATGCCAATTAGTATGATATATACAAATGTATAAACAAAATATATACGTATAATAATACTATGTAGGTAGTGTCTTTTAAAATTGAATTTTTTTTTTTGTATATTAACTTTATTAGAAAATTATTTCATTTATCCACATGTATATTATATTAATTTTGTAATGATTTGATATAATAGACAATAATACTTACCTGAATCTGATGAACCGTCGTAAGGGAAATTGGCCACCAAAGCACCGCCATGTAAACTTAGAGACATGACGAACGGTATAGATTTTAACCACCCTATTATTGCTTTAGTTTCGGGTTGCCGTGGCACTAAGTTTGGATTGAAAATGTCCGGAAAATTTCGATTCAAATCAAAAGTGTTTGCGTTCGCTCTATATACAAATATTATAATATAGTCGATTAGATAAAATTAGAAATTTGTTGTGGTTTTCTAGGTAAAAAAAAAACAACACAAATTATAAATAATAACAAAGCCATTTTACCTAGAACCTGACATATGCATTCCATCGTTAGGGCAAGGTTGAGGTGCGGACAGTTCGAATCCGTCCGGATTCATGCTCGGCAATAAGTGAATGACGGTGGTTCGCAACAGATTGTTAATTGCTTCGTTTTTTGAATTGTTATCCAATAAATACTGTAGATTTTGAACATAAACATATTTTAAACTTTGAATTTTTAATACAGACACAATACATGTGTGTTGTGGGAAAGTGGCAACACAAATTACTAAACGTAAATTTATATTTTTCGTAATTATTATGATTCCGAAAATGTTGTAATAAAAAAAATAATTAAATCGAAATTAACTGTCCACGTCTTTTTCTACGAGCTGTTTGTTCTTATCATGTATATTGCTCTATAGTTTCATTAAAAACCACGATATGAGTTTTAGGATTAAATGAGAGTTAAAATTCGTTTACAAATTTGATTTGGAGTACTAAATTATTTTTGCTGACTAATTATTGTTCTAATGTTTTGATTTTAAAAATCGATGAACAGTTTATGAATTATCAATATTTAAAGTTTAAATTAGTGGAGTACAACCGCAATAGACCATAAAATGTTGGTCCACTATATCTTATTTATATAAACTTTTAATTTTTAAATACTTCAAACAATATTCTGATTAGAAAATGTGATATTAAAAATGTGTTTTGCCATTCAAAAGAGTAAGAAACTCAAAAAACTATAATAATAAAAAGTAGTAAATAATATTATTTTGTAATGCAGAAAAAAAATATTTTCATAAACGTTAGTGTTTTTGAAATAATGAATGTCTTAAATTAAACAAATAATCTCGTATATGTATATAAATAATAGCGTGTTTATAAATTAAACTCTTAATATTTAAAATTTAAAGTTATTTATAATCTCATGCGTATGACATACTTGAACCAGATGTAAAATGATTTCTCTCCCAACGGGCTCATTGCCGTGTATATTTCCAACAATTTTGATATTTGGTACACCCAGCATTTCAGTTGCAGTAGTTAATTTGACGGCCCACAGTTCACGTTCTTTATAGGGAAACGCAAAAGATAACATTATAAATACAAATATACGATATTATAGTAAAATAGTTGTCTTAGTTTTAAATCTAGTGAACACATAAAATATTGGTACTAAAATAAAGTGATGTAAAAGCTGATTTTTGTAATGGAGTTGATTATTATTTTATTATAAACGATTAATATAATTGCTGAATATTAAACTACCATACAGCCGACAACTTCTTTTACTGTTTTTATCAAATTCTTATGTTTTAATAATATCATTATGAATATAATATAGCATGACGTGTTATACATACTTAAAACCGATTTGCCAATCGAATACAGCGATGAAATATTAGGGAATTCTTCAGTTATTTCCTTCAAATAATTAGTCATCTCTTCATGATTATGGTATTTATCGAATCCAATCCTAGAATGAGATGCTGAAGACGCTGCGAATACGATCGCCAGCACGATTGCAGAATTCTGTAGAGCTTGGACTATGTTCATAATCATAATCATACTGATTGGTGTCAATCGAGACGTTTTGTATTGATGATAAAACACTGATGATAATAATATATAACAATGCCGTAAACTTTTTCTGTAATGATATATTTTCTGAGGTTTTTAAGCAGCAATTTAACAGAATAACCCTGAATAAAGTAAACGCAATATTCGATTTTATTTTCAAACAGCCAGAAAAATGTATATAACCGATTTTAGTGGATGTAACGATTATTATTAGGGACATATTTAACGTAAAATTATCAGGTTTTTATTTTATTACAAATTTAATAATATTCTATAAACTTAAAACTTAGATTTAGCGTCTTTTATCTCAAAACATTTCATTTCTTCAAAAACTCATCCTATCGATCCATCTTTCGAATTCAATTTTAAAGTTCTGTCACGAAGTACTCCCATGTCACTCATAATACTGCTTGACAATAATATTACAGTTAAATTAATGAGTCTCTGCAGCTGTTATTGTGTGTTTGCTAATTTAGAAGAATATTGTACGCACAACGTATTTATACTTCATGTGCTATGCTATAATTATTATGTATTCAATTTTCTTGGTAATTTTTAATCTCGTTTATCTAATGGTGGTGGAAGTACTGGATTTTCACTAGTGGGGTGATATTTTTTTACAATGCTCATTGGGGGACTAAGATATTTCAATATTATCTTTATTCATCCACTTAATTATGATAAACATATTTTATAAAATATAAAATAAAATAAAAAGTATGAATTGCAGTAGATAAATACAAATTAATTATCTTCTCAATAACATGATTATATTCTGTGATCCAAAATAATAATAATAATAATAATAATAAAATAAACGATATCTTTATATGTTAATATTATAAAGAAAATACGAGTATATGAGGGGCCCTACAAAATATTGTGGGAAAGAGCACACTTGCTCCTCTTAGGTTCTAGTTTAGCGCCAATCCTGCTTACATTATAATTTACTAATAAATCTCGTATTACATTCATATTCCTAATATTGTGGAACACTAGTAATTGTATGATCATATAATAACATGGTCTATAAGACAAGTATTTTATTAATAATTAGGGTCCGAATTTCAACGCTAAGCGCATTAATTTTTAGGCGCTCTAGAACAATACATTCTAAGTTTATAATTTATTTAATGTAAGTAAGAGAATATAATTTAGTGCATTTCTAAGGGGAAATTTTAAATTTTGAATTTTTTAAATTTTTAGATTATTTTTTAGCATTTTAAATTAATTTTATTAATTTTACTGTGTATATTATATTAAAACATTGAATGAGCTTTTAAATTAAAAAATTGGAAATTCCAAATATAATAAGAAATATTGTTTTTATATTATTTCTTTATTTCTAGGTATTTTCATCCGTAAAAATGTTGATCGTTCTATTTATATGTATATGAATGCAATATAATATTTATCTATATTTATCTCCAGAAATTATCCGATGTGATCTCTTACCGGGACTAAAATAAATAAAAAGTAATTGATCAGTTGGAAGTACAGAGTGATGACATTTATTTTTAGCTTACTGCTTATATTTTATTTTGGATGCGTAAGTTTGGTATTTTGTTTTTGTATTATTGGTGGTTTGATTAAGATATAGAAATATGAAAATACCTGAGATTAATACACTATTTTTTTATCTCTTGTATAGCTACGAACCTAAAAATAAATTAAGTCATTTTTTAAAAGCATTATTGTAATAAAAAATAATTTTTTTAGGCAATTTTTTTGATAGTTTTAGGGCATTTAAATCTGGGCCCCATTGCTCCCATTGACAATAAATTAATATACAATATTATGTTTATATCATAATCGCTTTGTACAATTTATTTATATGTTACTATAATATATGTACGTACCAGTCGATGTATTAGACAAATTGTATAGATGTTTGTACGCTTATGTATACTCTCCGAGAGTATAATTGCGTACACGAGAGGATTGCAGATTGATAACGAGACGTGGATTCGCTTTGGACGCGTTGTGAAACTCTGCGCATATACTTATTGGCGTATTATATCATAACCAACACAAGTGGCCGTATAATCTCCTCGTTTAGTGCAGATGATAAAAATTATTGACAATAAATACGACGACGACGATGACGACAAAAAAAAAAAGCTATCCAAAAACACGACCACCGCTCGACGCTGTGATGTACACCTGACTACACTTTATACCTACCTAATTATTAAATAGGCAACTACACGATAAATATCACCGTAAAATTTGTGTCATGTGGTGTAATAGTTCGAATAGTGTTGCGACGTGACTTTGAATTTTTATACTACGCAGGTCCCACGTAAAAATTACATTTTAATAAAATAACCACAAAGTCTATTTTATTGGCGAAAAGATTGACACGCACAATAAAAATCTGTCGCTTCGGAGCAAATTATTTAACTCGACGCATCCGCCTCGTATCGATGTCGACCAGCATAAGCGACTAATAATATATTATTTATATATATATCTATAATAATATATGTATCTAATTTATGTTACTGCTGTAGTGCTATTTAAAATTGAAATAACAAGATAATAAAAAAAAAAAAAATTCTTGTATCGCGAGAACTCGACTTGCCATGTAACATCGGTATAATACATATATCGTATGTACTGTGTATATATATTTCATAATTATGATATAATATTATAATATTTAGTATCTTCTTCCGTATGATATGTTCATAATGATAGTGCGCCTATTAATAAAAAATAAAAAACATAAAAAAAAATAAAAAATATAAGAATACAAAACAAAATAAAAATAATAATATTATGTTATTGTCCTGTCGTAGAGATTGTTTTTTGTGTAAATAATCCGTAACACATATGGGGTATGTGATAATCATACGATTGTTAGCCGGAAAAAGGATATTATAAAATTATGTTATGATATTCGTATTTAAATTATTAAATAATGAAGAATTTACAGATTACGAGGAGACATCAACCAAATATTTTAAGATAAAAAAATATTTGGTATTTATTTTTTATTATTTGTAATTCTTATCGTCCTTATATCAGTGGCATCCTCCGATTTTCCGAATAGTGAGGGGTTATACATTTTTTAACATTATCTATGTTATAACAAAAAAATAAAATATACATCTAATGTATTCTTAAATTTGCCTGCTGGTATTAGGTGCTCATTGACTAGAATAATATATCATTAATTGTGTGCAAGAAGAATTTGTATATTATTGTATTTTATTGAATTATTATTAATGTCATAAGTAGGCATTTTAAACCTTGGTGTAAATCACCACGTGATGGCGAGAAATATTCTAATAAAAATTATGAGTAATAAATTGACAAAAATAAGTCAAAGGGTGGTATGAGATCATGCGTGTACACAAAATATTTATTTTTTTAAAGGGGGAAGGGGTCAAGGTTGTATAATTTTATAATTGTATAATAATAAGTTAATACCTACAATTTCTATTGTAGAATTATTTATTTATTATTAAAAACTAAAATATATATTTTAAAATTTTAAATTATATGTAGGTTTTACATTTAATATTTAATTAATGAATACAATTTCAAAATGAAAAACTGAAAAAACAAAAAAAACATGTCTATAAATTAATAAAATTAATATTTTTATGATACAAAATTCATTTTTCGTGAAATTCAAATCTATTAATAATGTCGTCAACAACAATTTCATAACTTCAATAAATATTTATAAGGCCTAATCCAGTCAGTTAGTCTTGTCCTATATTATTACTTAAATAAATTGTAAGTCTCCGTAATGTTGAAAAAGATTGCTCTGCGGTAACGGGAAGATTAACTATAATATGCCGTTAAAAGGCATTTTATAATTGTATTGAAATCTCGAATCACTAGATATTTGACTTAAAACAGTTAATGAACACTTTGGGCGATTATCATCAAATACATTTTCCCATTATGTTTGCCAGATTTTAATTTTAGCGTCAAATGTATCAACATTTGGTAATAAAGGTTTTTAAAATAGTGTAAATTCCTTAATTTTTTTTGAATATGTTGAAATATCTTGAGTAATATACTTAGGAATTAATAATTACAAAATGGAAATTATACGATGATGTTTAGAAAACCTTTCATCAAGTTGATAAATAAAATGATCCAACTACGGCAAAAATATAGTACATTTATAGTATTGTTCTGGTGAATTAGCTGGCGTGTTATCTCGAGAGGTCTACTTACGTATCTACAGTTCTGGGTGCCATAATTTCGCCTTCAATCATTTCTTTTTCGTATTTAGAAAAATTCTTTTAAAACTTTCTTCTGATTTTTCATTTTTTTCGATTAAAATTTTTCGTATGTCTTCAATTTGTTCATAACAATAAGACAAATCAATATTGACTTATGCAATATGCTATGCATATAGAGGTAATGTTAGATCAAATATGTTTTCAATCACATGTAAAAAAACTAAAAAATTCGACTCACTAATGGCACTAAATTATTTAAATGCTGACAATGCAGTTTTTGATGTTTCAATATTTGAACTACTATTTCTATTTGTTTTAAAGCTTGGTAAATGGTTAAATATAACTCTTTGAAGTGGGTTATACTTTCGTGGCGCTCAATTTAACAAGTTTCGCACATTTTTATTTAAGTTAACTGTTGATTTTCGGGAATATACTTTTGCAATGTAATAAAAATACCCAAATAAAGCATATAACTATAATGTTTAATAGACGACGGAAATTTTAATATATAGAATTAGAAACTACATTAATTACATTAATACAAATAATACAACAAACATTTTATTTTATTTATCTTTCTCAATGACAGAAACCACTTAAGTTTCGATACTCTTTAAAAGTATTTAAATGTTTCGGGGGTGGGGGTTGAACCCCTCAAATCCCCTGCTTAATAAAAAGCTAGTTTATAATACTATTAATGTAAGTGAATATCTAATATCTATGTATGTGAATGATCAAAATAAATTTTTACTAAATAATAATTTTTTTTTTAAATATATATTTGATTGTTTTATATTAAAATGTTTGGTTAACTTATTATTGAACCTTTTATATGATAATAATAATATCAATATATGATCCACGTTAGCATAGGTTTCTACGATTGACCAAATGTCATTCGCTTCACATATATAATCGTGCGTTTTCTAAAAATGATTTAAAATTATCTAATTAAGATTTTTTTTTTTATAATTACTTTATAGATAATCTTTTAGTATTTTTAAAATTAATCTATAAATTGCTATAAATAAGTTTTTATTTTATTTACTGAATATTATTTGTTTAAACTATAGGTTATAAAATCAATAATGTGAACATTTTAAAAACACTTAATTTGTTAAACATACTTTTTTTAGGAAATATATAAAAAATATGCAAAGTTATATTTGTAATTCATTTTACAATTTTATATCAAAAAAAAAAAAAAAAAAAAAAAAAAAAAAATGATATGTAATATGTTAAATATGGTTTTTCGTATGATTTTCATTATGTTTGAACTTTAACATATACCTAATATACTTACACAGTCATGAATTTATAAAAGAGTTATTCAAATTCGATCGTGGTATACATTTACAAAAATACAGCATTATTTGCATATGATACATTTTCGTATTTTTTTATTCCATAAGAGATTAAGTCTGAAAAATATGTTTTGTTGTTTATGTATAGTATGATGCTTAATGACGCAAAAATAATTTAAAAAGTGGCTTTATGGTCAATTCTCATTATGCACGTCGTATTCACAAAACACTGTAGATATGATAAACATTTTAGGTGTATATAGGTAATTTAAAACGTGTAAATAAATCGTTATTTTTGAAGTCTTCAAATGCAGGGCAAACGTGCATCATAAACAAAGAAGATTTCACATTTGCATATACACACTGCAGTGGTTTATGAAATTATTTGAACTCAGCGATGGTTAAAATAATTGAGAGTAGATAAAAGATTCTAGTTAGACGTGAGTTCAAAATAATTTTTAATATTTGTGTGCAAGGTTAGCCATTTAAACTGTGGTAATAATAATAATAATAATAATAATAACATTAATAGTTCATATTCAAAAAATATTAACAAGACAACAATAAAATTTATGACTTGGATAATATAACACAGTAAGGCAAATTTGTTTATACCAGTTATCATATTAAAACAAACTGAAAAATTGGGCATACATACACACATTATATTAAATTGTTAATATTTATAATTATATCATAGTATATACTATATACCTTTATTATTATTACACCTTTTTATCATCATTTAAAACTTGAATTTCAAGCGTATTTTTAGTTTCTATCAATAAAGGACATAATATACTCGTAATTTCCAATAGAGTTGTATCGTCTACTAAATCATCTGCAGAAAATAAAATTAGTATTTTAGTTGTAGGTTTCTAGTTTTTATACATATATTTTACAAAATAAATTTTTGTTCATATAATAAAATACAAATTATATTTACCAGGGTTTGCAACTAAGTATGGTTTATTCTTTTGTTGATAAATAAACTACAATTTAAAACTTTAAAATTAGTTAAAGCTTGTGTCATCTTACATACGTTTATTTTTGATTAATTTACAAAATGTATAATAATAGTCCTTAGGTCTGCTGACTGCTACATAATATACATGTGTGTCGAAGTGTCACGTTCCATCGCTTACTCGTTACTGACAAAGTAAATTATTATCATTTTATTTCAATTTACTTTAAATTGTACTCGGTATATCTAAGTTTATTGTTAAATTATCAACATACAAATCCTGTTGTATTTTTCCGTTTGATATTTATCTTTCCTTATTAAACCATATAAGAGATAGTCAACGTCTATTAATAGAATTTTTACTTTTAATTTTTGTATTCTTTTGTTTGGATAATTTCAGTTTTTTCAACAGGACGTGAGGGATGGACCAATGATATTTTTAATAATAAATCTATAAGTAGAACTATAAAATGAATAGACATTTTAAACACATAAAATCATGTATTGCGTAAGAATTATCATAATTTGATATTTGGCGCATACAATACAATATATAGTACATAAAAAAAGTTAAAACCAATTTTAGGCTTACATAAAAATTAACAGTACTTAATTAGTAACTTAACGAAACAATAATTCAACAAAATTAATATGTGATAACTAATAAAGAGAACAATAAACAAAAAATACAAATTAAATAGGATAATAAAGATGAGACTACATAAGCGAAACAATATAATAAGGAACAGTAATTAACCACATTGAATATTACAATTAAGAATAACAATAAAAGTTTAGATTTCTCTGTATACAAATTGTTTTACAGTAGAGAAATACACGATTAATAATAATATGCACACACATCGGAATTTTTAAAACATTTTAATACTTGGATAAAGTTTTTTTTTTTTTTTTTTAAAGTAACTATGCATTTATTATTATAGAAGTCATTTTAGTAATTTAGTATGTTGTAAAATATTTTTACATGAAAAAAAACCATTGAAATAGAAATATTACATTTAACAGAATATTTATTACTTAAGCCTATAAAACTGTTATTATAATAGTTTTATTATGTTATATAGTTAAATAGATACAAATTTCTACTTAGATTTGGTCAATTAATTCCAAATGCAAAATTAATATTTAAAACCGTACATAAACTAATTTACAATTTAGTTAATATTTATACAGGTATTTAAGTATATATAAAAATGTCCATGGGGTTTAACAATATAATATTAACTATAAACGTTGTTTGGAAAGTGTAGACATTTAATCCATTTGCTAATCACTGATTAAATAAGTGTTTGCATCGTTCTATATGGCTGTTGGTGGTAACACATTGTAGTCATGTATGGATGATTTAACTGTTTCATAGATGGGACGGTTGTTGTCTGCAGTGGATGAGGTCAAATTGTTATAGGTCATGTATTCAGAATGTGGGTTATTGCATAATGTTTGTAATTTTGTCAAATAACTGTCAAAGTGTTCTTGAGTTTTTTCGGAACCTGATTGACCATCTGGACATCTCACTTGTTCTAAAAATGACATCATATTGTTCCTTAGGTTTTCATAGTACCCATTCAAATGGGAATTTTGTCGTTGAGATAAGATTTGTGTTTCCTGTAAACATGCAAAAATATCAGATTGTTACAATTACTTAATATTTAACTTGGTAAAATTGTGGAATATTGTTGTAATACGACTATTATATCATTAGAGCATCTTTTTGGAGTGTTTTTGCTTTTTTGGAATGTTTGACACTACCTTGGGCCTACCTTATCCCCGTGTCGAAGATGAGCCTCCATAGCATTGATGTCTGTCTTCAATCTCAACATTTGGGATTCGACGCGTGCATTTTCTCGCTGCAATTCTGTTATTTCAGCATCCAAAGTAAATAGATCTTCACCACCGTTCCCCATATTACAATCTAAAAACCACAACTTTTTTACCTTTTCTCCTCCTCAACATTTGACTTTTTTTGAAAATTGTAAAAATCCCACAATTTTACCAAAGATAATCTTAATACTATTCTCACCATTATGAAGTTGTTTCGAGCCGTACATATGATGATATAATGAATCAGCAGCATTTGCTGGGATAGGTTTCTTTCCAGATGCTAAATTAGGTGCTGATGGATGGCAAACGCTGAGAGTTGGTGCACCACGGTGAAGAAATGAACTAGAGTTTAAATGAGATGGTTCACAGCCAGTCTGATCGGACTGCTGGTGATGGTGTTGTTGTTGTTGTTGCAGTTTGGCTATATTAGCTTTATGTTGTTCAACAGTTCCCCCACTTTCGAGTACGCGCATTTTGTTACGATTTGCAATTGGACAACCGGATGCACTAATAATAAATATTATGAGATAAGCATGGCTAATGTAATTAACAGTAAAAATTAAGCTTTAAAAATGTAATTTACCTTCTATGAGATAAAAATTTGCCTGTAGCATGTCCAGATCCATCACACCCAGGTATAGGGCATCTAGAATACAAATTCATTATAAATATTTAACTAGTTAGTTTAATTATGTAATAGTGCAATTAACCTTAGTGGCTCAGAATCTTGACCGTCTCGAGGTTTACTCTTTGGCTTATTGGCTCGAGGACATCCAGATAAAGATCTATGAGAAGAATAATTTCCTGTTACATGACCAGAACCATCACAGCCTGGTGTGGGACATTTTAGTTCTTGTGAATGTGTTGAAGAAATTCCTGGTTGTGATGAAGAACGATCACTTCTTGCACAAACAGAAATACTAAAAAAAATAATTTTTACTTAATTCTAGTCATAATAAAAAAATTAATTACATTATTAATTAATTAAATTAAACATTTACTTTTTTTTTATAATCATATACACTGACGTATTTGGTATAAACATTTTATTTTACTGTCAATTTTTTTTTTTTTTTTGTAGACATATAGTATAGTCTATAAGTGTTATAATTATTATAATATACTTATATTAAAAAATTATTATTAAATTGAAACCTTTGTTTAACCTATGATAGGAAAAGAATTTTTATTTATCCAACAATCTACATAGAAACAATTAAAATAGTAACAAGTTACAATTAAAAAATTAAATAGAAATACCTAATGTAATTAGAAAATTTAGTCTGAACTGAAATCTGAATTAAAAAAAATTTCTTCTTCTTCTTCTTCTTTATTTTTTTCAATTTCTTTATGAATAATATCTTTCTTCTCTGTACAGGTTGATTTAACTCTGAGTGAAAAACATTCTTTTAGATATGATTTTCTTCTGGCCTCTTCATTAATGCTCAAACAAGATGCAATGAAATTATCAATCATTTCTGATGTACGATGTGGGTGGTTTAATAGCAACACAAAACACGATCGGACCGAGAATAAAATGTAATCATTTGCAATGTTGGGTGATTTGAGAGTCACTGATAGTAATTCTTTGTAACTATCCCAATCACCCGCCAACAGACAGAGTCGCATCTCATTAAATACCGGTTTCAAACTGTTTTCCCTCATTGTCTTGCTTGAAGAGTGACAAAGTGGCAAATGCATTTTGTAGGTACACAGCCAGTCTACGTACATTGATGTCGCGGCACCTTTGTAAGTGGCACTTATCTTTGCCTTTCTGCCAACGGGTTCCGATTCTCGTGACTCCAATATCGTTTCAATGGCTTGCAGAACACAATTCTTCGGTAAGACACGACGATATTGGATTTTAGGGTCGAAAGATGAGCTATCCGAAGATTCGCTGAATGTCAGTTGCATTTTCAAAACGTAACTATTGTAGGTTTTAATATTAGAAACGTGGCAACCTTACCCCTACAATTTATGGCCTTACTCACCGGACTTAAGTTCAATACAAAAAAAAAAAAAAAATATTAGAAACGCGGTTAAATGCTATGGAATGGATAAAATCAAAAATGATTTGACTTGTGAAGCGATGATAATTTACAAACGTAACTATTCAATATTATCGGCCAGTAGCAACAATTATTCAGTACGTATTTTATTATTTAAATGTTCACTGTTCGCCCTGTTCGGTGTAATTAATAATTATTATAATATAATATCAGTATTCAGAATTCAGATGTATTCACTGTTTGCTTAAAAATTGTCAATAGTACTATTAAAGATATCGTTGTCTGTGGTCGATAGCGATGATAATTGTTATCGCATCATTCAAACAGTATGGCCATATGTTGAAATATTTTATCATAATATGTCAAGCGGGCTTTTTATAACGAATCTAAGTATTAACAAACTCCTTCCACCACGGTCAGTCAAGTTTTCGATCATTTTTCCAATAAGCATAACAGGTTATAATAATTTAATCGTAATTGGATGTGTCGATGTGTGTGATGACTTATGAGCTGTTTTTACTTTTTATTATTATAATTTATAATGTAAGTGGAGGGGGATAATAAATTTGTCATAAGAATACATTATTATAAAGTGATTATTTTTACGAAAAAAGTAAAAATAATACTTTTTACATTACCTATGTATTGCGAAAAAACAATTACAAAGTAATATTAGGTATTATTAAACAACAATAAAAAATAATAGCGTCATCATCATAAAAATGTCTACTTTTTAAAGCAGTTACGAGTAATAATTGACAATTTTTGAACTTAAGCATAAAAAGTAGGTACCTAGCTGCTTAATATAGTCTTATGATTTATAAATATATTATTATAATAAACTGGGCTCAATACTTAACGTACTAAAAAACATTAAAAAATGCACTTAAATTGTTAAAATATGATTTGTGAACAAAATTAGGTACTTAAAAAGTTGAAATATTTATGGTTTATTTTTCCCTTTTAAAATGTATCATAATAGTGATAATCAAAAATAAGTTGATCATATCATTCATATCTTACATGAATATGAACATGGCCACATGGGTACATATCATGTATAGGTACAATTGTTTAAATATATTGACACAGTAAAGAATAAGAAGAAAAAATTTATAAGCAAATAACATAAAATAATTTAAGATATTAATACATACAGAACTAAAAACACCATGTAAATATCGTATGGTACTATAATATTGTTTGTCGTTTGAGAGTGCAGATAAAATAAAAATAATTTTTATTATTGAAATTATATTTCTGTACCAAGTTAATAATAGGTACAATTATAAGTTAATGTTAATTGCATAAAAGAAGACGAGTTTTTTTATAAATATTTTAATTTTTAAACGAATATGTAAAATATATAATAAAAGTGTTAACGTTTTAAATTTGAAAAATAAAGTAAATAAGTTGTGAAAAAATATTTTGGTATTAGATTGGAATATTTAGATAAATTAATAAAAATAATATTAATACTAAATAATGATAGTAATGTTAATAAATGCGTCCACGTACCTGTCGTCTTTGGACGAGACCGAGAGTTTGTCTTGTTGCGGCGGCGGCATACTGTAACATGGATTCTGAGAGAACCCGTTGGGCGGTGCACCTTGCTGGTAAGCACCTGCCGAATAGCCGCACGAGTATGTTGACGTGCTATACGGCGTTGAGTACCCATTTGCGTACTCTGGCATCGGATATCCGGGATGTGGGCTCAGTGACGTGTAACCTATACGACAGATGGCAAGATATATTATTGGTAAGCCACGACGCGGTGTACACAGAAAACATTGCATAGAATATTGATTATATATTTAACATCCTAAAAAATCATCACTCCCCTTGAAGTTAAGAATTTTGTGAAATACTTAAATATAAATTACCGTATGTCAATACCGATAGTGAGTAAGAAATTATATTTTTTTTATAAGATCTTTAAGCATAAAATTACACTTGATTGATTAAGCAATTTGTGTAGTGTTTATGTATTTTTTTTATTCTATTAAAGTGCTTAAAAGTTTTAAGAAGCCGAATATCAAACTATTGTAAATAATATTATCTGTTCGGTGCTTCTTAACAGTATTTTTTTCTCAGTTTAATTCAAATAAAGTCAAATTATTAGAAAGCTGGAAAGTCGTAAAAAGATGATGAAATTTATGGCTACTCGTTTTTAATAAAATACATTATGGTAATACTTAGGTATTGAATTTATTAAAAAAAAATAATAATCATAAATACTGGGCATTTTTATAGACTTTATATTATGTGATAAATGTGTTTCAATGCTTATACTATCTTGTTCGCGTGTTAGGGTAATTTATTAGAGAATGAATATAAGTTGACGGATGAGGTATAGACGATCGATGCGGTGTGACTTCAAAGACATTGCGTCAACAAAGATGGACTGCAGTATACAATTTGGAATTTTATTAACAATAAAGTGGAAAGTTATGTACTGTGTCAATTAAAAATTGCTACATATTTAATTGTATTTAATATTTATAGTTTTGGATATCACGATCATGGGTAATAGGACGTTTGCGTATTTCTATTGACACGAATGACTTTTTGTATAGGCAATTTACACATATTATCATAAAATTTAAATATTTTAAAATTATACTCTCATTATGTCATTGATTTATCATCCGTTCGTGATACTGAAGTACAACTTATGCCCACTGCTAGAATATTGTTAAAACATGGAGTGATAAGCAAACGACTAGTCAATTTTTTACTTGGGAGACTAAATAATATAAAAACGAAAAACTGCGTCTATCGTTATAAACTTATAAATAAAAACGATACATGGATAATATAGTATACTACATACCGTTCACATCTCTATAATGGTCCATGTAATGGGAACCTCCGCTCTCGGGTGTCGACTCTCTGCTATATCCGTTAGGTGCTCCGCCAGGAAACACTAGCCTGCCAGGTGCCCTGTAACGGGGACAAATGATTGTAAACAATCTCGGTAAAAACCCCTAAAGACTAATCATAAATGACATCGTCATACCTGTTGACGCTGAGGTCCAAAGTTTGACCTTGTGGGCTTGGTGCTTGATTGACTTGCGGACTGGATGTCGACGTATTCGGGCTGGTACGGTGTCCGGCCGTTCCTGCGTAATGGTGTGGACTTAGGCTGTTTGAATACGTGACAGTCTGTGTGTAAACGGTTGAAAAATAACGGTTAGATCAAAGGCTTTAATTACAATATTTAGTTATAATGTACTAAATATCATCAACTATTCGCATTTTATAACGTTAAATACTTCCGATATGTATGCAGAAAAGCTATATTTAATAGTAATATCGTCTTCCCACAATTAGAAAACCTAACTTAACTCAGGGCTCCAATTCTTCCTTAGAACGCGTATTTATGACTTTGTCACGGGTCACAATGGTTTATAAAAAGACGATCGTAGACCGTAGTATAATAGTACCTGTGGACTGGTTGAAGTCACGCTGGACGTGGACAGATCCATAACCGACACTGTGCCCGGCGACCGGGTTAGCGGTAGCGGCAACGGTAACGGAAGTGGCTTCATCCCGGTACTCGCAGCAGCGATGCACTTCACCGACAGATTGATCGCTGCTGCTGTGGGAAAACCCGATTGGATGACCGGGCCACCGCCGGTAGAAGTGGGTGGATTCGCTCCTTCGTACTGGTACAGCGGCCTATGACGAAAAGAAAACAACGATTTTGTAGTGAAATAAATCGCTAAAAAGCAATTATAATTGCCAAAAAAAAAAAAAACCATTTATTTTTTTACCTAGCTTGAAAATTACAAACAAAACAAATTTGTTTTTCTTTTCCAAAATGTAAAACTCTCACTTAATAATCAAATTGTATTTCAATAATTATTTAATTTGCTGTTCATTATTTCATCGAAAAGAATGTATAAGTGTGAAAATACTTACAAAATTATGCTATAAAACACATTTAGAATAAAGTAAAATAGAGTTTATTTATTTACAATTGGAATACTGCGAAATAAATTTTTATAGATATAAGAAATACTATTGTACTCGCCAAAAAAAACAAAAAAAACATCAGCTATAATATCCGAGCCTTTCTATTTCGAAGTTTTACGAACTTAAATCTATTATTCACTCAATATTTTTGAATATTTTGAACTTTTAAACCTTCAATTGAATTTACTAATCAAGTTTAATTTTAAAAAAAAGGTATAACGATGTAACTATATAAGATGTACAAGGTCATTAGTAATCGGGAAATAAAAATAATATTTTAAGATACGGCTGTTTATATTTCATTAAACATAAATTATACATTAGACATATTATAGATATCATAGAATCGATATTGAACTTGATTTTTTTCAAACCACTCAAAATATTCGAGCTCGAAATAATCGATTTAGAGTATTAATTTTGAACGGATTTCGAACTGTTCGAATTTCTCGAAGTCCGGGATGTCGAGAGTTCAGTAAGTTCGAAAACCCATCTCTATAAAGTATTGTTCGTAAGTTCTCACGTTGCATCGTTTGCGACGTTTGCGTAGGTAGGTAGGTACACACATTTTTCGATTGGACATTGGACATGTACCTATGGTTAGAACGAGCCCTTACCTGGGATAGAGTGGCGGTTCGATGGCATCGTCCATCTGGACGGGCTGTTCGGGCTTCATGATCATCTGGTGCGGTTGGTACATGGCGGCGGCGGCGTCCCCGTATTCGGACGGGTACCGTTGGCATGACTGATCGGATTCGTAGCGGTCGGCGTACGCCGCAGCGGCTGCGGCCACGGCCGCGTTCAGCGGATTGGGATACGACGGCGGCCTGACGTGGTCGTACTGCGACCGAGCGGGAACTTCCGTGGAATACGACGGCGACGGCCGGTTGATGTTGGTCAGCGCGTAGTTGCGGTCTGCGGCCACCGACCTGTTGTACATGTCTTGCTGTTGGCCACCGCTGCCGCCGTTGATCTGCTGCGGTTCGTACGGTCTGTGTTGCAGTCTTGTGTTGTTGTCCATCAACATGTAAGATCCGGACGAACCATGTTGTTGTTGTTGTTGTTGTTGACCTGACATTCCACTGTTGCCGTGTGGTTGGATTTGTTGTTGTTGTTGTTGTTGCTGCTGTTGTTGCTGTTGCTGTTGTTGTTGCTGCTGTTGTTGTTGTTGTTGCTGCTGTTGTTGCTGCTGCTGTTGTTGTTGTTGTTGTTGCTGTTGCTGTTGATGGTGGTTTATGGCATCCATGCTACCAGACATGGACGACGAGTTGGAATCGTGACAGTGGTCGTACGACGACATAGTCATCGGAGTGCGCCGGCTGCACGGGGGCGTCACCGAACGACACGAACCAGCCGAGTGCATTTCCGACTTGATGGTCATGGAGTCGTCTTGCGTTCCTGGTGCGGCAACGTCGCCGCAGCATCCCATCTCGGTCTTGAGGCGGAGTTGTTTAGCGTCCGGCTTCTCGTCTTCCATGTCCGGTACGTTAGCGTCTAGATCTTTGTGCTGCAACATTTTGGACGGCTTGACCGCCAGTTTGGCACCCACGGCCGCCGGACCATAGTACGCCGTGGCCGCCGTCAGGTATTCCGGCGACCGGCCGGTCGAACCACCGCCGCCGCAGTGGTCACCGTAGTGGCCGCCCATCTGCTGGTACGCGTCTTTATTGATATTGCCCATGTGCTTGTACTGCTGCTGATCGAGTCCTCCGTTGTTGCACACTGGAAATCGACGGGGAAAAAAAACGGAAATGATGTGTCGTTCTCGGCAATAATGCGGTCCGAGTTTTGCTGAGAGTAGATCGCTATAACACTGGGTGTCTGGGGTTTTTGTCGATTGTCAGTGTGTGAAATACCCATACAGAAATATTTATATATGAATTGCTTGTCTCCCATTCTCTGCTATAGGGAGTTGCCGAGTGCCAATAATATTAGAAACAGATAAGTTATACGCACTTGAACACAATGGCGTTATTGCGTTGGAGGGAAAGTGGTCGCACCCAGATATTAATGAAAATGATAATTATGAAATTTACTTTTGTTAGTCTATTATTTATATTATGGGATAATGTACACGACTGTAAGTTAGGCGCAATTTGTTATCAATAATAATGAAGTTGGAGACTTAATGAATTTATTATCAGTTGATAAAATACATGAAAAGGTAAAGAAGAACTGATTTTATGCTATCTTTCTTTAACAAATGTCGCCGTCCCTCTGGACTTATCTCCCATTGCTATTAATCCATTTCTTTATAGGTCTTTGGGAATACCTGTAAGCGCGGCGATGTGTTGTTGTGACAGTTTTTTTTGCCGTTCTCGCAACGCCTGTTTGTTGGCCGCCGCTATTGGACAGCCGGACAGGCTCCTATGCGTGTTTCGATTGGAGTTCACGTGTCCCCGACCATTACATCCGGGAGTGGGACACTTTAAGATCGTTTCGTGCAAGGCCAAAACTGGTCAAGACAATATATACACACATATATATATATTTATATATTAAATTGGAATCGATTTCGTAACATGCAACATTAAATACACACGAACAAACAGCAAAAAGTTTTTTTTCTCTTTAATTGTTACAGTAGGTATTGGTATAAAATTAAAAAAAATAAAATCGATGGACAAGGATCAAGAATAGGGGTAGAGAGAGTGTGATGTCATCGGGGTGGATATAAATTGTTGCATATTATTTATAAAAATACATTAGGTAGGTACATTATCATAATACAATATGTTGGTATATAATAAAAACAAAGAAACAAATCTCTATAATACAATAAGTACGATGCTGTTTGTGTTTTTATCGGTGTACCAGATATTTGCGGTAAAATCTATATAATAAATATATATATATATATGTGTATAATGTTGCACGTGACGGATATGCATTGATGTTGGTCAACGAGAGGGCAGTGGTGCAATTTATCAGCTCTCTACCCCCAGCAAAAATCCGGTGTGTCGATGAATTGGTTTTGTTCGTTGCATACAATGCGCTTTTAAGTAAGTGTTGTCGACAGGAAAATAATTAGGTTATACGTTAATATGCAATATGCAATACTCACTTTCTGGCGTCACTTTGTCCTTGCGGGGACATCCCGACAAGCTGCATGTACGAGCAGAAAAATATACATAACATGACCAACTGTACTCATATTAACCCGAAATCATATCGATTAAAGTAGGTAATGATAAATTACCTTCTGTGGTGCGAATACAGTCCTGTAATGTGTCCTTGACCGGTACATCCTGGCGTGGGACATTTATTTCCATCTGAAACATAAAATTTACTTTGTAATCTGTTTCGAATGCGTTTTCTTTAAGCTTATAATAATATTTATTATTTCGTTAGGGGAGCTCTCATCTTTTGTTTCACGTCTGAAACAAAAGAATAAGAGATGGGATTTTTTTTCGGCGTTGGCGATCACAAAAGGCGCCGACTGTACTGAATGGGTAGATAAGAAACATTGATTCTGGAAGTTGCCCCCGGCAAGGGTGTTCGGTTTGTTTTTATTTTATTTTTGTTTTACGAGATATTATTTATAATTCTCTTGTTTTTAATTAAAAATGCATCGTTTTAACGCTCTGTCGCCGTCTAAAAAAATTATAATTAAAAAATATACACATCGATGGTCAAATTCCAAATGGTGCTAAAAGGAGAAAATCTTCATGGGTAGATAAGCAATAATATTGAGAAAGGAAATAAGATTTAGTAAATACTTATGTATATAATACATTATATTATTATAATATACATTTATTGGTATAACAATTTATGATTAGATTTTATTTTCCATTAAATTGTTATTTATTACATTTATGATTGATAAATTGAAACAGCTTATCAAATTATTGACGAGTGGTTTAACAAATGTTAGCATTTCTTTTTGTAAAATATTTCAAAGTATAATAGATAATGTTATTGATTTATATTTTAATAGGTTTATAGATTCAGGTATATCATAGTCCATTAATCGGCTAAATCTACGAGAATTACACCAAACAATAATAATTATATTTTAGATTAATACAAACGATTTTGAAAATTTACAATATTTAATATTAGCGTTAAATAAATATATTAATAATTGTATAGGAACATATTTATTTTATTGACAATAAAATACGATAAAGAATTTAAATATTTGGGTTTTAATGTTTAATGATGATAAATTATAAGTTTCTAAGAGATTAACATGCTTATTAGGTTTTAGGCGCATGTATAAATTAATAATATAAGAATATTTTAAATATTATTATAGATTTAGATTATTACAATTCATTAATAGGCTTAATATATGTTTTCCTACGAAATTAAAATCTTGGATGGTGTTTATTCAATATACAATTATAATCTGTAAATAAAGCGTTGAAATATATTTGTTATTAAACCAATTATTTATTGTAATACCAAGAGGAATTTAAAGTATAGTATTTTAGTAATATTTTATAATAAAAAAATATTATTTAGCTTTTATATAATTTACTTTTAAATATATTTGTTATTTAGGTGAGTTTAAACTTAAGTCATCATACTATAAATTAAATATATTTTGATATTAAAGTGACTACATATAGTCTATAAATGTGTATATAGATATGGACAGTGTCTAACATCAATTTATTTTTGTCGAGGAAGGGTTCGAATTAATAATAAAAATTTTATAATATGTTATCAAGAAATTTTTTAAAGTTATTTTTTAAACGATTTTTTAGGTAAAAACTGAATCATTTTTTTTATTATAATCAAACAAAAAGTTATTATAAAGTATAAAGGTGGTGATTTTTAAATATATACTTGTATAATACATTTGAATCCAAATTACTTGAGTATAATATAATAAACTTATTTGGTATATTATGTTTTTGAATAAGCTCAGTCAGAAATAGATAAGGTTTCAGTGGCTTATATCAACGCGTAATAATACAATACTCGTATTCATGGACAGTTTAAAAATCAAAATATCGTTGCGATGGTCGGGCGGAATTGTCGTCGTGCGCGTATAAGTTATCTTAAAGTTTGTCGGGTGAGACAATAACATATAAACATATAATATATAAATATATATATATACTATGCAAACGAGTGGCGTGCACGTGGTAGTATAATATACGTACGCTGAGCACGCGATAAATCCTATAGGAGGAAGCGGATGGAGAGGAAGAGAATTGTGTGCGACTAGGAGAGAGAAAGAGTAAAAGAGAAAGAATGAAAACGACGACGACAGAGGAAGTCGATGAAACGGAAACTGGCGAACATCGCGTGCGTACAGTATTAAGAGACTGCGGTTCTATGTACAGTTGTGGGTACAGCGGTGTGGGTATTTATAATAAAATAGTGCTAAGACGGGTATGCTGATGGGTATACAGGAAGGACGGAGGGTGAGAGCAGTGTTAACAACTCGTACCCGTTCGTTGCGTTTGGGGTTAAGTCGGCACGTGATCGGCGTGGAGATGTCCTCTTAAACCCGCCCACCCCCCAACGGTGACCCCGAGCCATCGCGACTATTACACGGCTGCTGTACAACGCGACGACGACATTATTGTCAACAACGTCGACCGACTTCGTTATCCTCCTTGAATGTTAATTAGTGTTAAATTGCAACAGGATTCGCGCGGGGGCGTACGTGGGGGATCGAAACGATAATAACGCGCGCCACGTCTTGGTCGTCTCCGCCACTAATGATGACGGGCCCTTAAACCGTATCGCTTATTGCTGCTTACCTTTGTTGTTCATGCATCCGGGTAGCATCATTCCGCTATCCATGGGATCGAGAAGCAGTTTGGGCGTGCCACCGCCGGACGTCATCCTCGGCGACAGGCCATCGCCGCCGGCCGCGCTCACCACCGAAGCGCCCAGCACGCCTTCCCTGGCCACGTCTTGGAGCGCGGAAGCCGCCCGGGAGTCGGCGCCAGCCGGCTGAAGTATGGTGTACTGCTTGGACAGCGGACTGGGCGAGTCCATCTTGATGACAGCCCCGTCAGCCTTGCAGTCGGCCGCACCGTTGCTGCAACCGTCGTCTTCCAATTTCACACAGACCGGCTTGACCGGCGTCACCGAACCGCCATTGCCACCCACTGCGTTTCCGCTGGTCAACAAGTGTTTGGCCGGCGAACCGTGCCCTACCCCAGCAACCGCCGAGACGCCGTTGGACACCAGTCCGCCGCCGGGCACCGTGTAACCGACGACGAAAGTGGCGCCGGCCGGCGGATACGGTCCCAGCGGAGACATGGCCGCGCCGACCGCGGTGGGCAAGTCCAGGCGGGTCGGGTCTTTGGGCTCACCGACGCCGCCGCTGGCCACCGGCCGGAACGCTGAGAACGCCGTCTTGTCCATCAGGTACGCGTCGTACGACGACGACTCGGACTCGGACTTCAGAGAGGTCATCATCTCGTTGGACCGCATGTGACTGTTGTTGTTCCTGCGGTCCACGTCCATCTTGCGCCGGAGCCGGTCGCCGCCGGCGTGACCTCTGCCGCGGCCGCGTCCGCAGCCACCGCTCTCGTCGTTGTCGTCGTTGTCGCCGTCGTCGTCGTCGTCGTCGTCGCCGTCGTCGTCAACGCCGCCGCCGCCCTTGTCATCGCCGCCACTGCAGCCGCCGTCGCCACCGCCACCGTCGGCCGACATGTCGATCTCGAGCTCGTCCGACGAATCGTCCACCAGTTCGTTGAAGTCCGGTTCGTATTTGGACGGTGCGTATTTGTCCGGTTTCTTGTTGTGATCGCACTCTTTGTTGTTCTGGTCGATCTTGTTGAGCAAAATGTGATCGAGGTCGCGGCGTTGTTGTTGTTGTTGTTGTTGCGGCGGCTGTTGTTGTGTCGGTTTCTCGTCGCCCGTGTTGTTCTTGTTCTCGTCCACTCTGATGGCCGTCGGCGGCGGAAGCGGCGGATGGGCACCGCTGGCGTTGCCGATTTTCTTCTCGTCGAACAGGTTGACGAACGCCGGCGACTCGTACCGGTCGTCGTCGTGTCCTGTCCGGTAGAACGAGTGCCGTGCGCCCGGCCACCCGCCCGATAGGCTCTTGAGCGCCGCTTCCGTCTCGCGTATGAGCGTCTCGTCGTCCACCGCCTCGTCGCCGCTGGCCTTTGCCTGTTTTTTCGGCACGGCAGCAGCCGTCTGTTGTCCGGCCGCCGTGGCCGACCCGGTGACTGGCTGACCGGCTAGCGGCCGTTTCTTGGGCAACACCATTGACTTTTGCGCCGCCGCACTGCCGCCTCCGTTGTTGTTGTCTTGCTGCTGTTGTTCCGACGAACCTTTGTTGTTGTCCTTGTTGGCGGTCACCTCTTGCATCTGTTTCAGCGCTCGTCTCCTTTTCTTGTGCGCGAACGTCTCGTCCACGGTTGACTGGGCCTTGTTGCAGGCCGCCGCCCCGTCACCCGATGATTTGCGTTTTGATGTCGACCTGCGTGCATGACGTACACAATTAATAACAATTCTTACGAAATTGCGAAATGTTGATAGTTTATTTTTACGTTTTAGCGTTATAACTTGGGATGGGTTTTCGAACTTCATGAACTCAAGACATATATCAAGGTTCGAGAAATTCGAACGTTTCGAAGTCATTAGGTATCGAATACCTGCTTAGAATTCTTCGAATACATATAACTATTCTATACATTTATTTTTTAAAACATGTCTCGAGAATAAAGTATCTAAGAGTAAAAAATGGATTCGAGCTTTATCTAGATGAAATTTGACCCATACTTAGCTATAACATATAAAAAACTTTATTATTTAATCAAAGACATTATTTGATATACACGTAAGAGACCCTACTTTAGTATAATTTCACCTCATCAGCTTGGCATTAAATCCCGCCATTATTTATGTTATAAACTATAACAAAACTCCAAAATAATAGTGAATATTATATTTGTAGATATAAAAATGTGTTAAGTGATCATCAAAAGCTGATGATATTAGCTAAAAACAATTAATTTGTTAATAATTATGTATTGTAAAAATACTTAATGTTAAAAATAATTAATAAATGAAAAATCATATTTTTTTTTATATTTTTTTTTTGTTTAAAATTTAATTTGTTAGTTCATAACATAATAACTAAAATACTACCTATTATGATCTGTTGACAGTATAATTATTAGAAAGATTTTGCTGAACCTCATCGAAATAATTATGAAGGAGAGGAGGGTTGAACAGGCGTCACTTAGTCATCCCATATTATTATGTCGGAATAATGTTTATGTATTTTGTATTCACGTTTCGTTTGTTTAATATAATTAATTTAGTGTATTTACGTATTTTTCCAATAACGAAACGTCACGTATATTTTTTTTAATTATTATTATTATTATTATTATTATTTATTACCCATCTTGAATTTTAATTGACTGCTATTCACGATCTCGATCGGTTACTTTTTTTTTTTTATCAATAATTATGTTACGACGAGGGAGGAAAAATACCAATAACGCGTTCTTTTCCACTTCTTTCTCGCTCGCCGTCAATCTGTTGTTTAATTTGCCAAAGATCCGTTTTTCTCGGCTCGTTAAGTATTTTTTTAATTAAAAATCGCTTGCTGACTTTTAAATTAATAAGAAAGAGGAAAAGTGTATAGCTATACTTAATAATAATATCGTGGTGATACATTCGAAAGACCTAACGTTGGCGAATGGCGATTGCGGGGTAGTATACGTGGAGGGTGTAGCAATAAGAAAGTGTACTTATATATATATACGTATATATTATATATAGTAAGATACGAAATTATTATCAGACAATGGACAAAAAAGGGTTTGTTTGTGAGATATTATATGCAGAAATCAAATAACGAGCATTTAAATGGCAGGCACAGCACGCGTGTTATTATCTGTAATACAGATTACTTTTATAAGTATATATTATAAAGTATAGAAGAATTAATATAAGTATTTAAAATGTTGATAAAAAAGATGAAAGTTAATTGAGTACTATGTAATCATTGAAAAAATAGTTTATTTGCGTAAGATGGATTATTATATTAAATTATTTCTATATTATCTAAAAAAACTTTTGCATTAATAAAATGAAAACGGATAAATGATAATCGAACTAAAATTAAATAATATATAAGTATATCAGAAGTCTTATTACAAAAAATCATAAAATTAAGGTAGGAGACAAATCATTTGATAAAATAATGAACATTTTATATAAAATTATATGAACTATTCGACTGATGATAGTCGTATAAACCAAAATGAAAATTATATTTGTTATAGTAAAACAAATGATAGTTAACTATCAAAAAATAAAATAATATTGATAGAAAAAAAAAAATGTTTAGTTAATTTCTTGGCATTTATTTTGTAGGTACTTTGTCTTAAAGAATTAAAAGCCTACACAAATCTACATAAGTGTATAATTTCGTATTCAAAAATAAATACACAATATTATAGAAGTTACTATTGTTAATGCATTATGTATGTACAGATAAAGTGCTCATTGTCAAAAAGTTAACCATCATCGCTAATCGTGTCGTATAACATATATATTATTAAAATACTATATTGATAATACAAAAATCAGCGTTAATATATTCTTGTGATTTATAATAAGTGTGTCACGACTGTTTCGATGGTCTAAAAATGTTTGGGTTTTTAGCGTGAAGTAATTTTTTTTAAATTTAAAGGTATACAATCAAGTATTAAAAGTAATCTTGTGTTTTACTTCCCGTTATAGATGTTCCACTATTATTGACTAATATTAATTTCCTTGTTCCTCCTCAGAACCTCCATTATTTCCATTCTGTATCTTTACGTGTGCTACACATTATTTAAAAAAAAAAAAAACAATTCTTTGCACAAGATGATGAAGTTGGCCAACGAGGACTCATCATTCTTTGTTTTATTTATTATAATTACTATTATTAGTGATGTTCCTATTAGTTTGTTATTATTAATGTTATTTCATGACATATTTTTTATTAATTTTTAAATTTTTTTTGTTACTTTTTAGACATTTTTTGAATTTGCCAAATCTTGGTTTGTTTATTTAATTTTAATTTTTTTTTTAATTGAGTTCAACCCTTAAATGTGTATTAAAATGAATTTAGTCAATATATTTATAATATGTATTACGCATATTATACGGGTTTTGTAGAGAATTTCGCGACTGAATCGAGAGTATTACGAACGCGAATAATAATTATTCGCACACGATAACGATAAACATAATCGTGTATCATATATATATATATATATAATATTATTATACAGGCGGTCTCGGAGTCGTTTCGATAATGCTGACAAATCGGTCTTGCTTCAGGTCTTGCGTGTGTTTCCACTACCACCACGTCGTGTCGTTATTATGATTATTGTGGGCCAGGGACGTATAGTACTGTATTATACACGAAAAACGTGTTCCGCTGCACCGCGCTCTTCGAAAGGGGATACGAAAGCAGGGCCTATATTCAGTCGTGCTTTTGCTGTGGATCGAGTATGTCCCTCGTCGGTCGGTCCTTGCTCCGCGTGGTGTAACCGCGAACGATCTTTTTCCCGGACCGTAAAATGATATAACACTGTCTCATGATGAAAAAAAAAAATATGATATTTTTTTGGCTGTCGCTTCATGAGTACTGACGGGCCGCCCCATAGGCAAAAAGTTTTTCAAATCTCTAGATGTTTCATCCCCCTTCTTCTACTTCATGATAAATTATTAATTTTAGCCAAATGAAAAAAAATAAATTAAATAATAACAATCGACTTCTTCTGAAGCGATAGATTGAATAAAATAAATTGGTAAAAATAATTTATTCATTTATGTAATGTTATACATATCATTAACTTTATATATCGACTTACCTATATTTATATTTTAAAATGCGTATTAACGACTTAGGTCTTAATGAGATTAAAAAATTTTCTTGAGATTGGTTATTACCCGTAGTAGTAATTATACTATAAAACAACAAAAGAATGTGATGACATATTTTTATTAATTTCGAATACATAAAATATTATAAGTAAAAATATTTATAGAAAAATAAAATAAATAAAAATCCATTACACTGACTTACGGTTTTTTTGATGATAAATAAAAACCCTTAAAAGCTTATAACATTTAAATTATAAGCATTCAGGCAGTTTTTTCTCAGATTTTGAACAATATATATATGATATATAGTAATTTTATTAATTAAAAATACTCAATTACGAAAAATATTAATATATATTTTTTAATTTTGTTAAATTAGAATTTTTGAATATATGAACATTTATAATTTTTTTTTTAAATTTTATATTTTATAGTTACCTTCTATTTTGTATTATTTTTATTTTTTGAATAATAATACTATGCATTTCAAATTTAATGCTCAAAAATAGAATATTTTTCTGATGATTTTGATGTAAAAACTACATTTTAAATAAGTCGTCAATTACTCATAAATTATTAAATTATTAAACTAAGATAAACGGAGTGGAGTGACACAGATGATCAAGGCTTTATTTTTCTAACGCTTTGGACAAACGACATTTTACAGACATTTATATTATTATCTACATATGTTTTAGTTTTCGTTGTTATCTAAGCGAAATTTTGTTTTATGTATACCATTTCGAAATTATATTCGTTTCATTTATGAATACAGCTAGATAAGTTCGGAAGCGATGCTTTTATATATATCTGCTGTATATAAACATTTATATTACCAACGCTGGTTTATGTCTCAAAGAAAATGATGAGTTATTAAGAAAACGATCAATTTAAATATTAAACATTATTATTACGACTTCTAGGTGGCGTAATTACTACCTACCGGCTGCGAGGTGCACTCGAAACGGGAGAGCTTTCAAAATGTCAGCATTATAGAATCGCGTTTCGCCGATGGGTCTTTTTCTGTCGTTGACTATTCACTTCAACTGGTAATTTTCGTTTTATAATGTCTTTTTTTCGTTATTTAGATCGCAAGAAAAACGGTTTAATATTTTTTATTGTTATCGCACAGTCTTAATATACGTAGTAGGCATTATCATTGAGCAATAATATAATAGTAATACAATTTAAATGCACACACAACATTTATGTATATATCTATTATACACAGATACCTCACCGATGATGTAGTGTCACGCTAGTAAACACGCCGCCGCCGGTACGGTTTGCCGCGCGACACGACGTTTACCTTTATATATATATAGATATGATGTATAGCCCGTCGCCGAGTGCATGTCAACACTACATTAAATGACGCGGCGGCAATGATCATTCGAAATGATCCTCCCTCCATAATACCCACCCGTAGAACGGCATTTTGTATCCTATTATTAACGTATTACCGTCATGACGTTTTAATTCAAAAGTCATGACAACGACTTATCGCTCATATACCTTCGTGGTAAAGAAACAAAAAATAAAAATCGTACAACTGACAAATACGTACATACTAACCCCAGAACCTCA